CCACCAGTGCCGAACAGCTGCAGAGTGGGGATGACATGGCGATGAGGGGAAGGTGATAGTGACCGCCGCGCTGTCTCGTGCCGCCTGAGAGAACTTGTGATGAGCATTGCGCCATGACACTTGTGGTGGGCGCCATGACAGTGCTCTGCTTTTTTTAATAGGATCATCAGAGACAAGAGACAGATTGTGCGCCATAACATTTCTCCATTACCGGCATCCAATAAACGGTTAGAGTGTTATCTGGTGGAGGTGCCACAGGCGCTGCCCCTGACTTTCTCCGAGAAATTCTACGGAAAATCGTACGAGAACAGGGGGGATAGCACACGCCGGTGAATTGTGTCCTCCCGGGTACAGTGCATCTCCTTTTTTTACCTCCAAAAAACAATAAACCAGTGCCAAAAACACGTCTGATAATTGCGCCAAGTGTTGTAAAATCGAATAGACGTCTATAGAAAAGAGGGAATAACAACCAGAAATTTGCTATCGTATTAAATCGTAACGAAACCGTTGGTCCTGAGGATAATGAATCCACGGGGGTGAGAGTCAGAGCACTCGCTGGAGGTGGGGAAAATGCTCCTCGGAAGGGGCTAGTGCTTTGGGGGGATGGGCTTGTGAAGTTTTGAGTGAAAAAATTTTTTGGATTTTGGAGGACAAGTGAGATTTTGCAGGAAGGTGACAAAGTGGTTGGTGTGTGGAGAGGGAAAGGACGAGAGGAAATATTAGTACACGCCTGGCTGTCACCATTGAGAAGGTCGGCTGCTTCCGAGGACGCCATGTTACGAAGCCGTATCCCCATGGCGAGATTACCATTGATTTTGATTCTTTACGGAGTTGTTGTCGTTGCCAGTGATAATGAGACAGGTGAGATCCTCATTGGGTTTCATTGATTTGGGTGTTCCGGGTTGGGGTAATCCACGTCGTCGTGGGGTTACTACGACCATTGCCAGAGGTGTCACGGGGCTTATTATCTTCTTCTCGCTGTTTGTATACAAATGGGAGGGGACAAGTCATTCCGATGTATGTATACATGTCATTGCACATCGACGAATGCTAAAGTTGTAGTGGGAGGGATTTTAATTGAGGTGTACCTCATTAGGGCTTTTAACAGAGATATTAGCAAATTGCAGTACGAAACAGGTTTGTGTATTTCATGGGAATCGATTATTTTATTAATTGAAAATACTATTTTTCAATGCGATTGCAATGCGATTTCAATGCGATTGCAATGCGATTTCAATGCAATTTCAATGCAATTTTAATGCGATATTGAATTTCACTATTGAATTCTATGAATTCCATGACGTCCTTCAATTTTAGGAAACGACATTCGTTGTGTAATTAGGATAATTTTTTAATTAATCGAGAATTTAATGTCCGCAGTGGAATTGAACTTCCACACCTCGATTCAATGATTATGAGGAAATGACTTGACGTTGATAATAAACCGATGAATTCCAGTCACAGAAACAACTGAGACTGTCACTACCCCCCACATTCCCCTCGCCACCCTGGAAATCGAGGCATCACAGAAGATTGACGGCATCGAGGCGAATAGCACTCCGTCTTTTACGTGTAAGCTTAGTGAGCCAGGTCAGATCTACTGGGTCAAGGATGAGAAAAATCTCACAACCGTCAAAATGTCTGAGACACTGGCCAGGTTCGACCTAATCTCAGCTAGCCTCGAGGACAGGGGAAATTACACTTGCATGGCTGTAACGAATGGTCATGAAAAACTGCAGAAAACCATTGATGTTCGCGTTATAGGTGAGTCCTCGGAGAAGTTCTACTTCTTGACATGATTTGATTCCTAAATTTTCCATTGTTTTTAACTTTACAAATTTTTCACTTTAAACTGGGACTAGAAAAAAAATATTCCGATAGAATATTTAATTGCTGTCTTTTCTTCTCTCATTTCTCTCTAATTCCTCTCTAATTCCTCTTAATCTATAGCTAAATAAAAAATTAAAAATTCTTAACTATTCGATTCCATCAACTGCCCTTATTATTCCCAGAAAACGGTAGGATAGACCCATCAGAGCCAGTGTACATAAAATCGGAGAAGCCAGTAAACTTGACGTGTCCAATCCACGGTTTTCCCCTCTCGAATTTCACATGGCTCAAAGGTAACAACTCAGAGAGCATCGAGTCTCTACGAGACCTCTCCTCAGTCAGCCAAATAAACGAGACGCATTACATAATGACCCTCTCCTTCGAGAGCGTTCTGCGAAAGGACAACGGCACCTACACTTGCTCAGCAGAAGACTACCGAGGTCCAGTGACGAGCACACGTCACCTGTTCGTCATCGACAAGCCCCAGGTCGACATTGACTTCATAAAAGCTGTGGGTGCCTCCAAGATTTTTCTCAACTGGACAGTAAATGATGGTAACAAGCCCATCAAAAAATACAGCATGAGATTCCAGAAGAAGGGCCAAGAGGGCCGTCAATTCTATAGCAAATCCGTGGGTGGCGAAAACACAAACTTCGTCCTCCAGGGCTTCGAGAAATCCACCGAATACCAATTGAGTATTTCAGCGATCAACGAAGTTGGTGAATCCCAGGTGTACCATGACAACAGATGGATAAAGACACTTGATGCCGACCCGATATTCGTTCCCAATGTATCGGTCAAGGGCTTCACCGAGAGCTCCATCACAGTAGGGTGGACAATGCCATCACCGGCTCTTCGGGAACACGTTCACTATTACACCTTGATGATGATCCATGATCTTCAGACCAAGGAGGCAGTCCATCCAGCCTCTGAATTCAATGATTACGTCTTCGTGGAGCTCAACCCAGCGACAACTTACCTCTTCAAGATCTCAGCCTGCAGCTACTACACAAAACAGTGTGGAAACTGGAGTGCCGAGGTCAGTGGGACGACGATGGACGGTGTGTGCAGTCCACCAGAGAGTCTCACTGTTACCTGTAAATTCGACAACATCAGCAGAACAAGTTTCGTTTCCGTGAGTTGGTTACCACCAGCTGTACCAAATGGCCAAATCACGAGATATGGGGTGGAGCTGACTGGTGGATCGCAATACAAGAACGAGAGGGGAAGGGTTCACGAGGAACGCTGGGGTCCTGTCGACCATAACGCCAGAGAAATAGATAGAGCTTTTGAATTCAAGAGGGTACCTGCCAATACCAATTACACAGTGAGGATCTACGGGGTGACGAGACTCAGAAGCCCTGGCAAACCGGCCATTGGTAATTGTTCTATGCCTGTCAGTGTACCTGATAAGGAGAGCCTCAACTTGAGGACTTGGAGGAAGATACAGAACGAGGGCAGACAGCTGTTCAAGATGTACCTCCCCAGGATATCAGAGAGAAATGGACCCATCTGCTGCTACAGAATTTTCCTCGTGAAACTGCCACCAGGAAAGACCTCTGGGGATCTTCCCCCACCCGAAGAATTGGATATTCACTCATTTCATTATGCTCATGCCTCACCTGCTGGAGGAGCTTATCTCGCTGAGATGTTTGATAGCAATGATCTGCACTCGGAGATCTTCCTTGGGGATGGCAGGGTACTATTTAATGGCTCCATCAACTGTGACAGGTGCATTGGCCTCAGACCTAAACCCTCACCCACTCTTCATCTTCTTCCTGATGTGCAAGGGCCCGGGAATGCCACCTCCACTACTATCTCCAGTGTGGAAAGCACTTCAACTGTCACCGCCACTGTGTCTACTACATCTTTTGAAACCACAACTGCTGCTACCACTTTTACTGCCCCTGGAAATTCCACGACCCCTGGAGCTAGACGCAGACGAGATAATTCTGCTAATATTGTGATGGAGAGCGAGGGCGTATATCCACCTGTCGATGGTTACATCGACGAGGGCTCTAATTACACTGCATTCATCGAGGTTGTGGTGGCTGGAGGCGTACACCTTCTTCCTGCCTACAGTGGCTACCTTAATCCTCTCTTTGGGGGCCTAGAACCCAGTGTTATTGCTGTCGCTGAGAATGGAACTCTGGGGCTCGTTCTACAGATATCAGTCGCTCTCATTCTTATTATTGTTATTCTACTTGTGGCACTCTGTGTTCTCCATCGTTATACCAAGAGGGCTGAGCAGGGTGGCGAGGAAAATATCAACTTACGAAACAGCTTCAGGTGAGTAATCGGAATTTTATAGGATCTTAGAGGAAATTTTTGAAAAAATTCAGAGCTCAGACGATTTACTCGGTTCCTGTCTTAACACATATTTCCTTGGGAGTTTATTGAGGTTCTTCAATAATTTTGTTTTTAGTTCTCAATTAATACCTTTTTAAGAGGATTTATTTTCTCATCGTCCATTTTATCAATAACTCGTTTATTTCGCCTATGTTCGCCTCATAGAAGATTGAAAAAACTGTCAAAAAATAAATCAACCTAGAAATTTATAAACATGCTCCAGAAATTATCCTGTCATCTATAAGGCAGATATAATTGTGAAATCAATCGTCGGTTGATGAAAAAATTGAATGAAAAAAGAATTAACGTCTCGTCTGTTAAAGTCATAGATCAGGCCCTTGAAATAATTCTAAACTTTCTGATCCCCTTTTATACTGTCTAAGTGTTTGAGACATTTCTTATCCTCTCTGCTACGAATACATGATAGGCACATCTAAATCGCACCTGAAAATCCCGGGAAATTTTTGACTCAAATTTTACAAATAATAATAAAATAGCCAATGAATGATAAATAAAAATGTATGAAACTCATAAGAAAATGCGCTCTACCCCCTAAAAAACGCTCTCTAATGGATGCCTATTACCGGCAGGCATCTCTGCAGAAGTCTGCGGGGTCGTCACCAGCTAGTAGCAGCAAGTCCCCCGGACATGCCACCAATTCCAAAAGCCGAGTTGCTGCAGGCATATCTCGAGCGCCATCGAGACTCAGATTATGGTTTTCAGCAAGAGTTTGAGCTGCTCCCAGACCGCTTCACAGATCGTACGACACGTGCATCAGAGGCTCGAGAAAATCTCTACAAGAACCGTTACCCTGACATCAAGTGCTACGACCAGACGAGAGTTAGACTCTCCCAGATCGATGGAATCGCTGGTTCAGATTACATAAATGCCAATTTCGTTCTGGGATACAAGGAGCGAAAGAAATTTATCTGCGCTCAGGGCCCCATGGAGAACACTGTCTGTGACTACTGGAGGATGATTTGGGAGCAACATCTGGAGCTCGTACTGATGCTGACGAATCTGGAGGAGTACTCAAAGACTAAGTGCGCCAAGTATTGGCCTGACAAGGACGAGACGAAGAACTTTGGGGACATAACAGTGGAGCACGTGGGACAGAGAGCCTTCTCCGATTACGTTATCAGGGAGTTGAAGATGACGAGGACAGGGGAGAGAGACGCTAGAACGATAATTCAGTATCACTTCCTTGTGTGGAAGGACTTCATGGCTCCAGAGCATCCACACGCCATTCTAAGATTCATAAAACGAGTTAACACAGCTTATTCCTTGGAAAAGGGCCCCATCCTGGTGCACTGCAGCGCTGGGGTAGGCAGAACTGGAACTCTGGTGGCACTAGATTCACTGCTGCAGCAGCTCGTCGACGAGGGACAGGTCTCAATTTTCAATACGGTCTGCGATTTGAGACACCAGAGGAACTTCCTCGTACAGTCGCTGAAGCAGTATATCTTCATTTATCGCTCGTTGATGGAGATGGCCACCTATGGGGACACCGAGATCCCTGTTAAGGAGCTCAAGGGTCATGTCGAGAAGCTCAGGCAGAGGGACAATGGCAAGGAGAAGTGCAGAATGGAGGACGAGTACGATGTGAGTTGAGAGTTCAGAATTGAACGTTTTGCCTTGAGTGATGAGAGAGGAGATTTGCACTGGGGGAATACCTTGAAGTTTTTGTGAAAGCTGGTGGTGGTTGTGGGTTTCGAATTCATTCATTTTGCCTTTTAATTCAGGAAAATTGAGCTAGAAAGTATTAGAATAAAAGGCAGAAGATTTCACATTGGAAGTATTCCTTTTGGAATTCTTGTATTGTTATTGAAAATATTTCCAGCTTTCGATAAAAATCTCAAGTCATTTTCCACCGGTGTTATGTGCTTCTGCAATGCTTTTTTACTGACGCTATAAACGGTTTTTGTAGGAACTTGTTTTAAATTCACAGAAAATCAGTTCTGTGTTGGAGGAACGTAAGTCCTTTTCAGTGGGTGGTGCTGAAGAGAATAGAGTTAAGAATAGGAGTGAAGTGGTCATACCGTATGATAGGAATAGAGTTATTCTTACACCGGTGCCTGGTCGAGAGCATTCGACTTACATCAACGCTTCGTTTATCGAGGGGTATGACAATTCCGAGTCATTTATTATAACGCAAGATCCTCTCGAGACTACTATCGCTGACTTCTGGAGGATGATTTCCGAGCAGAGCATCAGCACGATTGTCATGTTATCTGATGTAAGTCAACAGGATTTTCATACTTTATTATATTTTTAACTCGATATAACATGCAGAGAAAAGCAATTGTAAAATTGAATAATAATTCATGACATACCAGTAGCGATGAGGTAAACTAGAGTAAGTACATTTTTTTACTCCCATTTTTCACCGACAGCTCGCAATCGAAGGAACATAGCAATTTTTTTGCATAAACACTTTTTATAGATAACGATTAGAGCTACAAAAAAGGTTTCTATGAAAATCTCATTATTTTCCTTCAATTCCGAGATACCGGATAAAAACCAGGCTCGACAAAAAAATGTACTTATCCTAGTTTACCACTTCACAACAGATATAAAATTTCGGTAATATCTCGTAGCTTTATAATATTTTTATAGAAAAATAAAACAGAATGAAGCATCGAGCAGAATTTTAAACAACTGCTTGGAATTTCTCGTAAGTAATATTGATGATTAATCGGTTGCAGTTGAACGAGGGCCCCAGGAAATGCCCCAGATACTGGCCTGAGGATGAGGCCGTGCATGAGCACATCAGGGTGAGATACATCCAGAGTGAAAGTTGTCCGTACTACACGAGACGTGAATTGTGCGTTGCCAATACCAAGACAGATGAGACAGTGGTTGTAACGCAATATCAATATCATGGGTGGCCGACGGTCGAGGGCGAAGTGCCCGAGGTGACGCGTGGTGTCATTGAACTTGTCGATCAGACACTTGTTACTGATGGCGAGTGCTCTGGTCCCATCGTTATCCACTGCAATTGCGGCTCTGACAGGAGCTCTATGTTTGTTGCCCTCAGCATACTCGTTCAACAGCTGACAACTGAAAAACGAGTGGACATCTTCACCGTTACGAAGAAACTCAGGTCACAGAGACATGGCATGATTAGCACTTTCGTAAGTTTCAGCAGTGACAACTTTTTTAATACCTAATCCTCAAATGGACGCATTTTTTCCCTCTAAATGGAAACATTCTTCAGTATCGCCTGCAGCACGTTTTCATCTTTGATAGTTTTTCTTTTCGTGGAATTTTTCCGAGATCCTGTTTTCAATTTTCAGTTACAATTTTTATAGAGAATTAACACGGAAACTACTTTAACTATTTGAAAGTAATTAGATTAATTTTTTTTAATGAATGTTTATTAAATAATTGGGTAATTACGGTACAAATGAAAAGCAAATTTCTGAAGGTTTTATTAATTTCGATTATTTAATAATAAGGGCCGAATGTGAGGGGAAATCATGCTTTAATGTAGTAACATTTTATGTTTATTGACAATTTAATGAGAAGAGTTCCTTTTGCTCTTATTCCAGCCTCAGTACGAGTTTCTGCACAGAGCAGTGATGAATTACGCAGATCTCCATAATATCGCTGACGACGAGACAGAATCTTAATGAAGGATATCCATGATACCCTAAAGACTGACCACTTGTTTGTTCCGTAAGTCGTTTTTAATTTCCCCTAACGGACGAGAGCTGGAAAGACCTTAGGCTCTCATTCAAAAAAAAATCAGTCAGCAGGAGCATCCAAAGAAATTCAACTGTTCCATTGTCGGTTGATGAATTTTTATACCCCAAACCCCCAGAAAAAATAATATAATAACGAGGACGTTGGTAGCTAGATGTTTTCACTAACGATATCAACTACTTGATGTAGTTGAAGTGTCGACAGAATTTTTAAAGAACCCGAGGAATTATCATTGTCTCGAGGAAATAGTCGTTGCTGCGTGATGTCAGAATCGACGAGTGTTGAGAGAAGTTCGACTGTCGTGTGTTTGTATCACTTAGAAATAACATGCCTGGTGGCATGAGGAGAGAATAAGAAGCTTAACATTATTCTTTGCGCAGATTATCCGACATCTGTCTGAATTCTCGTTAGAAAATTATTCTCAATGAAATTGTGGCGGAAGTGATAAGTGATGACTAAAAAATTGTATTTTTTTTCTGAAAAAAAAAGAAATTTTCTCCTGTGTCATGAGATTATGGGAGACAAATCGATTTTCCCCCCAGTCGAGTGCTCGAGCGATTCGAGACATTCGAATAATTACTAGTTGCATTTTTTTCGAGGCCAGTTTTTAGTCAATATCTCGAAAATGGGGGAACACATCGCATTTTTTATGGTAACATTTTTTATAGACAAGAATGAGAACTACAAAAAAGATATCCATGAAAATATCGTCGTATTCCTTCAATCTCCAGATATTCACGAAACACTGGCCACGAAACAAATACACTTATCCTAGTTTATCATTTCGTAACAAAACTTTAGTGTATAAACTTCAGTTCAGTTTTCGCAAGGATTTCTACCGAGTAAATATACTTGAGATAAAATTCAATTTCCATTCAAAGACTTACCATAAAAAGTAGGTATGACCCAGATATTTTACTTACCAAGTGATAAGGCAAGGAAAGTTAAAAATTTTTCTTTATTATCAATTTATTTCAAAGACGATTGATTTAGAGTGGAAATGTCGAGGAATTTTCTTCAATCGATCGAGTTCACGATGATGAAAAAAAAGTGGTTGATATTTCTTCCTGCAATTAATAGTTTCCGAGATCAATTTATAAATGACAAAACTGAAAAATTAAACTTGAATTGTATTACCACTTGGATATCTTTGGATCACTTAATTGAAAGAAATCTTTTTTTTTTCACTATTGGTAATGTAATTATAATAATAATTTCCATAGACCGGATTTATTTTCTTTCATCACTCCACCACAATTTTTGGCCATAAGTAAAGCCCACTCAAACTTTTTTACTCCCCAACAACTAATTTTGATTATAGATTTTGTAAATAATATAAATATTACAAGAAAAATATATATACGTAATTATAAAATTTCGCGGCTGCATGCTACATATTATTAGTTATTAAAACATGTATGTGTGTGATTACGGCATGCGTGCGTGCGGCGCAATTATCCCATGCTCTCGACGATTGAGTCATTATTTCACTTGTCAAGTGGTGCAACGATTCAAGCGAAAATATTTCTTCAAAAATCCTGAGCTCTAGAGACTATTTATTCCCAACTATTTCCACAAGAAACATTTCCGAATTGAAAATTCCCACCGCGAAATTTTTCCGAACAAAATTTTTCCAGTTTTACCCCAAAATAATCTGTAGGATATGTTTTACAGAAAATATATGGAAATGAGTACCAGACGCATGCCTAGTATTGGCAATTGACAACTGATCGCTGGAAGAGACGCACTTCAGGAAAATATTTGCGCAGAAAATTTGTTCCGGAAAATTTTTTGGCTGGGAATTTTCGTTTATGATTTCCTTTTGGCCTGAATGAAGAGTACATTTGAAACAAATCGTTCTACCACTTAATAATGAATTTTTCTCCCTAAATACCATTAACTGGAAAATAACTGAGAGAAATATTTGATGAAACTCGAATAAGACTGATAGCATCGAGGGCCAATGGCCCTCGCCATTGGATTCAATTGCAGATTAATTTTTTTACCAATGAGAAGAGTAAATAAAACAATAATTGAATAACTAATTAGGTTTTCATCCCCCGGAAAGGACGAAGCACAAAAGAGTCTTTATTTTCTCATAATAATGTTCCAGAGGGATGAATAAATACTTAATGGCAAAATTTTTTATACGAAAAAATAACGAAGGGATGTAGACCGATCGATTTATCGTTGTCTTCTACCCATTTTATCATCTTGATCAATTCACTGTTTATTTATTTTCTAGTCAAGCTTTAGCTGTGGCACGCGCGCTGCTGAGAATTAGAAACAGAAACCCCATTGATAACTGTTGGATCTGCAAAAAAAAGACATTTTTTAACCGTTGGATATTTCCTGGTGCGACAATCACACCATTCCATTTGCTCGCGTACCGTTTTTTCTTTTCGAATTCAATTCCCACAAGTTCCTCACTCAAGCCACGATTAACATTTTTTTAATGAAAGTAGTGGTCAAATCACTCCATCAAGCGGGAAAATTACTCATGACTGAGAAGATTTACTCGATGCAGAGAGATCCCCACTTTTTAAAAAATCTAAAATCCAAAAATTTGAGAGATCATTTGATTTTTACGTTCAGAGGAAAAGATTCTCTGGTTTTATTTTTCTCTGAACAATTTTATTAGTGTTAATTTAAATTATAAATTGCAGGTATAAAGCGAATTGTATGAATTAAAGGGCATTATTTCCGGGCTTAAGGATTTATTGCCGATATCTTCTCATTTTTTATGATTTCTGTGAATTTCTACGAAGCCGAATCGATCAGATTGACGTAAAAAAATTAATCGTTTTCAGTTTTTATCATTATTCAATTCCCCATAAATTTTCATAGTCCTGCATCTATTTTCTTTTTTTATTTTCAATAAAGTTCTGGGAATTTTCGCAAAAATTTACTGAGAACAGAAAAGCTGAATAGTGATAAAACTTGGTGAGGCATCGAAGAATAATGAAATATAAAACTTAAAACGGTATATTTCTCGTCAATTTTATCAGGTTTTGCTAAAACATTTGTTTAAGGCCCGGATGGACTGTCTGGAAAAGATAATTTACTCCAAAATTGGGACTTCTAATTACTCCGTCAATTAATCGTTTTTTCCGATAATTATTAGCTAGTGGCCTAGTTGTTGACAACCGCCAGAACGCTAGCTAACAATTATTGAAAAAACCGATTAATTGCCAAAGTAATTAGGAATTCAAATTTCGGAGTAAATTATCTTTTCTAGATAATCCACCCGAGCCTTAAAAAAATTAGAAAATGGGAAGATATCGGCAATAAATCCTTAAGAACACCTGAAAATCCTCGCATTTCGACTTTTATCACTCCGTGTGAAACCGAAATTGTTTATTAGAAAGTTTTTTAAATTGATAGGCGACCATTTTCCTGCGTCAAGTAAATTGTCTCTGTCGAAAACAGTTTTTCCTCTCAATGTAAAGTGAGAAATCGAATAAATAAATTTTTTTAAATATAGACTTATTTCAAGAACTATCGATTCAAAACAGAAACTCAGAGAAGCTATCAAGTAGTTATTCTCGATATCTTCTCATTTCCAATGTTTTTTGTCAATTTCTCGGAAATCATCGGTCAGATCATAAAAAAATGTACCATTCTTTGGTTTTATCATCATTCAATGATTCGCAAATTTTCAAAGTCTTATTTCCCCAAATTTTTGAAGTTTTGTGAACTTCTACAAAAGTTTACTGGAAATTCAAAAAATTATTCCAGAGTAAAGAAACTTTATGAGACATTAAATTACAATAAAACTTAAAAACGGTAATATTTTCAGTTAAATTTTATCAATCATTTCTAAGAAATTGTTTTTTAACTTGAAAAATGAGAAGATATCCACAATAATTCGAAAGGGCTGATATTTCTTGTTGAAATCGGTAGTTTTTAGATCAATTGATATTTAACAAAACTGTACCATATACTCATCATCTCACTTTGCTAATTTGCTACTAAAATGCTTTTCCATTCCATTGTCGTTGCCTGGCATTCCTTATTCCCTCTTTCATTACATTTTTCATTAATGTAGATCTACGTAAAGAGCTGTCACTCGTCAAGTGAATAAAATTATGTCTAAGCCGTATTTATTGGCGATTGCAAGTGCTGATTAATTCGTTGATTCATTGTAAACGCGAACAATTGGAGTGTTCTAGGTTTATTTTATTATCACCCCTTTTTTTTCCGAAATAACACCCCCTCAATTCACGTAGTCGCTTAAATTTTAACGATTTGCTATAAAAAATTCAGTAGCGAAATTATAAACTAAAATATTTCGAATCAAATGTTTTTTTTAATTATCGATTTATATCTCGAAAACGATGGAATTAAGGGGGAAGCATCAAAGACTCTTATTTGTTTATTTAATTCCCAACAAAAAAAGATCTTTCGATATTTCCTCCTGATTATTAACCATTCAACAAAATTATAAAACTCAAAATGTTTCACCACCACTTCACTACTGACTTATGAGTGGAAATTTTCTTTATTTATTTATTCTCTGGGTGCTATGAACTACCCCAGATCTAACCAGTTATTTACATTGAAATTACTGAGATAGAATTAATTAAATAATTCAGTAAAAGTAAAGAGTTCAGTCTTTTGGATTTAACAGGAAAATGAATAAAGGGAAATTTTCCACTCTGTCTTCGATCTAATTGGTCACTTGTAAATGAAAAAAAAAAGATGAACGCTTCTCTCTGGTTCTAATTACCGTAGCGTAAGTGAAAGTATGATGAATGAAGGATACAATAAGGCTCTAAACGAATGTACAATAATCAGTATTTAAGCTTCATATAATTTGTTAACCTTCGCAACAGACAGGTGAAGAACACTGAAGGCCATTAATCGAGATTCAATCGTTTATTTTTCATTTTTAGCAGTATTAAGGATTAATTAAAAGAAAAAAAAACACTAACGAATCAGTAATTCGAATGTTCTTCATTTGTATGTACGTTTCCAGTGATCAAATAATTCCAGTTCCTGTCGACTTTTTTGTTCGACATTTTGTTTTCACAGCAGAAACATAGAAACATGGTAAATTAAAAAACAAAATAAAAATGAGATGGAGAACTCTACCTCAACGCGTAGCTATCAGTAAAATAAGACAGTCTTGGAGACTCTCAGGATTCTGTATTTCTTCGTCTTTGAAAGAAGATATATTTGAGGACTTTTGACGATCGCACAAAGTATAGTTTTGACGTACTTACCAAATGAAGAAATCCAGTAGTTGGCGAAATGTGCGGAGATGACTGATAAGCACCGTTGAATATTTTTGTCAGTTGTCTAGGTAAATGGGAAGACAGATGGATGCTACTGGGAGAGAAATTGATGAGTCCAGGATAACGGTTTTACTAGAGGTGTGCGAATTCTCTGTTGTTCAATTCAATTCGCTATTTCAGACGAATAATTCAGGTCCAGTGGTACAGCGAGATAAACATTTTTATTCGTAATTCATTTATAACAGGAACACTTTCTCTGACTAATTAAGGAGCTAGTGAGGATATTTTTTCGTTATTCGGCTTTTTTATTACAAATTTCTGGAAGACAGTTCATAATATTTATGTAAAAAAAAAACGTTTTGAAGGTTTATTATTGTTCAATGTCGCGGAAAGTTTCATCCGACTCCCGAAGACCTTTCCTTGTTTATCCGTAAACTTTTGAAGGAATTTACTAAATTTTAAAGGAATAAACATGGGTATTAAAATTTGTGAGTCATTGAATAATTATAAAACCTCAAAAAGATTTATCTCAAGTCAATAGATTAATGGGAAGCCATGTCCCAGGAACTGAGAAGAAATATTACAAATGAGAAGATATCGGCAATACCTCCTTACTTTTTTTTAACAAATACACTCTTGCAATTAGAATTCATTTTTTTCGGTTTTTGGTAAACATATGATGGGATTGAAATCATTATTTAATATTTTTTCTAAACTTTTATAAATAATCACAAAACTAGAAAAAAAACGCAAGACCGTTATATTATTTTTTTACGTCAATCGCATTGATAATTAGCAAAAAAAAAATTTAATGAATTCCGCAAAAAATGATATTGAAGAACTTTAATATTTCCGTCTATAATCAGGACTTCAGAATCTAGATCGTTCGATATTCAACGACTCGTAATATTTCTCGGGCTGATATTTTCGCCAAGTAATATATTTACATTATACTATTTTGATTTGTAATATTTTTTTGGGATAGTCTGAGGGGTGATGTTATTGAATAAAATTTCGAACGATCACGATCTGAACACACGCCTCTAGTTTGAACAATCCTCGATCGCCAGTTCCTTTCCCATTGGTGATGGACAAATCAACAACGATTACATTTATAATCCCCTGAAATCCTGAGTTCGATGTCTGTCGCGTGAACGAGTCTGAACCCTTCAAATATGAATGAAATAAATTAAAAAGCAAAAAAATTTTCAGAGATAACGAAGAAACAATTATAATTTCCCATTGTTGTGCATGAATGCTGGAGAGTTTTGTAAAGTAAACGTTTTTTTTTTTCTTTTCAAAATGAAATGAATATTAAACTACAAATAAATAAACGAAATAAATAAATTCGCAGAGATAAATGTTGAAGAGTCTCACTGAATTGTTTTATTTCAACTAGTTGTTGGGACGTATCTTGCATCGTTTTCTCGCGGATGCACCTTGTGGTCTAGTTTTAATTCCTATGATTGCTTCTGGGTAGTGTTTCTTAGGTCTTACTGGTGTTGTCTTGTTGTATGCCTCGATGGCATCGCTCACTGTTTTGGTGAGATCCAGCAATTCATCGTGAACAAAACGTGACTTGAAGTCAGGGAAGAGACGTGGCATAATCAGTACACCAAGCATGAATACCAGTGCCATACCCACGAAACCACTTATTGCCATGAAAAGCGGATTCATCACCATTTGCTTCTGGGACTCGTGGAATGGATTTGTTGATTCCATCTGGAGGTCCTGCAAACTTTTCTAGATTAAACTCCATTGGACAGGTGAAGCTAATCAACGGCTTAAGGGCCGGATGGAGTATCTCGGAAAGATAATTTACTCCAAAATTGGGATTACTAATTACTCCGCCAATTAATTGTTTTTTCTGATAATTGTTAGCTAGCGTTCTAGTCGTTGACAACCGCTAGAACGCTAGCTAACAATTATTGAAAAAAACGATTAATTCCCAGAGTAATTAGGAACCCCAATTTTGGAGTAAATTATCTTTTCCAGATAATCCAACCGGTCCTTAACATCGTCGTGTCAAATATTTACTCCACTGTTTTTGTTTATATTAATTAATTATTTTTACGTGTATACCCATTCGGTTTTTTGCATGTTTTGCCATTTCTGTTCGATGGCAGCAGAAAAAAATAATACAATAACTTTTGGCGATATCTTTTATGGGGATTATTTTTTCCTGCCAATTTATAATATTTTATTTATTTTTTGATTATTATTTTTCGATTATCTTCGTCTGATGGCGCACTTCTATCGGTTAAATGTTTAACGAAAAGAATATTTCCCCGAAGACGACTCGACCTCCGGAATTAATCAGTTATTCCCCAGATATTATTATATGTGAATATTTTCAAAAAATAGCGGTAAAATTATTATTTTCTTTTTGAGATCGTCACGGATTAGATTTTTTTTTTCAACGACTAGATAGTTTTTGAAATAAAAATGGTTTGGGGTAAAAGCCACATTATTGAATGCAGCTAGAAACAAATTAAATCGATTGCGCGGAATGTTTTAGAGTAATAATAATTGCAGAAAGTTCATAAATTTACATAATTAAGAATAAAATAAAGGAGTTATTATCGATAATTTCCCATTTTTCGGATTTTTTTTGGGAGCCCTAGATCTGACATGAAAGAATATGCAGTTTTTTTTAATCATTATCCAATGGCTGACGAATTTTCATAGTCCTATAATTAAACTTAAAGGCAATACATTTTTTTACTCAAATTTTAACACCCATTCCCCAGAAATTTATAAAGAACTTGAAAAATGAAAAGATGTCGACAATTTCGAAATCAATAATCAATTTTTTCAGGAGAAAACATTGAAACAAAAATATTTTAATGAGTGATTAAATTCCATCTCCTACTGCATTTTTAATACAAATATATAATTATTTAATATAATTTAAAAAATACATAATTTTTCATTTGAAGTTCACATTATTTGATGCTTTTAATATTATTTTTAAATCGATAATTATAGTTCGACTCTCTGCAAATCTGTATTGGCTAGTTCATGATAATGTTTAATCAATTAATGATAACGTTTAAACAATTAATGATACCGTTTGTGGCAATGATTACTAATCGCAGAAATTAAAATTTTCTTCAAAGCTACTTCTCATTGCCGCAAATTTCTCATTCCTCAATTCCCCCGCATTCCATTCCTAATTACTGAAATAACGGATTTATTCGTCTTGAATTGATATTATGAATCAATTGTTACTTAATTGGAGAAATTTACGGATCACTGGAAAAAAGTAGCCGCTAAAACCGTTTTCTCTTCGTACGTTTATTCTCTGTAGCAATTATGCAATTATCTCTCGAGCGAGTGGTTCAAGATTTTTTCAGAAATGGAAGAGTTTTCCAAGGGAAACTAATCTTCTGATTCGTTTTAAAGTTACAGTCGAGGTAATTGGATAATTAGCCAGGTGGGATGTGGTTTCGTTCCTCAATACTTGAATTAGGATTTTTAATTATGGGTTGTGACACTCCGGATAATTTTCCAGTTGACAAGTTTTACCGTAAAAATTTGCATATAACATTCAAATTGGGATATAATATGAGGGAAGTTGGAGATGAATGGTGTAGGCTGACTGTTAGTATCTCTTTTCTCATAAATTCAGATGAATTATGGGACAAACATTCTACCTCTACCCCAGTTACTTCGAAAAAACTTTTAAAAGAATCATTCTTCCCGGTTCATCCGAACTATCAAAATAAATTCACTGACCGAAATATTCCGTAAATTAAAAGAAAAATTGTTTTCAAATTAACAAATGAAATCAATAAATAATCGCAAACATGAATGTCATTGAAAGTGGTAAATATTGAATTGAATAAATTTGTTTAAATAACTAATTAAAATTTTGGAGGTCAATCGTAACTTTACTCGTTGGCAATAATTCAAATTTGAAATTAGTATTCATTAAAATAAAGAAAAACCTGAGAATCCATTCAATTTAGAAACATATTTAATAATCTCAAGTAATTATTTTCTTTTGTATATTAAGATGAAAATATTTTTTAACTTCTCAATAGTTACACAAAATTAATATAATTGAATTAAATAATTCATTCATCTGTTTCGACTACATCTTCTCGCGATTAAAAAATGATGTTCCATAAATAAATTGATGAAAATCCTTGCGCTAGGAATTCCGGATTCTGGATTTATGTGTCTGGATGTGAGAAAATAATTTAAAAAATGATTAAATCTTTGCAAAAGATTTTCTCCCAGTTCTCGTTTCTGAACAGATCTCTATCCCTACTTTATGTTTAATAAAGTGAGGATGGGGAAAATGGAACTAGGAAAAATTGATTAAACGAAAAACCCCGTTTCATTCTGCCCCGCTTTCCCCTGTACCTCGGATGAGACTAACTGTTGATGGATAAATTAAACTTTCGCTGATGATGATTTGCATCAGTCAAACGGTTTCTCCCTCGAAAAATAAATAAAAATGGATTTCTGGAATGGATTGTTCTAAAAAAAACAAACATCGAGACTATCGAAAAAACTGTTAATACAAGAGATCGAAATGTTTTTTCAATTCCGAGATACTGGTTAAAAAATTACCTAAAAAAATTAGCACTAATGCTAGTTTACTAATTGGCTACATCAGTAGTAAATTTCATTATTTGCTGTTTGTATAATTAGCGAAATTTTCCAGTGGATAAAAATCAAGAGAATCTTACCCCTGCACCATTGTGGTTCCTAACGTCATTCATGAAGGATTTCATCGGATAGAAGTAGTACGCATACGTCGGCTTAACATTTTCCTCTAGATTATTGGCATTTCTCAGCGGTAGCTGTCCACCAGCTAAAACATTCTTGAGGCTTTCCATGCTTATGGAGTTCCCTTGTGCTGCCTGCTTGTAAATTGAATGAAGTTGACCCTTGGTGAGCAGCGATGAGGCATCCTGTCCCCTCGACGGTACCTTAAACAATCCCAACGGAAAATTTCCACTTTGAACTTGGGTTGTCCTCGTGTAAGAGCGTGCGATAATTTTTCTGTGTATTTTCTAAAGTTTTCTGTATTTTTGAGTCAGAAATTTTGAGTTAGAAAAAAAATAGAAAAATTATTGCATTGTGACATTTTGGAGTCAATAAATAATTATAAAAGTGTATATTTGTTCGGCTTTTAGCTTTTTGGCTTTTGAAACTTTCATTTTTATCCCTCAAATTCACCTTGTCTTTCTGTCCATTCATAATTCTCTGAATATCGATGTTCCATTAATTATTTAAAAATTTGCATTCAGATGCAAGTGGTTGGAAAAGAAATAATTCAGTGACGACTGCCGATGATCGAAGGTTTCAGTAGCAAAGTGCTAAAAGAAGATAAGCTCACTGATCTCTCCGTTGAGTTCTTCAACAATATTTTTCAATATAACGAAGCGAACGGAATTTTGGTAATAAAATTTACTGTAGCACTCAACAGGTTCCACAAAATCGTTAAGGCCCGGATGGACTGTCTGGAAAAGATAATTTACTCCGAAATTCGGATTCCTAATTACTTTGGCAATTAATCGTTTTATTCAATAATTGTTAGCTAGCGTTCTAGCGGTTGTCAACAACTAGTCCGCTAGCTAACAATTATCGGAAAATACGATTAATTGACGGAGTAATTAGAAGTCCCAATTTTAGAGTGAATTATCTTTTCCAGACAGTCCATCCGGGCCTTAAAAATTCCTATCTTCTTTAGATTCTGAGATATTCATTGAGAACTCGTCACTATTAAAAATGATCTTCGTTTACCATTTGGCTACTGAATCCAATACAATTCAATTCAATTGTAATTCAATTAAAACCAAGAAAAAACGTAAAGAAAAATTACCTATCCGTTTGGTAACCGTTTTGTTTTAACCGTTCGAAGAAATTAACCATATCGCCATAAATTAGTGGATTCCCCAGTAAAAAATATGCAACCGTTTATTAATATATTGATTTATGAATCCCTCGATGGCGGTGATTAAGTACCTGATAATATTGCAGATTACCACCCCCAGGGTCTTGGATACTTTGTAATCCCTGGTGCTGCTGTATCCTCAAAGAATTAGAATTGGTATTGAGTAAACGTTTGCCTGCTAACAAATGAGCTCCATTACCCCCCAAATAAATGGGCACTTTGCCGATAGCATCTCTCATCAACTGGAGCTCTATCATCGCCTTCCTGAGGTACTCCTCACTGGACTCGGTGCTCACCGCACTGTGAGGATTCACTTGGCTCGCTATCAGGGCCACTTGCACCAAAACATTCCACAAGACGCACATTATCAATCTCCACTCTCCAATTAAATTCATTTTCAACTCCAAATTAATGCCACCTAAATATCAGTGGAATTATCAATATAATTTCATTAAAAATTATCATCTAATAGTTAAACACTTTAATTTCGGCAATAAATCACTAGTTTACATCTTCATTTGATTATTGTATTACTGAAAAACACGAGAACTGTTGTGAGTGATTTTTAACATTTATCTTTTTTACAGCTTATTGGTTGTAATTTAAACCGGATTCTGCGATCGTCTGGAAATGTTAGATTGTAAAAATTCCTCCATTTCTCGATTTCTTATCGTCGAAGTGAATTATTGCGGATGTACCGGCATCTCCCAGGACTGCGTATGTGTGAACGGTGGTGAAGTCCTCGATAAACTGGTTACTTCAAAGAGAGGCAATTGAACGTGTTCCCCACCACTGGAGACGCATTGCCGATCTCGTTTGCTGCATGTGCCTCACATAATTAAAATCTGCTTCGTCCTGCGGTAAATAAAAAATACCTTGCCAAGTTATTAAGTCGGATTAAGGATTGAAATAAGGATTGAAATAAGGATTGAAGGATCTTCTGCAACCTTTTAGTAATCAACATTACAGATTTTTTAGGATTCTGATAAATTGTTCAACGGACTAACGCAAAAAACTAAACGGTTGTCGCATTTTTTTTATTATACGGAAAGAATAATCTAGGAAAAAGTGATAAACCTATTTTTTTTAATAAAAATGGTTTTATGTATTAAATTAGATTTTTAGTAATAATAAATTGTTTTAGAAACTATTTAGTTCATTGAATATTTTGATAGATTCGCGTTAATTTATTATTCATTAACAAATATATAATGAAAATAAATAAGTATTCTATTAATTACACAGTTATAGAAAATCGAAGCAGAAAAGTGAATTGTTTAATTCTGTTAAATGAATTTTCTGTGGCTGTGGAGAACTTGGAAAATATTTTTCTAATGTTAATACACAAGACTATAATTAGTTGAGAGGTGAAATATGTTTCTAAATCGAATGCATCCTCAGGCATATTTTAATGAATATTCATTTCAATTTTTAATTATTGCTAACAAGTATAGTTACAATTGACTACCAAAGTTTCAATTAATTATTTTTATAATATATTAGAGTAGAAAAGTACAAATTACGAGCTGAAGGCTTTTCAGAATGCGATTTAGGTCCGATGTATGTATTATATATTTGGGATAATTTTATATAATTATATTTTCTAAACACTGTCTTGCGACAATCAATTCAATATTCCACCTTCAAGTAATATTTATTTAATGTTATATATTTATGAAATTTAAGATTTCACTGAATATTTAGTAAAATTGAAGAATCTTAAGGGACATGAAGATGAGAATTTTTTAAATTTATTTAATAAAATTTTAAATTTATTTTACAATTCAATATGAAAAAATTTTCCTAGCGAAACGACGAGACTTGAATTGAAATTAAAAAAATAATGGCACGCATATAGTTTACGGATTTTTTTTTGAGTGACAGATGGCGGTTTTTTTTAAAACGTCTTTTTAATTATTAAAAAATCAAAAAGATTTCTTTAAAAAAAAGCCATCCGGTGATTCTATTGGGGATTATTTCCAATGGGGGACCTTTTGAGGTATGAGTAATTAGACGCAGAGGGGAGTAACGGTGAAGGAGCACCCGAAAACGGGACTGGAATCCAGGACGATCGAGGACGATCGAGGACGATGTAAAGGGAATAAATCATTCTGTGATCCAGTGAACTCGTTTCGTAGGGAGGCCGTTGGGTTTGTGCTGGGATATCGTCGAACGATTTTTCAGTCAAGAATTGAAATTGTGAGTTTAGTATATTCTACAGTGTCTACACCCTTTCTGCTAGAATACAAGTTTTTATTTTCATTTTCTCTGCCAAACTTACGATGGGGTTGTATATATATAATATAATATATATATTTATACATAATATAATATATATATTCATACATAATATAATATATATTTTTCGCATTTTATCATTATTTGATAACTCGTAAAGTTTCACGAGCGTGCGATAATTTTTCTGTGTATTTTTTTAATTTTTATGGATTTTTGAGTTGGAAATTTTGAGTTAGAAAGAAAGTAGAAAAATTATTGCACGATCGTGACATTTTCGAGTCAATAAATAATTATAAGATGGTATATTTTTTTCGGCTTTCGGCCTTTTGGTTTTTCTAATTATCATTTGATAGGAAAAATGTGTAGTCATGATTTTAAAATCAGAATTTGATGATTTTACAACTAAACAGGGCGAGGCGTTATTCATTATCAAATATCATGACACAATTATTTCTGATTTCAAAAGATTTCGTGGAATACTTGATTTCAATTTACTGGAAATGATTTCAAAGGTTTTTCCCCATATTTCAAAAGTTCAAATGATTTCAAATAATTTCACATCTGATGTAATATGATTTCTCGGATTACTTGAGTTCAAATGACATCAGATAATTTCTAACGCTTCTCCCCCTGACTTCATGAGTTTAAATGACTTTAGGGCTTCCAAGTGATTACAGTCCAGAATGATACAGTGATTTTACCAATAAATAACCCCTCGGGGCTTCAACCGTCTCGGGAATTTAATTGGTCTCGATTTATCGAAGGATCAAGGAATAGAAGTGAAAGAGGCGAATCTTAATGGGGATTCTCAGAGTTTCAATGGGCACTCGAGCTTCTAGTTTCGGTTTGCGAAGCAAAAAGAGGAGATGGGTTGAATTTATGATTCCAGGAAGTTTGTACGCAGAAAAAAGTTGATTATAAAATTTATCCTGACTCTGCAGTAAAAATTCTAATTCCTTCGTCAGAATTCACAAGAGAATAAATTTTACAGTAGATTATTATATTGGTTATAAATCCACCAATTTGTGATTTGATAATTGATTTATTAATTAATTAAATTGAAGGCTGGTGCTGATGTGAAAGAAAGAAAACGTCTGTCACATTAAAGAAAAATAAATTGAACTGAATTGAATTCATTAATGAATCAGTTTCAAAATTCGAATAATTAATTAATTAATTAAATATTCATTTTTAGCGATGGATTAAGCGCCCTAATATCCATATTTAAGGGAAAAAATTATTCAACTCCATCGATTCCCTAGCAAACACTAAACTAGGATAAGTGTATTTTTTTCGAAACCAGTTTTTATCCTATACCTCGGAATTCAAGGACCATAGCGCATTTTTCATATAAACATCTTTTATAGAAAAAACTGAGACCTACGAAAAAGGTATCTATGAAAAAATCGTAATCTCCTTTCTATTTGGAGATATTCGCTAAAAATGCGCATCCAAAAAAAATGCACTTATCCTAATTCACAATTTGGTGATCCAGAATTGCGCTATAATAAGATTATCCATTAAAATATTTTTTTCTGCCTATTGTGTCCTGATTTCCCTGCAATTTTCCTGAACTTTTCCAAAATCCATAAAACTGTAGAGAAAATTCAGAAAAATTATTGCGCGCTAATGAAATTTCATGAGTCATGGATAATGATAAAATGTAAAAACGGTATATTTTTTCGGGTCAAGCCGATCAACAATTTGTTAGATAACTGAAAAAAAAAACAATAATTTCGGTTGAAAGGGGACAGTACATGGTTAATGGTGCGTTTGCGATTCCGCTCCTGAGGATTTGACATATCCTCTTCTCCTCATTTCCTCATCGGCAATTGTTAACGGTCTCGAAAGCCAATGAGGCCTCCAGTGCCACCGGAACTGTCCGCACGCGTTCCGTTGGTAAAATATAATTTACTTATTAATAATAACGAGCGTCGACAACGGGGAATTGCGGTGCGTCTACTAGTGCATATTCACAGTAAGTCAGTGTTATGACCCGTTACAACGCATGATAAGGAACAGTCAACGATTATTTACGCACTAATGACATTATGCACATTTTTTTCTATCCAATATCTAATTTTTACGAGTTCGTCATTTCCTTGTGCAGCACAAGATCAAGAACTACTCCGTCGTATATCTGAATGTTAAACACTGATGAATGTTGGATGCAGGAATTACGGGGATTCCCATTAATTTCCCCACTGATTGAAAATTTAATTTTAAATTCTAATGAAGAATTGTCCACAAAAATGTGAATAATCTCCGAGTAATTTTTTTTGTTGAATGTGTCTGGATAGGAATTGAATTTTGATTATTGATTATAGATTTACTTCTGTCAGATACTTTGAATTATTTCATTTCTTATCGGAAAATCCCATTGATTTATTTTTGCCCAGTCTAGAACCTCACGATTGGGAATTAAATCCACAAAAATCGTTAGAATAAAAAAATCGCTATCTTCTTTAGATTCTGAGATATTCATCGAAATTTTTAGGAATCACTTGTTAGTAGTCGAAATTTCCTTATTAGTGTTTACCACTTATTATATAAGATGGATGCGATATGTTAATAAAATGAAGACAATATAAAAGAACTTTTTTCTATCAAGTCCTTTTTTTAGTATACTATTCGAATATCATCGAATATCATCGAATAGATTTCTACTTGATCTATATTATTTTTTAATTACTTTGGGATTTAATTGATTGAATTATTTTTATTTATTATATTCATTCTATTACTTCCCATTAGAATTTAATGTTTTATTATCAATTTAATTTCAAAACACCAACGAAATCTTTACTTCTACAATTTATGAAAAATTCCTTAGCATTTAAACCCAAAAATTTGCATTTGCATTTGCTTTTCTGCGAAGCAGAATTTAAGCTCGGAAAAACCACCAAAAACCGGCACTATATACTAAAAGTATATATTATATACTTGGAACATATTTCATAAAATTTCCAGGTGTTACCAAATATCTCTTCCTTGAAGAATATTTATTATTCTCCTCTAGTTAATTACTGACTAACAATTCAATATTCAATTTTATTAGAATATTCGTACAAAAACCTCGATAACTGCTCTGTATTTTCCCTGAATTTCCCTGAATTTCCTCATTTCCGCATTACGGTAGATTGACAGATATTTCGTCACATTTCCCGGAATTGTCGAAGAACTATTCATTGAGGAAACAAGAGTATCTAATCAATTTATCTATAATCAATTACTACGTCATTTTAAATCAGAAGATACTAGATTATTTATTGTATTTTTTAATGTTCCTGTAGTTTTTATTTACGCTCATTCAGGTACGTATTTAATTTTAACATTATTGGTGATTCTCCTAACCACGAGGAGATGTGATTGTGTTGGGGAGACTCGAAAGTCATACACAAGCCGGAGGTCCTCTTTACCGGAGGCATTTTCATCGCATCCGGAGCCAATTGCTGACTCGTCCCGCATTCTGCTGCCAATAAATAAATAAACACTATGGTATGAACTTTAAACTATTCTGTAATCTATTCCACGTATTAATGTCTACTAATTTTTCATTATCACAGTTGACCATGTGAGAGAATACCTGATAAATGACATTCTAACCTCAATACCATCCAGATGGTTTTTTTAAATAATTTTTTCTGTCATTTAAATGTTGCATTAACCCTGAAAATGTAGTGGGGAATTCCCAGCATTTATCTGGAAAATTGAATAGAATTTAGAATAATTTTTTGAAAATTTAGGAGGGCCGGGGGTAAGATGGACGGATTTTTATTTAAATTGGTGTACTAGCAATTAACAGTACGGAATGAGTTTCTCGGATCACAGAATGACTATCTAAAAATATGAGCATCTTGCTGAGAATTGTTTATTCATTAATAGATTGAATGTCAAATTGATGGTTTAAGAGGAAATCATTTTTTTCATTTTTTCACGATTAGTACATGTAGTTTAAACAAAAATCGTTAAAGCACAACCATTTTTATTATTATAAGCATTATTCAATGATGTATTTTATTATTTGTTATTTTTTGGCATTATTCAAGTTTTTTTATATTTAGAGGCGCCAGTTGAGAGTTTATAAATCGACTAATTCTGTTCTAGTGGTAAACTAGGATAATTAGATTTTTTTCGAGACCAGCTTTTAGCGGATATCTCGGAAATGAAGGAAAATAACGATATTTTTATAGAAACATTTTTTCTAGCTCTCATCGTTTTCTATAAAAAATGTTTCTACAAAAAAATCGCTATGTACCTTCCGTTTCGAGATACCGGCGAAAAACTGGCGTCGAAAAAAATGTACTCATTCGAGTTTACCACTTCGCTCCAAGATAATTAAATAATAATAATTAATAATTGTTATTTACAGTTAAGTTAAATGAAAAATTGATGATTTGATTTAATGTTGGGATAGGGTTTTGAGAGGAAGGGCAGCTCCAAGGTGGAGTACCTCCTGAAGATCGAGCGTGAGATACAGCTGAACTGGGAAACTCAGAAGGTCTATGAAGAGGATGCACCCACTGCGCCTAGACACTCCAGGGATGACAAGTTCTTCGCAACTTTTCCCTTTCCTTACATGAATGGACGACTACATCTTGGCCACACTTTTTCTTTATCCAAGTGCGAGGTAGGTCAGCTTCTTTTTTAACAATAATATGAGCTAGAAGTTGAACTATTCTCCAGTCAGAATAGAATTGTTCTAAGAATTCCTTTTGTAAAGTGCAATGGGAGTAGCAAATGAAGAGGTAAACTAGGATAAGTGGATATTTTGAGAGCGAAGTACGACTCACAGTGTCAACGGTTTGGAATTCCGTTGATAAATCGAAATCAAAATAATCTAATAGCCTGACAGAGAATTGACTTATAACAAAGTGAACGTAAATATGAAGGTATCTCCTTGAATTTCGCGATATTGATTAAACGCTCTCCTCGAGAAAAATGTATTTATCCTAGTTTATCATTTCGCGTAAAGAATGGGTAATTGATAAAAATGTTTATCTTTCATTGATATTAATTGAAAGGACATTGTGACAGTTCGCAGTGCGTTATAATCGGCTGCTGGGTAAAAAAGTGCTGTTCCCGTTTGGTTTTCACTGCACGGGGATGCCGATCAAGGCGTGTGCAGACAAATTGACACGCGAGATAGAGCTGTACGGTAATCCCCCAAAGTTTCCCCACGACGCCTCTTCGGATGATCAAGAGATTCCGGATGATCCAATAATAAAAGATAAATCAAAAAGTAAAAAGAGTAAAGCAGTGGCGAAGTCGGGTGCAGCCAAATACCAATGGCAGATAATGGAGTCCCTGGGACTGGACGCATCGGAAATCTATAAATTTTGTTCCCCCGCTTACTGGCTCGAGTATTTCCCACCATTGGCGGTGAAAGATCTCAAGTCAATCGGTCTGCACATCGACTGGCGTCGAACATTCATCACGACTGATGCTAATCCATTCTTCGATTCCTTTGTCAAGTGGCAGTTTCGTCACTTAAAATCTCGAAATAAAGTTAAATACGGTAAACGCCACACGATATTCTCTCCCAAAGACAATCAACCATGTATGGATCATGACAGATCCTCGGGGGAGGGTGTCGGACCCCAGGAGTACATCTTAATAAAAATGCAAGTGCTGGAGCCTTTTCCCCCTTATCTTGCCGCCCTGAAATCTCGAAAGGTCTTCCTGGTGGCAGCGACACTTCGCCCGGAGACCATGTACGGACAAACCAACTGCTGGGTCCACCCAGACATCCCCTACATAGCCTACACTCTGACCAACGACGAGGTCTTCATCTCGACTCGTCGATCGGCTCGAAACCTCAGTTATCAGGGCTTCACCAAGACTGAAGGCCAGCTAGACGTGCTGGCGGAGTTCAAGGGCCAGGACATCATGGGTCTCGCCCTTAAAGCTCCACTCACCAAACACCAGGTCATCTACACTCTGCCAATGTTGACCATCAGCGAGGACAAGGGTACGGGAATCGTTACCTCAGTCCCCAGTGACTCTCCAGATGACTATGCTGCGCTCATGGATCTCAAGAAAAAGCAACCTCTCAGGGAGAAGTACGGGATCAAAGACGAAATGGTTCTGCCTTACGATCCCATTCCTGTCCTCAACATCCCCGAATTCGGTGACCTCTCCGCAGTCACTGTCTACAATCAGTTGAAAATTCAATCCCAAAACGACAAAATCAAGCTTCGAGAAGCCAAGGAGATGGTATACCTCAAGGGTTTCTACGACGGAATCCTCCTCGTCGGTGAGCACAAGGGGAAGAAAATCCAGGATGTGAAGAAGCTCATTCAGGGAAAGATTATCGAGGAGGGAGGAGGGATTATTTACTATGAACCTGAAAAGACAGTTATCTCCAGATCGAATGACGAGTGTGTGGTGGCTCTTTGCAATCAGTGGTATCTCAATTATGGGGAACATTCGTGGAGGAAGGAGGCGGAGAAGAGCCTCGCCAGTCTTGAGACCTTCCACGAGGAAGCGAGGAGAGGCTTTCAGGCGACTCTCGATTGGCTTCATGATCATGCGTGCTCCAGGACTTATGGACTGGGTACCAGACTCCCCTGGGACGACGCCTGGCTCATCGAGTCCCTCTCAGACTCTACTATTTATATGGCTTATTATACAATTGCTCATCTCCTTCAGGGAGGGACCTTCAAGGGAAATAAGGAGAATGCTCTGGGGGTGAGACCTGAGGATATGACCCCTGAAGTCTGGGACTACGTCTTCTTCGGGGTGCCCAAACCCAAAACGACCAAGATCAAGGCAGAAGCCCTGGAGAGGATGAGGAGAGAGTTTCTTTATTGGTACCCCGTGGATGTCAGGGTCTCTGGGAAAGACCTCATCCCCAATCATCTGACCTACTTCATTTATAATCACACTGCCATTTGGCCGGATCAACCAGAACTCTGGCCCAGAGCCATCAGGGCCAATGGACATCTTATGTTGAATTCTGCCAAGATGTCAAAGTCTGATGGCAACTTTCTGACACTTTCTGAAGCTGTTAGCAAGTTCTCAGCTGATGGCATGAGACTTTGTCTCGCTGATGCTGGGGATTCCCTCGAGGATGCCAATTTTGTGGAGACTATGGCTGACGCTGGGATTCTCAGGCTCTACACGTTCATTGAGTGGGTTAAGGAGGTGTCTGAGAGTACAAAGAACTTCAGGAGCGGCGAGGCTAATACTTTCAATGATAAAGTTTTCGTCAGTGAAATGAATCTCAAGATCAGGGAGACTGGAGAGAATTATAGGAGAATGGTGTTCAAGGAGGCTCTGAGGACTGGGTTTTTTGAGCTGCAGGCTGCCAGGGATAGGTATTTGCTGTTAGGGGCCATTGATGGAGTGCACGGGGGACTCCTTAAGAAGTATATCGAAGTGCAGACTGTTTTGCTTGCACCTATTTGCCCTCATGTTTGTGAGTTTGTCAGGGGTATCATCGGACTTGGCAGTGTCCTGGATGCCAGGTGGCCCGAGGAAGGCGTCGTTGATGAGGTGAGTTCAATTGTTCTTCTGTCATTTTCTTGTGAGTGCTACCATCGCCATTCTCTCTCTTCCTTTAGACATGTTCGATATTCCTTTAACCAAATTCATGTTTTTAAAATAGTTTCATTAAAAAAATATAATTCAAATGAATCGGCGGTTTATTAATAAATTCGATTTTGAGGAGCAGCTGCTATTTCTATTTCAGTGATCCTAGATCTAGTTCTATTCTGAAAGTAAAACTGGTGTCAAGCGTTTTTAGAAAAGTTTGTGCGGTGTGGAGACCCATCCACTTAATAAACAATTAAATAAAAAAAACAGGATTGTCACTTCCAAGCTCAACCAATAGAAACATAAAACATAATCTTCATGCAACACTTGTCAAGTGGATAGTAAAGTAATATTTTCCCATCAGGTGCTTATCAAGTCGTCTCAGTACTTAATGGATGCGGCACACTCATTCAGGATCTTCCTGAAGAACCATTGCACTGTGAAAAAGTCAGGAAAAGGGAAGCCCGAGGCAATTGAGAAACCGAATATTGGGACCATTTGGGTGGCGAAGTCGTTCCCCACATGGCAGAGTATCATATTAATGACAATGAAGGAGCTCTGGAAGGAGAATGGAAAGTCAATGCCAGATAACAAGGTGATTGCAGTCGAGCTCGGAAAAAAGAAGGAATTGAAAAAGTACATGAAGAGGACGATGCCCTTCGTCCAGGCGACACGAGAGAAGATGGAGACTCTGGGAATTGCTGCGCTCAATCTCACCCTGGACTTCGACGAGGTTGAGGTACTCCAGGGCAACTTGGAGTACCTTAAGAGCACCCTGGACCTTGACAATCTGGAAATCAAGTTCACGGATGAAGCCCCTGAGAAGACGAGGGAGGAGTGTTGTCCTGGAGCACCATACATCAGTTTTGACAGCACTTCAGGGATCGTTGTCACTGCTGTCAATCCCCAGAAGTGCAGTGGATTGTTCAGTATGCTTGTGAAAATTTCAGAAGGAACCACTGGAGCTGATATTGCTAGGAAAATCGTCAAGGATAACCGGCAACTCAAAGGTGAATTAATTAATTATAAATTAATTTTTAACGAAATTTGTAATAACAATTTCAAAGAAGTAATCAAGAGTTTTTTATTTGAATTTTCTCTTCAGAACCAGTGGCCGATTGATTAATGCCATAAATTTTTTAATTCCATTCTTCATGATCATGTAATGATATAACAAATGTTTTTTAAAAATTAAATCTACTTTTCTCAGAATCTAAAAAAAATATTACTTGTTAATTGATAACGTGATAAATCAGTTGAATTACTTCAGTCATTTATTAAGAATATCTGATGAATAAAAATTTTTCTTTCAGATTCATCCTCAATATTCCTTTACCGTTTCGAGGATCCAATTCTCGGACCGAGGACAATACCCTCAAGCCAAGACATCTTGAAAGGAACGGTTGAAATCCCCTCAAACGCAGTATTCTCCATAAATACTGACACCAACGTTGTCACCCTGAAAGTAGGAGATTCCTCCTGCGAGATTGGAAGTGAAATACTGTATTACGTTAAAGATGATATAAACTGATTGATATCGCCGTTCCATTTCTTTGTAATTAATATTTAACTCCACTAACCTACAGCAATAAAAATTATTATCTTGTCAACGAGCAGAGTAGAAAATAATACGGTAAAATAGGCACTAGTCTTTTTTATCAAAAGGCTATTATTTGGAGTCGGGTTAAGGCTCCGATGGAATATCTCGTAAAGATAATTTACTCCGAAATTCACTTTTCTAATTTCTCCGATAATTAATTGTTTTTTTTTTCAGGAAAATAGATAACCATTTCAGAAAAAAAATAATTGATTGGCGCAGTAATTAGATAACTAAAACTTTGTCTTTGAGATAATTCACCCAGGCCTCAATGATAATCTCAAATTCAGTAGCCAAGTCGTAAAGCAAGATAAGTGCACATTTTCTCGAGATGAGTTTTTTCTAAATATAGCAGGACTGAACAGAAATATCGATATTTGGATAATTAACTTTTTTATAGCGATCACCTTTCTCTACAAAAAATGCATTATCAAAAATATCGCTATCTCCCTTCACGTCCGAGTTATTCGGTAAAAACTAGCCTCGAAAAAAATGCACTTATCCTAGTTTACCACTCCTCAACATAATTATTCTGATCTTTTCGAAATACTTCCTTAATATCGATTCTGAGCGAAAAAGTGCTTTTGCTAAATAAATTTATCAGGCACACGCCAAAAGATACAAATATTTGTTTTTGAAATTTGGGGATAATCTAGCCAGTACATTAATTTGAAAAAAAACATTTTTTCAGTGCGCACCGAGGCCTGAAAAATGTAGGAAAAAAAACCCCAAATATTCCCTCAAATAACCAAAATCAAAGTGAAGTTTCCCTCTCCTGCGAGCGCCAGCTTTCGACCTGGGCCCTGATCTTGGCAATCTCAAGGGCACTGACCCTACAGCACCCCCCAATGTACTGCACACCCCGATCAAGCCACTGATGAATATATTTCTCAATCTCAAGCCTGGCTTCGCCCTTCCAGCCTTCCTCAGGCACGTAAACCTCTCCGCTGTTGGGGTAAACAATCAAAGGCACGAGCTTGCCCTCGGGAGTTGCCCTGAGGGCCTCAAGGTATTCATTAACACAATGAGGAGCGACACAATTGATCCCCACGGCGACAAGCTGCCCGGGTCTGGACCTTCTCCAGCAGTTGAGGGCCACTTCCTTGAAATCGGAGCCATCGACAAGGGTCTTCCCATCGTTCGAGGAGGAGAACGATAGCCAGGCCTTTGTATCTGGAAACTCTTTGAGGAGTTCGACAAGTACCTCTGCCTCCTCGGCGCAGGGGATTGTCTCGATGGCCAGGAGATCGACCCCTGCTCTGATCAGAGTCTGGATTCTCGGCCTGTGCCACTCCTTCAGCAACTCCTTGGACACGCATTTCCCGTAGGAACCCGTGTATTCACTCGCGTCGTGGAGACTCGCCCCGTATGGTCCACACGATCCCGCAATTAATGGATATCTGATAATTACAGTAAATAATTATACACACGTCCTTAATATTAATTCATTAACATTATTTTTTAGGGAAACACATTAATCTTCAGAAAATATGCATTCGAATTCAATGAAATACGTTGGTGTACTATTGATTATCTGCACCTTCGAAATTTGATTGGAATTCATTAATAATATAAATAGTTAACAATTATGTCTGACGATGAATTGATTACACAACTGATGAATTCAAATAATCTTAAACTGGATTATTGACTTTATCAGTAATTAAAATCAGACAAATTGTGATTAGGCAATTAATTGATATTCGAGTACCTAATGAGTCATAAATTTTCATTAGTGAGCAATCATTTTCCTGTCTTTTCTCCAAAGTTTTATGAGTTTTTGAAGAATTCAGAAAAAACGCAGAACAAATTATTAGAGTCATGATAATCTGGGAATCATTAGATAATGATAAAATGCGGAAACCGGATATTATTTTAGGTCAATGCGATCAATAATTTGTTTGAAAAAGCCTGATAATTTTCTTGACAAACTCACGATGGGAGTGAAAAGAGAAGAGTGAAAAAATATAAACTTTCTGCCCTTTGTCACTATTTAATGACTTACAAAGCTCTTCCTTTAAGACCTCCAAATTTCCAAAAAGAATCACAAACTGTACAAAAAACTCATAAAAATTATGGCAGCACCATGAAATTTTATGAGCCATTAACAATGACAAAACGCAAAAATTACTATTTTTTCACGTCAACAAACGTTTTTCCATCAACAATTTGCAAGAAAAATTAAAAAAACGATTTTTGGCTAGAAGAGTCTCAACCATTTCCAAGTCAACAGATCCGTTTGATCCACTTGTCGACCGAGTTGAAGGAAGAGAAAAATGAAAACACCTGTTAACAGCTTCCTCGTTGCTCCCGATTTCTTCTTTGTACATGTTGACGGCCTGAGTGGCGAGGTCGACAGCCTTCCGGATGAGCTCCAGACTGTCAGTCTCACTCATCCCGAGGTACTTGCTGAAGCCCTCCACCGAGGCTTGATAGGTATTAGTCTCTATAATATCGCTACCAGCTCGTAAAAAATCGAGGTGAGCTGATACAACAGCGTCTGGGTAGGTTGCCAGGAAACGCGCCGTCCACAGAGGATCCCCGTCTGCACTCTTTCCAACATGTTGAGACACTTGTGTTGAAAAACTGCCGTCTAACACCGTGACCTTTGTCATCGTTGCTTTTTTATTCTGATTGTAGGGTAATTGGTCTAGATGATGCAATTTCTCGTTATTAATGTGGAGACTGTTAAAACGGTTAAGACGTACATCGATGGTGAACAAACGAAAACAGATAACACATGCTGATTGGTCAGGATGAATGCGCCCTCTCCTGGAGGATTATATCAACGGCTTCAATGGTGATTGGTAAGGAAACATTATCCGGACTCGAAGCGGATGTCAGACTTTTTTTTACATTTCAGTAATTAGTGAAGTGAGATATGTCGAATCTAATTTTTTATTAATTAAGGACTTATTTTAGGAACTATCCCCCTTTTTGTATTAAGAAGTTTTTTTATATTATTTCACTAAATTTATGGCTCTTTTGTTCGCGAGCCGCAGCTTTTTTTAAATTGTTTTTCAAGTAAATTCTAAATTAGCAAATGCAAAAGACTATTGCATAGATAAATTGAGTAGAATCTCGTTTTTCTACACTATTTTATCTATAAAATATTATTACCTTTTTTAGTCAATTCATCATTCACAAAAGAACTAGATATTGGAAATTAGAATTCCAAATTTTGGAAGGTAGTGGTGAAGTGGTAAAGCGAATAGTCGGATTTTAATATTATTAAACGTTGATTATTAAATCGATGTCAGTAGGAGATATAATAAGCTATCGAAAAAGTCGTCTGTTTATTGTCTAAATCGAAAGTCTGGAGGGAAACCTGATGATGAATGGAATAATAAATCCATTTTATCACGCCTTGCCATTTTGTTATTTACAACGACCAGATAATCGTTTTTGGAGGTATTTTTTCTATTAATATTCTAAGATAGTTATAAAAAATGTCGAAAATCTACGGCTAGGGAAATATTACAATTTCTCTTACGTTATCTCATTTCGCTGTACACAAAAGATGTCTACAAAAATTCTGATATCTCAAAATCAAAAAATATCTCAAAAGATATTAAAATCTTTGTAAATATCTTTTTTATAGAGCGCAATAAGACTAATAAGACTTACAAACAAGGTCATGAGCAAAAATGCGATATCTCTCTTGATTCCGAGATAATGTCAATAGACGAAGTCATGTGACAATTTTTTTAAATGTAAAACTTGAAAATTCTTGTCATTTATGGCTTCATACGTTGGAGTTTATTATTTTTAAAGCATAAATTACATTATTTATGTAATTTCGTAATTTTTTAATTTCGTAATTTTGTAATTTTTTAATTTCGTAATTTCGTAATTTCGTAATTCCGGAATCCCGTAAATTACCTCTTCAAAATCGTAATTTATGATCTCAATCTAGAAACTTACCACATTGAGATCATCTATTACGAGATTAGCAAATCGTAAAATGCAGGAAAAAACTCGTAATTTAGGTAATATTCCCATAATTTCCAATCTCAATCACAATATCCGTTATTTCTGTTGTAAATCACGCAATTGATCTCGTAGTTAAACATTTTTTAATATTGTAAATATTGAGAAAATGCACTTATCCTAGTTTACCACTTCGCTGCTGAATAAAAAATCGTCTTTCAAAAATCCCCAGATTTTGCATATTTGGCATATCGCCGATATGAGATATCAATGAGAATATTTATAAAAATTTCTGTATCTCATGTTATTTCAAGGATGTTTACAGATAATTCAAGTTAAGCCAGCACTTATCCTATTTACCCGATTCACATAAAATTAAATCTAGAAAACAACTAAAAATGGAGTGCAATCTTTTTATGATCATCAACAACACTGAGGATCCCTCTTCTTCTTCTCGAGCCACTCCTCGACTTCGGCTTTTATCTTGGTGACATCTTTGGCGTATGTTCTGCAGCATCCGCCGACGTATCTGACGCCGAGATCGAGCCACTCCTGAATGAAGTTCTCGAGCTGGGGCTCATTGCCGTATTTTCTCCAGCCTTCGGCGACAGTGTAGGTCTCACCGCTGTTAGGATAAAGAACAAGTGGTACAGACTGTTCGCCCTGATTGATGCCTTGGAAGAAAGAAGCGGCGAGCCTTGGGGCGATGCAGTTGATGCCGACAGCGACGAGTTGGCCGGGAATTGCGCTCCTGTAGGAAGCGATGGCGGTCCTCCGGAAGTCACTCCCGTCAACAATCCTTTTTCCATCAGTGCGACAGGAGAAGCTCATCCAGGCTTTGGTGCTGGGATACTCTTTGAGGAGTTCGACAAGGGCCTCGGCCTCAATAGCGCAGGGAATCGTCTCCAGGGCGAGTAGATCAACTCCACTGTTGATGAGGGCCTCGATCCTGGGTCTGTGCCACTCCCTCAGGAAACTCTTCGTCACCGTCGACGCATATGATCCCGTGTACTCTGAACCGTCGTGCAGTGATGCACCGTAAGGACCACAGGAACCTGCTATCAAGGGTCGCCAATCCTTTGATCCCGTGGAATCCATCGTACCTCTTTCTTCCATGTAAATCCTTACTGCCTCATCCGCAAGCTCCACTGCCTTGTGGATCAAATGCAGACTCTCTGATTCTGTCATTCCAAGATGCTCCGCGTACCCCTCCACCGAGGCCTGATAAGTATTCGTCAAGATAATATCTGAACCCGCCCTGAGGAAATCGAGGTGTGTTGCCAGCACAGCCTCAGGGTGGGTCGCCAGAAAACGCGCTGTCCACAGGGGATCTCCGTCTATCTTATCACCCACGTGCCTCGATAATTGCGTCGAAAATCCACCGTCGACTATCGAAATTATTGCACTCATCCTTACTTCTCCTGGTGTTGATGCAACGGTATCTAGAGGACTACTGCTCTGACCTCTGAAGAAGATCGCGGAGAGACTGCGTTTTAACTGTGCCAAAGTCCACAATGTTGCGCGCGGTACTCGTTACTTTTTCGAAAGATAGAGATTATAAATGTGTTTAAGTCGTAGGCTGCGTGTGTACTTGTTACAATGTAGTGAAAATTGATTACAGAACCCGAGACAAGTGACGAAGAGTTTTTTTTTACCTCTGCCAGCTATTTGTCGAGCAATATTGGCCCAATGTCGGCGGACTTGTGAATCGATCTTACGTGTCTTCTGGGGGAATAACGACGATTTTCTGTCGAATGATTCAGATTTCGCAGGTTTTCTACAGATGTCAATTTTCTTTCGGTAGCGAATTTAAATAAAATTTTGCCAATTTTTACTAAAAATAGAACAAGTGACAAGAATTTGACATTGACTTTAGTTTTTCGATAACTTCAAGTTATTCGTTTTTTTTTCATTGCCATTCCTTTTTTTATAAATAATTATTAAAAACTTCAATATCCTGAATTTTAATTTGAGATCAAATTATTTGGGTGACTGTTTTTTTGGAATTGAAATTCATGTTTTTGATTTGAATTTTCAAATTTATCATGAGACCTGAACAATTTTATATTTTATTTTATTATTTATGCATTTGAACGGTAAGTTATTTCCAAAAAATCCGTTAACTTTCCTAATTGCTAATATTTATGAAAAATTCTAGGAAACATCACCGGAAATTGTGGGAATCTCGGGATTAAAGTTCTTTAAAAAAACATCATATCGTTTGGTATTTCTCTATTTAATTATAGAAAGTGAAAAAGAAAATATAATTTCATCGTAACATCTTATTGCCTTGGAATATTAATATTGCTATAACATAGAGCCACGCAAAAAGATGCAAGTTTATTTACAATAGTTAAAAATTACCATGATTAAAGTGGTAACAACGTGTATAAATATTTATCACAATTTCACTTCGTTCGGGACAGTACATCAACGAAAAATACTCGAATAGGGAGGAAATAACCTGACACCGTATACAAAAATCGCATTCATCTTGAATACCGTACATATCGAATTGGATCTAAAAACTTTCAAGTGCGTGAAAATCTCATAAAAAATAGAAACTAAATCAATGATTAGAGCAAACTACATTCGTGTAAATATCGTTAAAATCTTTCGCTTGTAGAGCTAGAGTTAGGTCCTTACTTTGGTTCACAATTTCTAGATTCATTATCGATCATCTTAGAGTCACAAAGAAAAAAAAACAATCACTGGACCCAAGTGATTACATAAAAATTCATTAATTAAAATCCATCAAAATTTCTCCAAGACTTCTAGTTTGTGAAAGCATCTTCAATTTGTGCGTTTAGACGCCAATTAATCTACACTGAGAAAAAAAAATACTTTTCACGGAAAGGATTCAAATATTTCGGATAATTAATCAATTAATCGGTTAACTAATTGAGTAATTAATCTTCCGATTAATTGCTTAATTAGGTAATTCGTTAAGAAATAATCTCAGTGAAAAAAACGTGGAACGTGTGCGGAGGGAAATGTCCAGGAATAAAGGGTAATTTTACTCGAAAATTTTTCATTCTGTCTTGACCAATCATTTCGTTCTCTCATGGACAATACAATGTTTAGTTGATAATTTCAAGGATGTTCTACACTCTTTCCCCCAAAGTTCTCTTTCTTGCTTCCAAACGGAAGCTTTGTAATCCGATCTTCGAGTTTCCTAATTTTTCTTGGAAATTATGTAAAATTATTAGAAACGTAAAAATACAAAATTTGAAACACCATGTGTGTGTGCGCATGGTCAACTTCGCCCACTCTTTTACCCAATTGAAGAAATAAATAGCTAGTATTTTTTCGATGAACCTGAAATTTCGGCAAATTCTAGGCATTACTGAGGACTTAGCCTGTGCCAAAATTCTGCTTGATCGGTCCAGCCATTTTTCATAAATTGCCATTTGATTCTGAACCGTTCGTTGCAATATCTCGAAAACTATCCAACCGATTTCAATTTTTCGTCTCCCCAAATATTTGTCTGGATGTACTCCATTTCAGTGTCGAACATCCTTAAATATTAACAGGGGGAAATTTTCTTGTTTCAATAAATCTTTTTTGGAAAAAGTAATTTTTTTCTCAGTGTATTCATCTGAGGCTCCCTAGGGGAAACCACTCGATGGTTTCTCTAGTTAAATCGAGGTGTGACAAGGGGAGGTGAATTCCCCCGAGGAATTCATTCTCCTGGAGTGTGTCGTGGTTCCAAATTGTCGCTTCCAGGGCCCGATCCTGGATCACCTCCAGAGGCATTCTGTACTCCAACTGAAAACGAGGAAAATAATGAGGAAAATCATTCATGGAGGAAAACAATTCGCGCAGGAGGAAGAAGTCTCACCATTTCCATGAACGATGGATGGCAGTTCTTCTTGACGACTTTGGTTTTCCTTTTGGTTGCCTTCGTAGGGTCAGGTTTGAGGTAAACTTTGACGTAGGTGTTGGGCTCTTGAGCGTTGGCAACCTTTGGCAAACCTCGGGCATGGTGGATCATCACTGATAAAGTCCCACGAGTATAGTGAAGAGATATTTTTATTTGACCACACTGCACGTTCTCTAGGATTTTTCTCTCTGCCCACCAGTTTCCCACTGAAAAATGAAAAAAAATCCATAAACATTCAGTTCTATGAATTTTTTATGAGCTTAGAAAAAACTTTTTGATGAGCTTAGAAAAAACTCAGGAAAATGATTGCACCATCATAACATTTTGGGAGTCAGTTTTTTCGGGGCAATCCGATTACCAAATTGTCAAAAGACTCAAAAAAAACTTGAGATTGTATTTAATAGATTAACCGTAAGTACAAGGCACTATATGGATACAAATCGTAAAAACCTGATACTGTATGCAAAAAGAGAATAATTTTTTTATGAACATTGGACATGGACATGGGAAATTCATGCATAATTAGAAGAGGTAAAGGGTGAAAAGTTGATTTAGCTAATTTTCGAATTCTCGACACATTTAAAAACCTAAGAGAGATAGAAAATTCGAGTGAGAACCCCGTCTCAGCTCTCATTCCCCTTCACAAAGGAAATCTTGACAATAAACATGACTATCCCTCTCAGATTTATAAATATTTCCAGATAATCCGACAAAGCCACAAGTGTACGTGTCACTAAGTGCACGAAGAATTAGAAATTGAAATAAGTGAATACCTTTAACTTTTCGTAGATGAATGTCAGCATTTTGTTGATCCCGCAGAAGTGGATGGAAGAAAGTGTATACAAGGTCGCTCTGAGATATCTCAGGTGCCATTTTGAAAAGACTGAGCAGAAATTTTTCGATATCAGCTCGCCTCTTGTCAGCAACTTGTTTGATATTCGATCGGCCCACACTCATGCCACTCGGTAAACTGAAAATTCCAAACAAACATCAAGAACATTGACCAAAACTCGAGATCGTGATTTAGGATTAGGTTGAATGAGTAATCGACGTGGAAAAATTGTGCCTAGAGACCAACGTCTCATCGTAATCTCGAGCTGATCTAAACCTGCGAGATAGCCAACTCTATAAAATTTACGATAGCACAAGTGCGTATGAGTGAGTCATCCTGGAGATGTCAGTGTATCAATTCATTGTGTCAAGGAGTTTTATGATAAAGAATTAGATAAATGGAATTATTCCCTGCTTTCATATCGCACCACATCGAATCGTACTCCTGTCAGGTATAGATCAACCGATTCTCTCTTTTTATATTAAAAATAGTGTCAGTATCATCCCTTAATATTAAATATAATTTCGTTCTACAATCTAACAGACGAGAGAGTGATGATAATAATAATTGGATTCTTTTTTGAATGAGCACTGAATAAAATTAACGAAGCGAGGGGTTATTCATTGACGAAATCACTGGGTTACTCAATTAAAATTATATGAAATCAGTCCTGAAATGATGTGAAATCATTTGTAATCACATGAAATCAGCAATAATGGTCTCATGATATTTGACAGCGAATTCCACTCGTAAAAAAGATTTTTCGTTCTTTCTTTTCAGTAAAAAAATGGGACTGAAATGGTTTCGTGCTCGAATCGCCCTGGACAAGCCGACGACTCACAATTCCCCGGGTGTTCCAGGTTTCTATCGGTCAGTATCGAATTTCGATGGCGCCATTTGGCCACCTCCTCCGACGCTTGTACAAAAACCCAGACCAGTTGCTGTGCCTGTGGCACCGCCTCAAGTCCCCGTACAATCCCAAAATCCCACAGCATTGCAATCATCGGAATATAGACGAAGTAGTGCATCCAGCGAGGAAGGTGTGGGTGGTTTCAAATTGCCGAGAGCATCGGTGGAAATCTTGAGGGAAAAGCAGATAGAGGACACGACGAAGAAAGCTGTCAGAAAGAAGAAAGCAGCACCAAAACCTGGTGATGCTCCGAGGAAGAATGGCAGTTCTGGGGCCAGGGAATTTGTTATTTAATACTATTCTACTGGATTTTTGCCATATTGTTAATAAATTCTGTGAAGAAGTGGTAAAGGGAAATAAGTTAACTTATCTCTCAGTTGAGTTTTTGAGCAATACCTGTGAATCTAAGGACGATAGCGGAATTTTTGTCATAACATTTGTTGTAGCACTCAATTAGTTCCATAAAAAAGGTTATAATAAAAATTTTAATACCTTTTCTAGATTCTGAGATATTCATCGAAAACTTGTCAGTAGTCATAATTAACTACTGAGGACTCCGGTTTTTCACCTTGAAATGTCAACCAAGTGCCAGTTTCAGTGAAAATTCTGTTTTTTTTTATCGGTGGAAAGGGTAAATTACAATTGAACTATTCTATGAAATTTCATAGAAATTGTGGGAAATCAGGATTTTTCTTGAATTTACAAGAAATCTTGAAGGCGCGTACATTTTTTCTTGCTGGAAGTCTGATTTTGCAGACGATTCAGTAATTTTTTGAATAGTGTGAAGTGAAACATTTAGGATTCCAAGAATTGTTGATTCTGGGAGGAAATACAAAAATTTATTTCTCAGTGTGTAGTCTCCTCTCTACACATGCAAAAACCGAGTTTACTAAATTAAAATAAATCGAACGACTCGAATGAGTGGAAAAGTCGGTGTAATCTCCTTATAACAATAAAACTAATTACCTTGCTACTTTGGCGAGGGGAAAATGAATGCAGAGCTTCTGATAGAATTCGCAGAACTCCTTGTACGACCTGAAGAGGTACGTGGGGTCAGCCTGTCCTTTTCTCTGAATACGCAGTATATACATGTAATATTTCTCTGGATCATATCTCTTTTGATATCCATGGACTTGGACACTGGTCAACTGTCCTTCCTGTTGCATTCTGTTGACGAAAGATGAAACACAGAGTGAAATTCAACTCGTAAACAATCAAAGCTCAACCAAAATAATTTCAAGTTGAATGAGTTCAATTCAACTGCTTCCACACTCTCTTTTATTATATTATATCTCGAATCTATTGAAGCTGGTGAATATTCTCAATTATATTTTTTGTAGAAGAGAATAAGATCTACAGAAAAACGCGAATCTAGGTGTAATTTTTTTTTTCTGTCCTAATGAATTATAATAATATATTGCACTGGCGAAACATTAAGGAGTTATCGCCGATATCTTCTCATTTTTTATTCTTTATACATTTCTGGAAACCCTCGATTAAATTAATGTTAAAAAATACACCGTTTTAATTTTAAACTATACCGTTTTCGTCATTATTCAATGACTCATAAATTTTTCTAATCTTGCGTTTACCTTTCGAAATTTTTCCAAAGTTTTGTGAATTTTTGCAAAAAGTTTACTGAGAAGATAGAAAATGTCTTCCACAGTGATAAAACTTTGTGGGACATTAATGAATAATGAAATTTTAAAATTGTATTTTTTCCTCATCAATTTCATCAACCATTTCTCAGAAATGTGTATTTAAAAAATTGGAAATGAGAAAATATCGGTAAATGTTTCATCAAGAAACCGTTGAAAATATTATTAACAGACTTACGTGTACGTTCTCGGGACAAATGAGAGGAGTTCACCGTCGCTCTGATCTCCAGTGAACCTCAGCTGCGCGAGATTATGAAGGAAGAAATTGAACTGAGTGAACCAACTTTTGAGGGAGCTCTCGATCATCCTGGCGAAGGTGGCTGCAGCTTCAGGATTCGTTTGTCCAGGTAGCAAAGCCTTCTGCACGTAGCTGACCGCATCCATGGTGACACCAGAAATTCCCGAAGAGGTCATCTGTGGAGTATTTGTGTACTCATTCATCCTGAGTCTATTCACCGTCTCCTTCATCTCAATATCGCTCAATTTTCTCGCAACACGGATATCATTCCCATGGGAATTTTCATTCATCTTTTCCCTCAACAAATTCTCCATTGCGTTCACTTTATCTGGAGTATTCACTCGAATTATGTCGACACAACGTTATATTTGGAATTACGAGAAGGCTATTTCTTTCATCAGTCGCTTCTAGTTGTAACAAATTTCATTACATATCACCGCAGTGCCAGAGCTCAAGATAGTGAAACTAATTAACTAGAAACTCCCATCGCACTGGGCCCCTGAGAGGACGATGATAGCGGTCTACTTTCTGATAACACGACAGGATGTTTCTTCCGTTGTGGTCTCGTAGCTCATAATATCTCAGAGTGATAAATAAGGAAAACATTTTTCACTCGATGAGGATAACGTAATAAATCTCATTATAGATTCATTAAATTACTGATCAAATGAGACAGAAGATGAAATATACTGGGAATTCTACAATTAAATTGTCAATGAGGATAAGGAAAGAATTCCATTGGAGTTTGATTGATCTTCATGAATTGTTGGAAAGCCACGGGTAACTGACGATTGATTTTTTCCTGGGAAGCGATATTGAGAGGAAGAAGAGAATATTTTATGCTGTCGTGGGAATGCTTGCGATTTGTTCGAATTAAAGTATGACATTTTTCGCATTAGGTTGACTAAATATGACAAAAATTATTTTATTTACCAAGCCGAACAGGTGGAGGATCAGGTTGCCATGCTTTCGAACGATGTTGAAGGCCTGGCAGCAGAGGTCAACGAAATTGTGGAATTTTGCTGATGGTTTGTCCCCGCTATTTATCACGTACGCCATGTCTGAGGTAAGCACAAACGGGGTACGATCCCTGAAATGCCAGTAAATAATCAATAAGTAAAATTCGCCTGTAAATCTTCTTCAAATAATTGATTAATAAATCATCGAAATTTTTACAATAAAAATAAATAGAAACTGACCTTTTAAAATTGCCAAACATCTGGGCATCACCCAAAAATTTTCCAAAGTCAATATGAAAGAGATGTCCAGATGTCTTGAGCATGATATTATCATTATGCCTGTCACAAATGCCAAGAATATAAGTGGCCACACTGTAGCCAGCGCAAGAGGCTGTAAAATTTTCCACAGCCCTCTCGTACTCCAACTCAGATGGATTGTGCTTAGCGAGCCACTCAGCAATGGGTCTATCCTTGAAGGAGCCAGTGAGGCCAAACTCCACCTGAATCTTCCTAAGCGTTTCTGCATTTGTGACCATCTCAATAATGCCCCTCTTGCTGCCAGTGGGTACACAAGCAAAAGTCACCATTTTTAGATCGAGTCCTTCCTTAAGCCATAGTTTATCCATAATCCTGACCATCTGCAGAGTCAGCATGTCCTGCTGGAGGTCGTCGCCGACCTTGAAAATAGCAGGACTGGGAACGCCATCGCAGCCCACAAAATTGATCTTAAGTGGGAGTGTGAACGAGGGAAAATACGAGCAGGTTTGAACGTTGATTCCGAAGGCAAGTCTGCTGGGCGATAGTGGAAGACAGACGCCCTCGTCTTCAGTCAGCTGACAGTCGATATTCTGAAGGTCCACCTTGAGAGCATCCATCCTCAGGGACTCCTTGGTAACCTTTATGTTCTCAGCAACTTCATTCAAGTTCTTAACAAGACACTGCTGACTGAGAAAGCTATTCCTGAGGCCCTCACCGATAACAGCTAGTAGTGCCCTCAGCATCAGCTGTAGTCGTCTCTGGTACCTCATGGATCCAACGGTCTTGTCATCCTCAGGAGAGCTCTCCGAGTTCTGGGGGCTCTGTCCTGGCAGAGCCTGATTGAGCAACCAGTAAATATGATGAGCGACCCTGGGAGAGAGCAAGGCCCTTTCCAGAAGGAACCTGGCGAGTGGAGAAGCCTCATACGTCTCGTGCTTGAGGGCCTGTAGTAGCTGGGGCAGATAGTCAACGAGTTCGTCGTTGCTGAGCTCCTTTATCCACCCCACAGCCATTTCTCTGACATTAATATCAGGAAAACAAGGGAGAAGAAGCTGGAGGGCTTGAACAGGGGGTAGAGGACTCCAGGTCCTCAAAGATGCGTGGAGATCAGGGAGACAAGCCCAGTCCCAGCTGTGGGCAGCAAGAAGGACTTTGGGGAGAGCCTCTGGTATGTCGTGGAGATAGTGACGTTTTTCCCACAGGATCTCCCTCTCGTCTATCGGTGGCCTGGAGAAGGTGTCCTGTTGGGTGATATCGATGAGAAGCTCCTTGGTATTCTGATCCAACGAGTTGATGTCCAAGGATTCAACATCGTGGTCACGAAGTTCAGTAGGAAAGAGGACCTTGCCTCCATAATCAGGCAATTCCAGGCCAATTATGGGGTTGGTTTCACCGTAGGGATGGATACCAGGAGCTGGTGCGGGCCCGAGACGTTTGTCAGCGACAGCAGGCCACAGCGATAAGAAATAACTTCCTTGACTCATCACTCCATCGTAATCGAAAAACTGGATGGCACCCCAGCCGAGCTCCTCCTTCTGCATCGAGCTGCCATTGGAGTTTGACTCATGCTCAGTTGGTTGGACAGTCCTCCCATAGATCACAAGCACCAGCCTAGCCTCCCTCGGTACCTGGCACACACTGATTCCCCTGAACTCCAACCAGGTGTTGAATAAAATTCTAGAGTAAAAGTTATTAGTGACTATCATAGGCTCTGACAAGACAGGATTGCCCACAGGTCTCGTTCCATGGAACAGCTGAGCTGCCACAATGTAATCGTCATGCTTCCACGTACTAGGGAGCCTGTGCAGAGCTCCAACTCGAACAAGAACCGTGTCGAGAACTTCTGAGGAGACAACAGTATTGGTTGGAAATTCTCCTCGAGTGCTCAACTGAAAGTCCACCCTGAAGGCATGACAGTATGTTTCCACTAGGTCCTGGACAGCGTCTCTGATTTTGTGGCAGTGAGAAGCGAGAACTTCCGGGAATTTCGTCCTCAAGGTGACGACTGAGTAGTCCCCATCTTCGTGGAGGACTTCTGGTTTTTTGCACTCGATGTGAGCAGTGTGAACTTGTGGAAGAAATTGACAACAAGCGTTTGTAAAGTTATCGACTGCCTCAGTTATCTCACAAGTCTCAATATTTCCCATGAGGGTACAGACTGCCTTGACTGCCTGAATTACACCTCTGGGTTGAAGCTGGGGGAGGAGACTCGAGCTGTGGTTGGAAGTGGCTAGCTGCAGGGCAGCAGTCTCTACCCTCTCCATCTCCTTCTCCACTGTCTCCAAGAGAATCACCAGACTGTCATAAGATATTGGCTCGTTTGGCTCGTTTGGTAGAATCTCCTCCAACTCGATACACTGCTCTCTATTATCATCCTGAAGGGTTCGCGCTATCGACTTTTTCATCTGTCCCCTCGTCATAATGGCGAGCTCGATGTCCTTCTCCAGTTTGATGCACTGGTGAATGTACTCGTAATTAGCCAATGTGGTATTAGGGGCCAAGTACTCAGCCAGACCCCACACCCTCAGGCAATACTTCTCGGCGATCACTGTATCCTCGTCCTCCAGGGAGCACGCCACATTGAAGATTACGTGCTCGACGCTACAGGTCACGTCACAAGTGAAAGAAATCGAGGGCAGGGAGTCAGTACTGTCCGGTAGTTGAGGGTGAACGACTAGTTTTATGGAGGTCCCTTCAGGATACAGGTTCTCCATCATTGGACTCGTCACGTACCCCATGTTCGTGCTCGGGTCATTGAACAGGAATTCACTCCTCACTGACTTGATCATCTGGTGGAATGCTTTCAGGTCGCAGTCATGGAGGGACGCCCTCGTTTTCACCACCTAAACACCAAATACCAAAACAAAATGATCATTTAATCAACATGAATACTGTAAAATTCATTATTAATTGCAGAGAACTTGCAAATGAAATACAATAAATGAGAAATGAGAGAATATTGCAAAAAAATCGTTCAATCCTGACCTGGACATTCTCGTACAGACGTGTTTGACGTTTTTGGCGACGATCTAGAGACGTTCGACGACGCTCAATAGTATTCCAGGCCGAGGAATTCCTCGGGGGCAGTGGAGGAGCTGCAGGAGATGCCCCCGGGGACTTGGCCGTCCTCTCGACGGCGACATACACTGGATCCGAGCTGACACTCTCATTTGTGCTGTACATGTAGTCGAAGGGATCAAAGGGATCGTAGACAGAACCCTCTATCTGACTGCTCGCTTCTTCTTTTGGTTGTGGGGGATGATTGCTCAAGGAGTCTTCAGTCTTTACGAGTAGAGGGTCGAACGCCTCCAGAACACTCACTCGGACGTTTGAACGCTCCTCAACTGTTTCGAAGGCCGTCAAGTCGATCAGATTGTTGTTCGGCTTCTTCTCAATAACCTTGAGGACACTTAGTTGACCCTCGTCTATTGCGAACTTCGGGGGCGGAGGCGTTGGACGGTAGTTCATTGGCAGGGGGGGAATCTGAAAAATAGTATTTTTATATTTACTCGAAGAAATTTCTTATCAATTTATTCATTTATTTATTACTAGCAAGAGGATCCATCCAATCAGTTGGCGGGTAATTGCTAAAAATTCCGCGATTCACTAAAATCTTTTTCCATGTATAAATCGATTGCAGGACCCATTCGCTAATCATTTATTATTGATTTTTTTTATCTCTCGTTGTGGTATCTTATCTAATCTTTAGTTGTGGAAACTTTTTGTGAAAAAGAAATAATCAAAAAATACATTGCCTTATGGGACCAAATTGTATTAAATTCACATTCCTCCTAGAAAGATATTAAATTGGTCTCCGGGTCTTGATGATTTTTTACATATATTGTGTTGGTATTTCGATTTTGTGATCGTTTTAATATCTTCAATATTCAACCATCAATGAAATAAAATAGTCAGCAAAAACGAGAGTCTCTCAAATAATTCCCTGGTACCTCAAGTTTCACAATTTCAGTTTGAACAAACAAAGTGCAAAGTATAAACCCCAAAGTCCCAACAGTAAAATACCTGAGTGAGAAAACAGTTGGAAAGATTAAAAAAATTCCAAGCAGGCTGGAATAGAACAAACATTCTTAACACAAACTAAGAAATATTAGATAAGCCTGAAACGATGGGTGAGGAAGGGGAAAACAATACCTGAGGAATGACATCAGGTACGTGGGGATTGACGCATGCTCTGGACATGACAGGACTGATACCCGGTGTACCGGGTGTGCATGGTGCTGTTGATGGATGTGGTCCAGGTGATGGTGAGTGATAACGTAAGTCACGTGTCTGATATGAAGCTGCTGAACTATTACTCCTCGTTACCCTCGAGGTTCTCCTCATGAGAGCTGGATGATTGTCCCATCGTGGTTCGATTGGTGCCTTTGGAGGTGGTGCTGGTGGTGGAATGCTGCAGTATTCCTCCACGCTTGGATCATGTTTTATTGGACTCGTGAAGTTTATTAAATCTGTTGTTGCACTACATGCTGCCACTGCTGTTGTTGAATTCCGGCGACAGGGGACTGGCGGTGGTGGAGCTATTATTGCAGCATTTTTTGGCTGACTGCCCCCTGGTCTCGGACGACTTCTCAGTGAAAATCTGCATCGAAAAAATCAAATAAATGTGTAAATTTCAATGAAAACCATTGTATCAATTCGAGTGAATTTCAATTGATAATCAGTAAACACTCGTTGTAGGAAGGATTCACTTTGTGAAATTAATTATTGATGGAATTATCGAGAACTGTGGTCTTTTTCCGTTGTATATTGAATTAATACGATCTACCATTTACCTTTAAACTTGAATGAAATGATTATGGAACGAGGAATATGAAAAATAGCGAGTGATTTTTAAGAATGATGCAACCTCTCTAACGACGTATGAATAATTCATCATGAATAATTAAGTAAAGTGGTAGAATTCTTTATGTAGTTGTGGAACTGTCTAAGAATTGACTGTTTAATCATTTTGATTAAATTGAATTTAGAAGAAACCTGAACATTTTTTTTCAAGTCGTCATCTTAATTATTCCAAGTCATGAAAATTGGTTCAGCAATTCAATTTAGAAAATTCCGTAAGAAGATTTGAACTGTAAATTGTGAGTATGGGAATATAGATGTAACACTATATATGGAAGACTATAAAATATTCTTTATTAGGACGAGAAAGGGGCGTCTTAACTGGAGGACCGTTCAGAGACTAAAAGCTATGACAAAAGGAAAACTCTCTCAGGGAAATGAAAAGCAGAAAAACAATTGTATGCGTCAAAAAGGGACACAGTTCTTTGTTAAAATTTTAACATGTGTTTAGGATTAAACCCCTGGCAATGCGGAGTACAACCGATCGTAAATTATTCCCTTAGCAAAGCTATTTCCCAGAATATCATAAGTTGGGATCAAGTGACTGTTGTAGAACAATGAAAGATCTGTACTCGAATATTCCAACAGTGATAATTTTATCCACCGATTTTTCAATCAAATTTCTTTTTTAAAGTAAAAAAATCAAAAGGAAAATGAGTCCATCGCCTTGAGTTTCCGAGGCATTCGTCGAAACCTCATCTAGAGATTAAATTCACTCGCCCTTTACGTCTTAACCACTATACCTCACAAATTCTGTTGTCAATCAGTGAAAAATTGTGAACAAAATGGAGCATTGAGACAATTGAGTTGTCATTATTATTCAAGAGCTTTTCCACGATGTAGAAATGACTGAAAAAGTGCAACGCAGCTCCGACGATAACAAAACAATCAACCAATGAAATTTACCTGTCAGCAGTCTGCGATGCAAGGTCTCCATCCCCATGACTCCTGGAACTGTAATCACTGGCTGCCAAAGCTCTCCTTACAAAACTGTTGCATTCTAACTGTTGTTTCTGCATTTTAAATTTCTCCAGTGCCAGGCTCTCGAGGCTGAGGGCCTGTGCACGTTCCAAATCCTCCTGGAACTGGCGATCATAGTCGATCGCAGTCTGATTTCCCTCCTTTCTGTCACAGTTCGACATCTGAATAAGGAGTATAAGCACTCAATGAGGTTTGAACTTGTAATTGACCCCCAACCCTGTCCCCAATATTCCAATAACCTTTGCAACTTCTCTGCGTTGGTCTCAACGCTCTTGAGTCAATACCCCTGAGGTTTACGACCAAAAATAAAAACGAAAATAAGCAGAATGCCCTGCTTTCGAGACAATCCTTCGATTGTATTCATCAACTCACCCTGGCATTATTGCTTGTTGATTATAACGTCACCGAGTCCCTCATGATGCACAAATATGGATGATAAACAGCGGATTAATTCTCCGTTAACTTCCGTCAATGTATCCGTGACATCACGGTGACATCCTTGATTTAATAAACTCCACTGTGTGCTTGTCTTCCACTACTTCACTACTTCTACTGCTCACCTACAAATCTGTGGTCTCATAATGTGGGTGATTTCTCTCTCTTTTTTTTCTTTTTTTTTCTTTTTTCGCGATAAAAGTGTAGGTGTCAGAGTAGGTGTGAGCAAGCGCTAGCAAAAGCCGAAGTTTACTGAAGTCAGCTGTATTGGTGGTAATTGTGGTAATAGTGGTTTGGTACTCGTGGTACTTATTGCTGGAGGCGGAGCCAAAGAGGATTGACTAAAGTAGCTCAGTTCTGGGGATTTGAGTGCATCATAGTACTGCACCCCAAGAGAGGGAGGGCGCCACACATAATGCTGAGGTGTCCATCAAATCGACGGGGTGAATTTTATTTTCTGCGGTATGAATGCTTTTTGTTTTTTATTTGTTTAATTGAAATTTAGCCGACTGTAGAACGAGCGGAAGGAGGAAGCCACATCTTGTGGCTCAAAATTATTGTATGTTCACGAAACTTGTTGAGTTATGCAATAATCTGATCAATTCGTCAAAAAACTTAAAAAACCGGTTATTTTGGCTAAAAGTTGTTGATGAAATCGATTCATTACTTTTTTTTAATAATAAAAATTTCTCGTTTTTGTAATATTAACAAAAACAAATGGTTAAAGTACATAAATATCCCTAAATATAAAAAAAAATCACTAATATTACGAATGATCTTCATTTATTGGATTATCAATAAACAATTTATTATCATAAATTACAATAAACATTGGTAATTGGTTATATTACCGACGATGTACATATTCATGAATCCCTGTTATATTTAATTTCTGTAATTCATTTTCTGCAATCATGAAATTACATCGGATTTTCTTAATGTTGACTTGTACAAATTGTCGAGCATTGTCAATAATCAATGGAATCGACGATAAATCTCCATGCAAATTAAAAAAAAAAAAACAAATAGAGGAAAATACCATCTCTATGTTAGAATAACTTGACTCACAAAATTCCTCTCGCAATTATCTCCTTCTCATCCATAAATTATAAAATTCCGTTGAAAAATAGAGAATTAAGGATTGTTTAATTACCATGAAACTCATTAGGTTGTATTAAATCCTTGAATTGACGGTGACACCGTGGCAGTATTGTTGACGTCATGATACGTCTCAGACATTTATCAACCCCAATAACCGTCCACCCTCAGCATAAACTTTTGATTCTAAATAAAAACAACTTCTCCGGTTTACAAAAATCTCAATACTACGATGTCAACTTGCTATCGAGGAGAAAAATATTGTATTCAATATGCAAACTATGAAGATCGACAGTATCGGAAAAAAATGTATAAATTTTTAGAAAGAAAGAGCAATATTTACTAATTTCAGTCCTGGTTTTCACGAGTATAATCTCCACTTGTTTACTGCAGTACTTACGATTCAGCCCGTTTCTGTGTGATAATTATTCCAAAAAATGTCTCCCGACACGTCATTCAATCGTCTTTAGACTTATCCCTTCTGGATTTCGCAATAAATTCGTGGACTAAATTCTTCATTCACTCCATCATAATTTTGCAGGCTCATTCTACGTGATTAAATAAAATATATTGTAAACTAGTAGTGAATACATATGTCAAACTTTTCGTTTACGTAATTTTGCCTTGGCTTCCTTAAGCAATAGATCGAATGTATTGTCTCCATCGTTGCTCATGCTTCTGCTTCCGGTGGCAAATGAATTACTTGCCATTCCATCTGCAATTATTATCATCATATTATTGACTTTTTCATTTATATATTACATATTCAATGAATTAATGGTACAATGGTATTAATGGTACATGAGGAAAGAGAATCCTATGTTTGTAGATTTTTTCCACCACACACAATTGAATTTTTATATGATCAAGTAAAAAGTCAGAATTGCACAATTTTCACATTTTAATCGTCAACAAATTCCAAATAAATTAGCTGTCAATGACCATTTTGTTTTCTCCTTATAATTTGAAACCGAAAACAATCCATACAAAATAGAAATGATAAATATATCATTTTTGGTTTTATCTTTATTCGGTGACTTATAAATTTTTATCGTCATACGTTAATTTTTTAATTTTTCACTGAAGTGCTTTCAATTTCTGCACATTTTCCTGAGAAATCTGGGGAGATCCTCAATAAAAAATATCACTCCACAATTGATTATAATCGTTATCAGTCCCCACAAAAAAAAATCCAGAGAACAATAAAGAAAATAATTTACCTAAATCAGCATATTTGACTTTACAAAATGCTCGTCGTCCTCCGAAGCATAAATCATATCGTGGCTGAGTTATGTCATCGTTTCCATGCTCTACGGCTTCGTATGCGTCGTTTTTATAGGCAAAAGTTACAAATCCGTAATTATCACTAAAACGTCATAACAAATTGAATTTAAAGATTAAACAAAGAATGAGAGACCGTGACTCCTTTCCGGAAATTTACCCGTGCTCACGAAAATGCAAGCTGATATCGCAGACTGGTCCAAAGATCTCGAAACGTCTCCTGAGCTCGAGTTTGGTGACACCATCCTCGAGACGTCCGACGTAGATGACCCGGCGTTCCTCAACTTGTCGCTCTTTCTCGTGGCTGTACCAATTGTCGTAGGCTCGCCTGTACGGAGACCTGAGGAGTACAAATCAATACATCAGATCAATAAAGAATCATTACTTGTCTAATGACTCCCGCACGAACACGAAATTAAATAATAATTTAAAGAATAATTTAATAAATTCACCAAAATCCACGTTAAACGTTTTGTCCATGACAAAATACAGTCTGGGGAGTATCTGGACTTCAGTGCAGAAAACAGTCAATTTGTTAGTTACGAAACAGTAAGAAACTCTTCAATCAAGATGAAACCAAAATGTCTAAGAAAGTGGTCTTCACACACGAGATCGATATGGGAATAAACACTCTAATACAGAATCTGTAATTTTCTGGGTAGATTTTACCTCCTGTGAAAGCGAGACCTGTACCGGCTCGAGGGTCTTTTTCCCCTATTATAATGGCTGCCCCGACTTGACGATCGTCGTCGACGATTCGACCATTTCCGGGCCAAATTGGACCTGGAGGACCTACAATCACGTCCTATTTACTCAACAATAACTATCTATTTTTTTTCGATTCTCAACCTGAATTGCTAAGTCAATAAAAGAATGTTCAGTCACGTGCAATCAGATTCTCAGTCCTCCAACAAGTAAATTGAACGAATTATTCTTGTTTACTTGCCAAATGATCTCATTACACCGAAAAAAAAATATATTTCTGTCAAATATTATAACTCTCGCCATAATGAAAATGAAACGCAAATTCTTCTCTCTAGAAAAATTCGAAATTGTGTAATAAATAAATATTCTTCACAGTGCAAAAATATGCAAGTCTTTTCAATTTCTACTTAACCCCCTACAGAGAGTGTAAAAGAACATGGAGCTCACCTAGAGCATCCAGAGTATCGTGAAGACCTGGAAGAAGATGACCTGCTCCTGGACCTGGAGGACCTGGAGCGTGACCTGTATGAGCTTCTAGATCTTGATGACCAGCTGCTGGTGGAGCTGACAGAGCTTCGCCTGTAACTGATCCTCCTTCTCCTGTTATTGCGTCTGCGTGATCTCGATCCACTTCTGGATCTGCTTCTACTCCTGCAGCTGCTATCGCTGCTGCTCGACCTGGACCGATTACTACTCCTCCTCCTGCCTCTACTCCTGCTTCTACTCCTGCTCCTCGACGGGCTCCTGCTCTCGGAACTGCTGGAGGACGTCCGCCTGTGTCGATAGTTCCTTATCCTCCTGTCATTGACTTTGGCCACCTCCCTGATCTCCTCTTCCTTTTCATCCTCCCACGTCTGCACACTTTTCTCACACATCGAAGGCTTTTCCTTCACCTTATCCTCCTCCACTTCAGTCTTGGGCTTGAGCACTGATACAATCTCCCTCTCCGACCACACAGGATTCTCAGGATCATCCTGAAGGGGCTCAGTCGTGGTCGAAGCATGATGAATGTATACCAGAGTCATGGGCTGTACTGGAGAACAAGTTCTGCTATTGTCACTCCTAGTCTGCTCTCTTCTACTCCTGTACTCGGCTAAATTAAGTTTCCTCCTGGGAGGTTTCTTCTCCTCTTCAAGCATTGGGGCGTTCTGAATCTGAACGACTTTTTCCTCTCTCAAGTTCTCAGTACTAGCCACTTCACTACACTTCACGACAGGCATCGGGGGCTTCTTCAGTACCGACACCATTTGCTTGGTCTTCTGTACTCCAGTGACTGACTTGGTCTTCGTCAGCACCCCCTGCCTCAGCTGGAGAATGCTAGTCGCCAGGGCTGATCGAATCTTCATCTCATACACTGGAGCAGATTTTGATATTGACTCGGAAATTGATGCACTTGAGGAGTTGGAGCTGACAGTTTCATCTTGAGGTTTGGGTTTTGGCTCTCCATCCTGATTAAACGTCTGACCAATCACTTCCCTGGGCTTGCTCTCCCTCTGCACAACTCCCTGCTCTTCAGAAGCATCACTCACATCACCAGACTCGAGACCACTGTCTTTCCTCGAGCTGTTGTCCCCCCAGCTCTTTGACTTGACGAGATTCCTACGGATTCCTAGACGATTGTTCTGTCCCTTTCGGATTGTTTTGGTGGAGTTGTCAGGGGCCGGTGAAGGGATGCTGCTGCAGTAATCGTGATCCAGCTGAACCGAGGCTTCAACCTTTGAGCTATTGGCCACTAGTTTCAGGAGTTTGTTCCGGGAGAGAGTAGCAGCTGCGTCCTGCATTCTCGTGGCGTTTTTCAAAGTTCTTGGTTGGGACAATGCTGGTATCACTGAAATGGGTTTGCTGCGCCCGGAGGCTTTTATCCTGTCGACAACCTCTTTGGGGAGAGAATCGCGGATGTTCTTATGGAATTTTGAGGCTGGAGAGTCCAGTGATTTTTTCAGGAGAGTCTGTTTCGATGAATCCACTGGGTGACGATTGGGTTTTGATAGCTCAAGTGATTTATCTTGAGGGCTCGCATCATGCCCAGAGTACACCTGGGGATGGAGGGAGGACGCCTCGGAGGCCTCGAATTGTTCCAGGAGGCTCTTGACGTCGCCTGCCTCGAGAACAGGCACCTCCTCAGGGACTGTCTCGATGTCAATGCAATCGTCGCTCTCGGAGGGATCGTCTTCACGTGATTTTTGGGTTTTTCTTTGAATGGGAGTCACTGCCGACTGCTTCAAGGGTGATGACACTTCGAAAATCTTTCCTGGAGATGTGCCCAGCTGCGAGGGGTTGACGAGACCTCTCAGAACGCTGGGGAAGGATTTGTACATTGTTTGCTCTTGTTTATCAGGGGTTGAAGGCGCACCTAGAGACTTCCTCGGACTTTTCAAGGCCGGCATTCGTGGACTCTCGAAAATGTCAGCTGGAAGGTCTGTTGGCTTGTCTGGAAGTGAGAGACTCATGTCTATGTCTTCCTCCATGTCGGAGGCCTGGAGATAACCGATGTGCTCGTGCCAGTCTATCAGGACTTTGGCAAAGTCTTCCTTCATATTCTCGATCTTGGGGATGACTGAGGCCACTCCGGAGTCTGGGAGCACTGCCATGTCACCGTTTAACTCCTGTTCTGTTCCCCAGAGACCTCCCGTTGTATCCATCTGATGGGTCTCCACGTAGTCAAAGTCTGACTCTACGATTGCCATGAGTGAATTCGACGACTCCTCCAAGGAATCGTGGGGGTCCAGCGATAGAGAGAAGTCGGAAAAGTGTTCCTCATCATGGAAATTCAAATAACCTGTTTCCATGTCACAGGGCGGGGGAATTTCTGAATTAGTCCTCTGGGGAATTCAAGTCTGAAACAACAGTTTTTTCTCATTAGTTTGATGATCAATTTTGTGATTTTGTGATTTTTCTGTCTATTTAGTGGACTTTTTAATTTCGAAATATCGGATAGTCTTGTCTAGTCTCTTGATAACTATTCTTTGAAGCATTGAGTTCAAAGTGAATTGGTGGATAAATAGCTGTATGAAATTTGGAATAAAAAATTCGATGGATACCGTTCACTGAGAAATAAATGAGAAAATAAATTTAAAGAGAAACCAAGTAGATAGCACTTGAATTGAAAAAAAACATCGTACAGACACTTTTTCAGATTAAATTTCAATTTTGTGCAAAAAGTCGTATAAACACATTCCAAGGAAATACGATATCTCCACGTTTCAGACGATTTCGAGTCACTTGAAATTAACTATTGGAAATAATTTGTTTTTGATTTTTTTTAGGCCATTTTGAATAATTTGAAAATTTATACAAACAGATTGTAAAAATATCTTGTCAGAAGATGATTAAACTTCGTGTTTCGGGTGATTCTGAATCGTCTGAGCACAACATTGAGTGATTTTTTTTCAATTTTATTTGTTATTGAAAAAAGTCGTTGGAAGACACATTTCGATGATCCAATACCATCTGAAAAATAAATCTTTGTTATTCCCTAATAAACTGTTTTTACCACTTCCCACAATTTTCCAAATTTACCGAAAATTCCCTGAAAAAAAGGAGTTAACAATAATTCGACTCGTCATTCCCTAGAAAATTCTCCTCACAACCTTTTTGCATAATTTGTCAATTTAAAAAAATCACCTCTAAAAAAATTTAAAAAATTATCACCAGGAGTTGGTCTTAGATAACTGAAACTCGCCTGAAAGGTGGAGATATCATATTCCCCCGGAAGCAGTTTATACAACTTTTTTCTATAAAATTAAAGTTGACTCCGAAGAAGTGTCTACTCCACCTTTTTGCTCAAGTCACACAATCTGCAATTACAACTCTCTAAAAATGGATCTAAATATCACCTATTCCTGTGCAGAACATATTCAACGAATTCGAAAAATGCGGGTGTCCAGTGAAAAACAAAAGGTGAGAAACCTAACTGAGGCGAACCCGGAGCCCTCGCCAGAGAAACTTGAAAAATCGATGGACCCTGTCGACTCCACCGGAAAGCATGAGACCCACGCGTTTTATTTGAGGTTACCCGGCCCCACGTCCCCATCCCCAAAACCCCTAACAATATAATTTCTCACCCTCACCTCCAACACCTCGCTAAAATCCTCCACAACCCCTGCAACGATCACCCACTCGTCCTGATAAAAAAAAAGATTCCGAGTTAAAAAGTTCAAACACCACTCACATCACAATCATCAATTCCAAGAAAAATATCAATCATCAAATCATAAAAATACACTAGCCACAACTAACTCCCCAAATTAATTCACCTCCCCACATTCTTGCATTTTCCACTGAAATAACAAAAAACGATCGCAACTGTTGATCTAATGAGTTCACAGGAAATAATATCTGAGTGATTGGAGTCTCGTCACGCCGACATGAATAGACATGGCAGTACACGTGTACCCGAAGAATATCGGACAATGGGGCACGCGGCGGGATTTCTTGCGGATTCTCCATCTCCAGCGCCACACCTCATGGCGTTGACGATATCCCCCTAGGAGTCTTCAACATCCCAGATAAATGATAAACCTGCAAAATCTCCAGGTGATAAATCTCCCCGGCGATATACCCCCTCCAGAGATCTGAACTCAAAAAAAAAAAAATCCTAGCAGCCTGAATCAATGAATCAATAAATTTGCTCAATCAACTTCATAATTTCTTGAATTCCCCTGTTATTTTCGCCTACAGGATAATCCTGAATTCTCCACGTGTTCTCACCGTATGTTATTCTCGAGATTGATCAACTCCGGGACAACGTGGTGACCGCGTGTCCCCCAGGTACCAGTCACACTCCAAACCGCCTACTCCATTTAGCACGCTAATTTTCCTTCTGTTCTTAACTTAAAAATAACCCCGTTCACGTAACAATGACACTGTCTGAAATGGTTTATCAATGGGGGATAATAGTATTCACCAATTGGCAGGATCATGATATCGTTACTTACTCGACTGCTCGCACTTTTTCTCCCTTTTTATCCTTTTCAAACGGCTATTAATCCAGTAACACGTGATTCCCTAGTGCAAGTGATACACAACACAGGTCAGGCCAAACGAGACAGATTGTCACATGGGATTCGCACATTCACTCGAATCAAAAGCGGCGACGAGCGATCACTGATCTCAGGCCTTTCCCGGCCGCCTATACCGCCTATACCTCTCCTGTATATATAGTTATAGTATCAACTTTATGTATATAGAGCATATAGAGTATATATGCTATGAATATAATTGCTAGTACCTCGGAGATTATATGGAATATAGATTTGCAAGGCTTATTGTCGGTCTTTAACTGTAGACCACGTAGCGGTGGCGCATGAACTACCTGGAGACCACGTACTTGTCGTACTTGTTGTTAAAGCTGCGAATTATTCTTTTTTTTTTAATTTTATTTTATTTTATTATATTGTATGATTTTTGGAGGAGATATAGAAGAGTTTTTTATTGCAGTTAAATCAACGACGGAAGAATCCTCTAATTTTTTTTGGTGGATTAAGATGAGAAAATAGTATATTTTGTAACTAGTGCGGAAAACTCATTTTTAAGCCGGTGGTATAATCCCACGTGAAAAAAGTCACTTTCTGCACGAGTTGCGAAATAGACTATTTCTTCACAATGTGCGGGAAAGTCACTTTTCGGTACATGGCGATGAAAATATTTTTCAACCTCTCATTAGTCACAAAAAATTAATATAATAGAATTGGATAATTCATTTTTCTGTTTTGATTTCGTATGAATATGAAAGAATATTTTCCCCCCTTTTTGCTGGTTTTTTGAGTTTTCTGATAAATTGGTGATCGGATTGATACGAAAAAATATTACTATTATCAAAATATTGTGAATAAAAACTTGGTGAGCCATGAAATAATGATGAAATAATAATTTTATCTTACTTCATGGCTCCCCGTGTTTTAAGGTATTACGATAACATTTCCCTGTATTTTTAGTAACTTTTGAAAAGAATCGTGGAAGAAGGAGAAGTACTTGAACCTGGAAAACAGAAAAGTCAGGCGATAATCACGGATCTTGTATTAACGGATTTTATTTCTCAAAAATACAATATCATATAATAAAAGACTCATTCATAAATTGCAAAAAGAAAATTAGGCGAAGAAAAAAACAGTAAAAGTCAGCATATTAATTGCTCAAAATTATAATAATTATATTAATAGAAAAAAAATAATGACATACGCTTGTTATTCATTTTGTAATTGGTATTTGAAGCAAACGTTCCTGCGTGCTATTCTTTTTCATATCTTCCATATACTCTTTATATTTTTTTTCATAATAATAACTTGGAGTTCGCCGAAACATAAACTTTAATATGTTCTAACATGAGTGGTAAATCTTTTTTTTTGGCTTATTTTAATAACTAAATTTTAAAAGAATATCTCTTCTAGAACTTATAGATATCGCCAGACTAATTTGAAACGAAGGTGAGATGTTCACAATCTTATTTGAAATTAAGGCCCAAAAAATGAAAGCTATTGGAAAAAAAATTTGAAGAATTAATTTCGGTCATTAAAGAGTTTCAATAGTAAAATCATGAATCTAAAAACACAAAAATCGTACCATATTTCTCTAATTTTTAATTTCTCTGAATCCTTAATTCATTAATGAAAAAAACATTAGTCAAAATTTGAAAAAAAAACAAAACGTGTACCTCAAAATATATAAATAATCGAAGTAATTTGAATTGAATTAACTCGAATAAACATAAATGTTTATTGGTCCTCATTTCAAACCATTTTTTCGGATCAAATATATCAAAATTTCACACCAATGAAATCATTTTTGGATTTTATATGATTTTACTGGTGAAGCTCCTGAATTACAATGCAAAATGAATAACAATTATTGAAAGAATAATAAAAAATGAAAATATCTTTGAGGCCTCTGCAAAAATTCCAAATCACACCTGCTGATTCTGCTCTGGCTAATCCTCTCTGCCCAGGCTTTCCTAAAAGTTAATGTGCACCTCCATGACCTTGGATTTTGAAGCCTTGGTTTTCTTCGATGGCTGTGCCGGATCAGCCTCAGCTTTGCGTTTCACCACTTTCGTTGACTTGATTTTGGTTGTCTTAATGACCTTGGTGACGTTCTTCACACCCTGAGATGCCCTGACGCCCTGCATCTGGCACATGACTGAGGTATCGATCATATCCTGCCCTCCAGTGTACAAATTGCTGGTTGGCAATTGCCTCATGCACTGGAGCTCTTCCACCTGCTGCATACTCTGCATCTGCTGCATGTCCTGGACCACATTAGTTACCATCTTTTTTCCTCCAGCGTTTGCTTTTTTGATCGTGTGAACCTGCTGCATCGTCTGCATACCTGCCGCTTTCATAATCGTCTTTCCCCCAGAAGATGAGTGGATAATTTGCGATTGGTGCATCTCCAGCTCGGCTGAAGTCTTCAGGATCTTTTTACCTCCCCTGGGTGGCTTGGCAATCTGCATTTGCTGCATTTGCTGCATCTGCTGCATGTGCTGCATTTGCTGCATTTGCTTCATCTCACGATAGTCCTGCTCTATTGCCATCATCCTCAAGAGCTGAGGGGTAGCAGAGACAGCTGGACGTGACTGATAGTGGCTTGATGTCGGCAGATCATGACCAATGTTAGCCACCTCACAGCCGCCGTCATAGCTGGACAGCTGATATGAGTTGCTTGTCATCAATAAACCAGTGCAATTGTCAGCCTTGGACTTGGCCTTTGGTTTTGACAGCGGAATCGGAACAGAAGCCAGACGAAACGATCCTGAAGCTCCTTTTCCCGTAATTTGAATGAGCGTTCCTGCCGACACTGAACTCACCACGTAATCCTTTATGAATGGCCCAAATTTCTCCATATCAGCACCGTAATTTGCAATTATGAATTTTTTAATTGCCTGCAGCGACGATCCAGTTGGATCTGCCAAGGTCATAATCGCTGTTCTCACCATGTCCGCAACACTTGTTGAAGTATTCTTTGAATTGAACATGATTCCTCGCGTTTTCTTTCACTTTGTTTTATCTCCGTAAAAAGTTTGTGTTGATAAATTAATATTTGGCAGTTTTTTTTTGCGAATTCAATATTTGGTTTTGAATCGATTATTTTGGGAGATTATTCGATGATGATTGGTTTGATGGAATATTTAGTGACGAGTCAATAGATTGCCGGTTCAAACACGTCTGGCAAACGGACAGAATTTGAAACGTTATAGAGAATAAACAAGTCCTTCTTTGTTTTCCTTCTTTCTTTTCAAATGTAAACAGTTGACGATTGGCTGGGGAGATTTGGGCCTGTGATTGGTTGGTCCCATTGTTCGGTTGGTCCCATGTTTGAGATATTTTTCACTGTCTCTATTTCAGATGAATCTCCAGTCAAATCAAATAGCATTTTCATGCTATCCTCTTCGTTTTTTATATTTTTAATTTTATGGTTTTTTATTGTTTTATTGTTATATTGTCATGAATTCTCAGAAAATTGCAAAACTAAACTTCAATTGGGATTGAATGAAAAAATAGAGAATAATTAATGTAAGAAAATATTGCGGACTGGGAGAATTCGTTTTTCAAAGTAAATTCGAGAATTTTTTTAACAAAAGATTAATAAAACATGTTTATGAGAAAAAACAATTTAAAAAACAGTTTAAAACAATTTATGAGAAAAACATTAATTTAGTCTCAAACACGCAAAATTGGTGGTAATTTTTTTCGTTGAATAATGAGACTTTTTTCTATAGTTAATAATTAGTATATAGTATATTAATTAGCCAAAGAAGTTTTTTGAGATTTGTAACAAACTGTTGATCAAATTAATCCGACAAAATAAACCGTTTTTGGATCTTGTAATTATTTAACGACTCGCTAAGTTTCAATTTATTCCACTCACATTTTTATTTACTTCTCCTCATTACATCCAACCAAAATCCGCCCTCAGCTCCCAAATTAAGATTCGACTTATCAAACTCCAGAGGCATGATCATTTTATCACTGATTCGTAATGAGCATTTCAGCATCAGATAAAATATCACAACTTTGATTTCCAGAGTAGCAAATCTGTTTCCAATGCACATTCTGGGACCTGAGCCAAACGGAATGAAGGCTGGAGAATGAAGTGTCTCTCTAGGATGATCAATGAATCTCTCCGGAATGAATTTGTTGGGATCGTTGAAGTACTTGGGATCTCTGTGGATGGCGTAGATCGGGAACCAAAGACCTTCACCAGGCTTGACGAGAACTAGTTGCATTCCAGGTAATGCTGGAGGTAATTCAAATTCTTTAGTGCAAATTCTGTCAGTACCTAAAGTGATCGAGTACATTCTCAGACACTCATTAACAACAGCATCCAAGTACTCCATCCTATTAATCGCTTCATAGGTAAGGTCTCCATGACATGCCTCCCAGACTTCATCAATCTCCTCCTGGAGTTTTCTCTGAACTTGATGATCATCAGCGATGTGATGAGCCAAAAAGCACATGATAGTCGACGACGTCTCAAAACCACCGAAGAAAAAGACAAACGCCTGCGCTGTCATGTCAATGATATCGAGTTTAAGTCCTTTCTCATTGTTCCTAGAGTCCATCAGCAGTTGAATCATATCCGGACGGACGATACCTTCCCGATCTCTGGTTTGAATGGTGTTCCTCACAAGGTCAGTGAAGAACTTCTCAATTTTCCTATCCAGCAGATGAATTCCGAGAATCTTCATGACGATTGGTACAACCATTTGCAAGAGCATCTTGAACTTAACGAAGCCCTTCAAAACCCCCGCCTTTTTACCAAGGACATAGAATTCATTATCCGGGTGCTTCATCGAGTCAACCTCAACGCCGAAAGCACAAGTTGCTATGACGTCTGTCGTGTAACGAGTAAATGCGTCTTTAGTATTATATATTACAGGTTTTTCTGAGGTCTCTTTGGCAATGTAATCGGAAAAATTTTTTGCACATGCCGACATAAGCTTGAACATTGCTTTCATTTTGCTAGATGTGAACGTTGGACTCAGTAGAGTTCTCATGTCCCGCCACTTATCCCCATTGAGAGCAGACAGATTAGCACCAAAGAATGGATCCCGGTCTGGATCAAAATACCTCTTATGATAACTGAAATGATCGAAGTGCTTGATACTGATGATCTTAATCAACTCTGGATCACGAATCACTAGTAATGGTCCGTTGAAGTAACTACCAATGTATTTAGCGTCACTCTTGGTGTCGTATATTCTAGTCATCATGTCAGCAATCGAAATACGACGGAAGAACAGAGCGCCCAGTGTTTTACTGATTGATAATGACTTGTCGTAAATTATTCCTCTTTTATCGAAGTCATTCGGTTTCCGTAGATAGTAAGTTATCACTGACACTATTAATAGTGTTAATATTATAATCCACATTTTTGTGATCTGTTTTTATGAAATTTCGATTTATAATCGATAGTAGTAACGCACTAATAATAGAACACGTTAGGGCTGTGCGAGATATACAGTTCAGCTGCTGCTACGTCGACTGTGACAATTCGTGACATTCGATCTTGTTTATTATCTCCTTCCATTTACTTTACCTGGTTATCTTAAAAAATCAAATGTAATTTAGCTGTTGTATATGATTGGCGGGTCAGGAGTAGATATGATTGAAATCTTCAATCTTATCTATCAGTGAAATGAAGGTGTGAATGCAATTTAATAATTTGGCTTTAATAAAAACAAAAATGATTATTTTTATTGGTAATGGAGCAATGGATAATGTTAATTTATAATTTTTATAGTCGCCCTCATATCTCTAATTTATACGCGTTGTAAGGTCCATATGAGAGAATTGATTAACAGAATCTTCGGTCCACGCATGTTACATTATTAAGAACTAATGATTGAAATAAAATAGCCAGTTTCCATCTGACTACCGAAATAATAAACTATTGTTAAACAATTGTTAGTGAATATCTCGAAATTAAAGGAACATAGTGAATTTTTTGTAGAAAGTTTTCTGGTGGTGGGATAATTTCCATGCACTTTCTCTACAGTTTTGTAATTCTTTTTAAAAGTTTATAAAAAACTCAGAAAAATGTTGGTCACCTTGAAACTTCGCGACTCATTAAATAATGACAAAATACAAAAACGTAATATTTTTTTACATCAATCCTATAATCAGTTTGCAAGAAAAATGTAAAAACGTTAATTTTAGCTATATATGGGTGTAGAAGACTTAAAACAATTCCAGTCGAAGCAAAAAACCCGCTCCGAACACAAGACGAATGAGCGCTCCTAACGTTCACTGTGAACACTATCTCCTGCCATTGGTTCCATGTGTTCCATTGGTTCCATTCGTTCCATCCCAAAGCTATTGGTATTATTACTGGCCCATCCCCACCACCATCACAGTTACTGCTATGGAGTATCCAGAGCTGCTCAATTCCAATCTGAGTTGAAGTCGTTGAAGTGGATTTGTCGACCATTGCCATTAAACATAATCTCGATATAACGAATGCGTCGAGAAGAGCATATTTTTCTCATAACCGTCGTCAAGTGGTGCCCAATGAACAAGTGAATTAATGGCTCGATCTCTACAAGTGCTGGGGGGAGTACCACAAGGGCGTTAGCGCAATTCAAAAGTCATATCTTCTATCAACCGTATATACGTTTTGGGTGAACAAAAAAAGGAGGAAAAAAAATATCGATTTTGAGACCATGCACCAAACACGGTGATTGCGCGCTGCAATACACATCTGTAGCTGTACGCAGTAATTGAAATTCGAGACAATTGTTACAATAGGATAAGTGGAATTGATTGGTTTGTGGCCTGGGTTTTAAAGTTCGATTGTCAATGCGCTGGAACTGACTTGAAGGCGAAAACAACTGTGGAGATTTCAGGATTTTTATTATTCAACATAATTGTACGATGGGTATGGGCTTGAAACCCCTCGAATTTACTGATTGTCTCACCGACAGTCCGTATTTTCGTGAGAATTTGCACTATCACGAGAGCGAATTGGAAAAAACTAGTCTGCAAATAAAACGACTTATCAAAGAGGTCAAGGACTTGCTAAATGCTGCTAAAAGTAAGTATCATTTCCTCCTAAATTACTCAATTCCTTCAGCTACCACATACGATAAATAAATTACCTCATGCACTCTTTAAGATTATATATATTTTTTTCTTGAGTCACACACACGTAATCAGAGGCTAATTATGTTTAATAATCTCGTGGAGGCACTGAGTGACGCGGTTCATAATTCAAGGAGAGAAAAGTAATAGTCGAGATGGAGAGAGTCTCTTGTAGGATATGTCTAATGTATTTTTTTTTTTCGCTTTTCTGTTGAGATTGGATTGGCAATAACTGTAAATATGCATGAGTTCTTTATTTGTGTTAATATTTTTAGCACCTGTGATATTTTATCTCTTAAGCGGTGAGGTACATTGGAGATTCTGCACGGAATTTATTATCCTTATAGTGTGAGAGATAGGTTTGAAAATTTGTGGATTAATTCAGTATTTCTGGGTCAGGATTAATGCGAATTGAGTAAGAGAATTTTGGAGTATATGAGGGACATTTCGTGCCAACTCAGCCATTCTTATTTCATTTTGATTTTTAAACGTCAATTTTTTATTTCAGCTCAGCACTCAATTTTTTTGCATATTCTTATAACATCAAAATTATCTTTATTTCAATAATTATTATCGTCAGCATTATTGGAATGGTTACTAGTTATTGTTTTTCATTTTTGTTGACATTACTTGTCAATGTTTGGCAAGGAGTTAAATTGTATATTAATAACAAATTATAATTCAGTAGCGGAGAGGTGAATGAGATAAGTTGACTTATTTCCCAGGTGCGTTTTTCAGAAATATTTAGAAATCTGAGGAAGTTAGCGGAATTTTGTAAGAACATTTGTTGTAGCACTCGATTGGTTCCACAAAAAACGTTATAATCAAAACTTTATTATCTTCTTTAGATTCTGAGATATTCACTAAAAACTGAATAGTCAAAAGTGACTGCTCTCTGGTTACTGATTCGCTGCATAATTAATTTGGATGACTTATAAAGTTAATTGGCGAGAATTTTTTTATCTCCGTATGTCTTTTTTTCTTTGAGCTCTTCAGAAGGATTCGAAGTACCATTTTTTGTTCATTCATCAGAGAAATTTCTAGAGTATATCATCATTATTAGCGTTCCTGAAATCACATGTATATTTCCTTTTCAATTCTTCTCGTGAAAAATCGGAGAGATTATTGACATGCAATATAAAAATTTAGTAGCGAAATGGTAAAGGGAGGCAAGTTGAATATAACAGTTTTGTAAATATCGATTGACCTCAAAATCTATTGATATTGATTTTACAAGAAAATGTTCATGTATCTTTTATCTCGGAAGTTTAATCGACTGCAAAGAAGTTCTCTGATATCGATAATTTTTGGAATAAATCGAGAGTTGATCAAAATTTTTAATTGAGCATTTCCGATTTAATGCTGAATGTTATCTGCTCGTGATATCAATCACCAATCTCCGAGGATAATGCGCCATTTTATTCGACGAAAACAATCACTGATCACTGATTATTATGAAGTCCTGAAGATATACATTTTGGGGGAACAGCGAATTATGCAATTATGAATCAGAATGAATGAATTTCTCAATGCAAACGATTCGGCGGGGAGATGGTAAAACTAGATGAACTCATTTTAACGTTAACAAATTATTTCTGATTACTGAGACATTATTTTTACGTTCAGTTTTAAATTTTCTACTTAACGAGTTATTACCGGTATCTTCTCATTTTTTATGTTTTTTAATTAAATTACTGGGCAACCGTAGATCAGATTAACATGATAAAATATACGGTTGTTTTGTTTTATCAGTATTGAATGACTCAGGATTTTTTATAGTCGTACGTTTATTTATATAAATTTTTGGTAAAAGTTTATGAATTTTTGCAAAAGTTTGCGTTTGAAAATGTTCTACGATGAAGAAATTAAAATGGTATATTTTTTTCGTGAATTTTATCAGTAGTTTATTAGAAATTAAAAAAAGCTTGTATATTGAGAAAATATAAGAAATAATTCTTTAAGGCTTTCAAAAGATTTGGAAAGTCTCAAATTGAAAGTTATTAAAACCATAGCTTAACTAGTCCCTAAGTAACTCATTATTTTTTTCAATATAATCAACAAAATTTATTGATAAAGAGATATTAATTATTAATAGTCTAATTAATTTGAGACTGAATCGTTATTTCATCATTAAAAAAAATGGAAAGTGTCAATTTGGGTTTGTGAATTTGAAATAGGATCATCTCGTTCCATCAATCCTCCCCCGAATCAATTTTCGAAGTGTAAATGAAGAGTTTTATTTTTGTATGAATTTTTCGAAAGATCTGTCCCGAGCCCAGAGAGCATTCTCCAAAACACTGCAAAACTTTAGTTTCGAATGTATTGGCGAAACCCAGACTGAGGATGAATTACATATATCACAGAGCCTAAAGGAGTTTGGTAAACTAATAGCATCGATCGAAGATGAGAGAGATCGCATGGTAAGCAAACCGACAAAGTATCCATAAATTGGAAAGCATAAGCCCAATCATTAATTAGAACCATTGAGCATCGGAAAATCCTTAACTCGACAAAAATGACTAATGCATAATCCAAAAATGCCAAATTTTACATTGGGTTTGAGAGAAATTTTTGGTAATGAGAATAAAGATTTTAAAAATGACACATGGATACAATTATTTTCACTGGCAAACCTTTAAGCACTGAGGCCTGATTAAATCATTAATTTCATCGGTGTAAGCATGTCCTCATTGCAAATCCCCTCCCCAATAGATCATTATTTTCATTGATTCACGGTAATTAATAATAACATGCAGTTAAAACCAAGAGTTAATTAGATAATTTTGTAAATATCTTAATTTAATGTTCCTTTTTTGTAGTTGGCAAACTAGGGATACGCAAGTATTGTATTAAGTGCAAGTGTTCTCGTTGAGAATTTCGTTATTCTAGTACTTGTGAGTTTGATTGAAAAGTTATTTTTGTTGTTGAAGTGCCACAGTCTTTACAGTTCACAATGTGCTGCACACTTTTAACGGCTTTTTTTCTCTCTTCTCGTAGAACGTGTCGCACATTAACTCATGCTCACTAATCACACTAATTACTGTCCTCGAGGGGACGTTTATTTAATTTTTGAAATCATTTTGTTCTGTGCTCGGGTATTTACGGTTGTCTGGTTTGCAGCTTGCAAGGGCTTATGATCAGATTATTCTTCCTCTTGAGAACTTCAGGAAGGAACACATCGGGGGAGTGAAGGTAATATTGAAAATTTCAATTGAATTTCAAATAATCAATTGAAAAATCACTGGTAAATTCTTATTGGGGCTCTTGCAGGAAGGAAAAAAGAAATTTGTCAAGCAGACCATCAAATTCTGTCAGAGTCAAGAGCGATATTTGAATTTGTCGACAAAAAAGCAGGACAATGTTCTTCAGGAGGCCGATGCAACATTGGATATGGCAGAACGTCACTTTTGTCAAGCCAGTTTAGAGTATGTGTTTTTACTGCAGGAAGTTCAAGAGCGAAAGAAATTTGAATTCGTGGAAACGGTAAAATTAATTAATCATCAATAAACCCAAAAACAGCCCCTTTTTTTTAAAGTTTTAGGTTTCAATTTCAGAACTTTCAAAGTCTCAAGTTGAAATTCACGCGAATCTTAAGGAGTTATTGAAGATATCTCTCATTTTCCAAGTTTCTTACACATTTTTCAGAAACTTTTGATAAGATTGACGTGAAAAAATATACTGTTATAACTTTTCTTATTATTTAAAGTGTCTCGGAGTTGTATCGCTGGAAAAAAATTCCTACTAATTTTTCTCACACGTAGAACTTTACCAAAACATAGCAAAATAGACAGCTATGAAAATTAGTGAGTCATTAAAACGCTATCTTTTTTCACGTCAATGATGCAGGATTTCCCAGAAATTTGCAAAAAAATGAAAAATGAGAAGATATTGGCAATAATTCAATAACCCAGTGACAATCATTCAAAGACGACCATCTATTAACGTTTTAACTTTCCTCAGCTTCTGGGATTTATGTTTGGTTGGTTGACGTTCTACCACCAGGGTCACGAAGTTGCTAAAGATTTCAGGCCTTATATGACCGAACTGCAATTGAAAATACAGAAGGTACATAATTCGCCCAACCCTCTTATTTAAACTCTTAACAATAAAAAAAAATCTCAAATATAACTCAATATAATAATATCGTCTAACAGCATGAGTATACAGCTAATGACTATTACCATTACTCGTGTGTGTATTTGTTTTTGTTGTTTGTTTTACAAGACTAGAGAGAATTTCCTTGCCACCCGGGATAAAACCGAATCGCTTATGAATAAAATGAAGGACATGAAAAAGGTAATGTTAAATAGTGTAGTTATGCTTTTTAATTCATTAATTCAAATATTAAAAACTTAACTCAAATTGCTACAGTTATCTGGATAGTTTCATTATTAAATTACTAATATCTGAACATTTTCAGTCAGCTGTTGAGACCGGATTGAGCAAGTTGAATTCACGAGAGGGATATCTTTTTTTGATGGAGAAGAGTAAGATATTTTTGTGTTTACTGCACATTGAAGATGTGCAAATATCTTTTACAGTTTGGTATCGATTATCTTAAATATTCAGAAATTTTCTATCATACAATTAGTGACTCAACTTCTCGAATGAAATGTCTCAAATTCCGTAAGACAAATAAAAAAAAAATCCTGAATATTAGACGTGCAGTTCTGGGTTCAAAGAAAATATTTGGCTATCTTTAAAATTCCTTCTGGTACAATATTTGCAGTGCTACAATCTAACATAATTTTCAGAGGCTTTTGGTACAACATGGACGAAGCAGTACTGCACATATCAAAAAGACAAGAAGGAGTTCACAATGATCCCGTACAATCAATTAACCGGAAAATTCGTGAGTCATAACGACATAACGCCCGCCATAAACACGAAGGCCGAGTTATTTAAATTATTAATTTCCTCTTTAGAGTAACAAGGAGACACTAACACTGGCGAGTTGCGTTCGTCGTATGTCCGAGACAATTGAAAAGAGATTCTGCTTCGACATCACAGCAGTTGACAAGTGAGCATTAGAATTTGCATAATTACTTACGTAATCGGTGGCAGAGCAAACTCTTGGCCAGTATTCGTCATTCTTATTTGAAAATGTTTTTTCATGCGCATTTGTAGGCCCGGCGTAACGTACACGTTCCAGGCATTATCTGAGGAGGATAGGAAGCTATGGATGGATGCCATGGATGGAAAGGAACCAGTGAGTCTCATTTTATTATTCAACTGAAAAATAGTTAATAATTTCGATGTACCTCACAATCTACATTAGTCTCATTTTTTATTTTTTTTAATTCTTCATATGCGTTATTTATGTAAAAATAGTCTTGTAATGTTAAATCGAAATTTTTAATGTTGAAGACGAATTTTTTATACTGCGGGAAATTTATAATTTGTTTAATGAAGACTCGATGCGGTAAGATAAAGAAATTCTTTTGCAATATCAAGAAATTTTTTATCTGGATCAGATCAAATCGTATTACAAATTCTTCATATACATAAAATATCATACTTTTATTCTCATTCTTGAACCCTTCTTTTGTTTTTCAGTAAAATTTATTTGAAACTTTTACTGAAGTAGATAGGGCAGCTGTTACTATATTACTTAATTGAATTGACAAATTAATTAATAATAACCGATGTTTCTACGCTTTTGCAGACTTATGCGCTCCAGGGCCCATCAGTAAAGACTGAGGAGACGATCTTGGATGAAAATGGTTTTACATTTGTTTCAAAATGCATTACAGTGCTTGAAGACAGAGGTAATTGCTCTCCGAATGTAATTTATGTGTTCTTCTGACATTGCCCTGAGATTCAGTCAAATAATCGAGTGATATTGCCAAAGGTCTGGAAGAGCAGGGGCTTTACCGAGTGGTCGGAGTTGCCTCGAAAGTCAACAAATTGTTGGCGATGGGACTGGACCGAAGGAAATTGGAAAAGCTCAATCTCGATGACAGATTCGAGTGGGAGAGTAAAACAATAACGAGTGCACTTAAAACCTATCTGAGGACCCTATCCGAGCCTGTTATGACGTTTCGATATTACAACAGTTTCATAATTGCTGCAAGTACGTGTTATCCATAATTAAACTATCAATACTTCGGGTAAGTGGTAAATTACGATAATTCTTTTTTTTCGAGACTAGTTTTTATCCGATTTCCCGAAATTGAAAGGAGATAATGATATTTTTATTTTATAATTTATTATTTTTATGTCTATATTTTTTTTGTGTGCTGTATAAATTTGTGAAGTGCCAATGCGTATTAATAAAAAAAATAGATTGGATAAAAATTGACCTCGAAAAAAAGCATTTATACTAGTTTACCACTTGGTTGCTGAATATAAGCTTCGGATAATAAAAAAGTTTTTGAGAATAAAGGCCACATGAATGACCCATTAATTACCAAATATTCCAGAACAAGAGTCTCGAGAATCAAGGATCAACGATGTACATATCCTCGTGTATCGACTGCCGAAGTACAACTTCAATATGCTAATGCTATTGATCAAGCATCTCCGAAATGTAGCAAACAAGTGCGACAAGAATTTAATGACAGTTGGCAATCTGGCTGTTTGTTTTGGGCCAACACTACTGCGCCCCGAGGAGGAAACAGTTGCCTCGATAATGGACATTAAGTTCTACAACATCGTTGTGGAGATATTGATCGAAAATTGCGAGAGGATTGTAGCTGGGCCCCCAGAATTCACTAGACCCTCACAGACTCAGCAGAATCCCATGACAACTGGAACGAGACACGAAACTGATGATAGCCCCAGTGCAACCGCCGGAAATGGAAATGCCATTAATAGATATACCGTGCACACTGCCGTTCCTGCCACTCATTCGCATGTAAGTTAGCTTCTCTCAATGTTCCTCGGAGTTTTTTCATAACAAATTGTACAAGTGGAGCACATTAACACAAAAGGACCACTTTTGTCAAGTGAAATGACAGTTATACAAAAGCTCTTTGCGAGAATGGCGTTATCTGTTTTAGTTGTTTACTGAATCGATTTGCTATATTTACGTTTCTGCCACTTTGTTGTTACATTTATTATGATTTTCTTTCCACTCTCGATACAGTTGGTTACGAGATCGTATTATGATGGTCCGATTCCAATTGTAACGAAGCCATCGACCCTGGATGATCGGAAAAACGGAGATTTCGAGGACATTGAACACGGCGCGCAACGACTGCCAATGTTCTCCGATGCCCGAGTCAGTCGTTCCAAGTTGACTAATGCCAATTTCATGTATCATTCCGCGGACAAAGGTAAATTACTAATTTATGAGGAGTTATCGTCATTTTTGCGGCTCAGTGGAAACCGTGTAGTCGATCATTTTTTTTATTTTCTAACTTTGCCTCAAAATAATGTAGGATGTTATGACTCGTGAGGATGCGAAGTTTCGATGAATGGATGGACGGATTTCTGAATTTAAAAAAATAGGAATTCATAAAAAGGAGTAAAAATGAATCTAAAAATCTGAAATTGTGAGAAATAATGAGGATTATTTGGGAGCACATCTGGGCAAAATTTCATTGAAGGAAAATATTCTAGACATTTCGAAAAGCGTTCTTAATTGAGATTGTGAAGAAGCTAAAGTGAAAAGAATCGTGCAATTCTCTGAATTCTTCATAATAAATTATTACTACAGAGTTAATTAATCATTAGTTATAATGAGAATTAATTATCATTACAGTTCAGATAGTTTTCTCCAGTCATGAATGGTCTCAGTCTGGGATAATACCAAAAAGTGCATTCTGCAAAAACTAAAAGTTCTTTAATTTTATTGACAATTGAAGAAATTTGTTCACAGAGATATAAAATAATAATAAGGAAATGAAAAAATGAGGCTATCGTTGGAAAGATGGTAGAGTGAATTAATACACTAAATCCTTGGCAGGAATTCATGCGATTTATGAATTAAATGATTGCAGTTCTAGGTAGTGGAAACACAAGTAGTTCAAGCGAGTCAGTGGCTTCAGACTCACATTTATTCAGTCAGGAGCTACCGACAAAGCACAAACGTGGTTCCATGATGGGTATGCATTATCCGTCTGGCTACACGCAACGCAGTAATCCAGCGATATCAGTGTACGTTTCAATATCATCGCAGTGTTTCAATTGAATGAAACTTCAAACTGCTGGATCATTGATTGATTCTTTTAAATTCCAGAGTTAATACCTCGCCGAGCAGTGGCAGGTCAAGCCCAGGGCAAGGAATCTGGCGAGTGCGGACTCTTTACGCCTGCATGGCTGAAAATGATGGTGAACTGTCATTTGAACCCAATCAAATCATAACAAATGGTACATTTTTATTTATCCTTTAGCATTCCGTTATAAAGCGCTGGAATTAAAAACAGTTCAACGGACATTGAATTACGCTGTTCTTATATTCTTATTCGTTCCTTCTAATGAATCTCTTTTCTGCGTCTTTCATTTCATTTGGATAATAATTATTTTAAATTATTTAAATGATTTTAACTGGCAATCAATTGTCCGATAAGTTAATTAATTAAAATTTTGTATTCATCCAATTGCTTTAGGTGAATGATTAAATGATACTGATTATTTAATTTGCAGTGAAACCCTCTCTTGAGCCAGGTTGGCTGGAGGGAACATTGAATGGGAAAACAGGACTGGTACCGAAGAATTATGTAGAACAGTTACCCTAAAGAATGATCACGTGAACCAAAGAATTCACAGACGCACTGTTCACTTTCGTGACACAGCATTCACATTCCTACATGTTTTAATTTTGTTTGTTTTGAATTAATTATTTTTGTTGCACATTGTTGGTCTCTTTGCAATATTTATTAATTCAATAGCAATTGGCGTTGATAAGTCCACTTGCATTTTTAATCTATTTTATTTATGAACAAGTGCCCGATTTGCTCAAGTACATCGGCATGCATTATTTACCTGTAAATAAATAGTCTGTAAAGGGCCCAAGGAAATGATTAAGGTAATTTATTTAAGTAAAATTTGTATACAAAAGTGTGTATATTTTGTTGGCGTAACCAGCTAATTTTTATCTTCAAAGTATGTAAATAATTGAAGAAAATTTATATTTATGATAGAATAGTTTTCGATGAATTTTAATCGCCGCACACTTCTGCCATTTTCAAACAAAAATCAACTCCACGTAAATTAATCGAAGGAACAAAAAGATTTTTGGTACATTTTTCAAAATCACTATGATTTTCTTTACCGTAGCTTAACTATTATACTGGTATGTGAATAAACACTCCACTAAAAACACTCCAGCAATTCACATTCACACGTGCATCCACTCCTAATGCATTATAAATCTCCATTTCTTTTCAATGGATAAAGCGTTGGGAATCTGAACCCTTTTTGGCCTCAAGTGTTGCCATTTTGACGATTTTATCAAAACTTTGATGATGAAAAAATGTGAAAGACTTGGATTTCCTATAATGGGCGAATACCATTGTTACAAATATTTTAAAATGCATCTACCTTTACTTCGCACACAATGATTTATCTAATTATCAACATTAAAGTGCTTTTATGCATGCCATTTTTCCTAGCACCTATTCAATGTATTCTAAATAAATTCGAAGGAAATACAAAAATGGAATTTTTCCCAAGAAAGTTATTTAATTTTCTCGAAAATCATAAAACTTCTCTCTTTACATACTCTTATAACATCTGAAAATATATCTCCGAAGTTGTAGACTTTTATTGTCAAATAATAGTGAAAGAAATAATCAATCTGTTTTTAGGAAAAATCTCGTTACTCTCCCGAAGCGGGCATTGAGATTAAATTTTGCAGAATGATTTCAATGAATTTATTTAGAGTATAGTTACGAGTCGGTATGAAAAATAACGAGCATAAAAACCTCTCTAATAGACATATCACGAATTTCCAAAGCATGCGTTCAGTGCACGGGCACTCACTGTGATTGACTCATATCGACTGCTTGAAAAATATATTTCCATTAACCTACTGAATTGATAAATTTGTCGCTTTATTGTCTAAGTGAGCTGATCATTTTTCCCCAATACTTGAATGGCAATACCGTCCGGAATAAAGCGATAAAATCAACATGGAACTCTCCAAAAATAAATTATTCCCCAAGGAAGAACTAAAGAGAATAATAAACTTTCTTACAATTTTGTAAACTGGACAATTTTTGTATAAGAAAAAATAATTTGTAAGAGCACACGAAAATATAATACTAAATAACGTAAACATAATTGTCAATCATTGGTGGGAAAGTGGAGGGTATAAATGCAACAGGTGGAGGGGATGAGTTTTCCCTGGACTAGGCTGACATTTTCTCCAAATTGGTATTTCTGTTCAACTGCAAGAGACGCGTTTCCATGGCAATATAACCGGCTTTGAGGGCATTCTGCTCGACACAATTCCAAATTGAGCTCATGAACAAGGCGTAACAGAGAATAGCGGTTGCCAAGAGTCGGCCAACATTCACACCAATGCTCACGCCGATTGATTCATAGGAGAGACCGAAACCCATTGACCATATGAGGGGCACTGCTAACAGTAGACTAGCCAGTAGATACCATATCCGTTGCTTACGAATTTCTTTGAGCGATGTGTCACAGATGCTGAGTGCCTCCTTCAAGGGACCTCGGATATCTTTCTCCACTGGATCGTATTTCCCTGCGAAAACCGAAGACATCTATCAATACATATTTGACATCATGCCTATGGAAACAAAAGATCATAATTCCATTTAATTTAAGTTTCGTTTAAGGATGATCAGCCCTTTTTAAACCAAATTCTCAGTATATTTTTGCAAGATTCATTTTATTTATTTACAAGTAAAAAATGCAATCCAAATTTTGTCTTACACAATCATACGATTACCAAATTACCTTTTATTAATTTAAATTCAGCTGCAACGGCCTCGTGATCGGAGTAGCTGACACTCTCATTGGGAATTCGTCTCGGAAAAGGCTGATGGCACTTCGAAACTTCAAGCTGAAAAATGATGAACCTATAGAAGATGATAAAGAAATAAAGAAAAACGTGACGAGAAGCAAACCTTGAAGTGTTTGGAGCCCAAGTATAGAATGTGATCGATTCTTTTTCCCTGTGGCAATAGCTTAGCGATTTTCTTCGGGGTGTAACTATTATTGGCACATTCACTGGTCCCAACATCGCTGTGAATATTTGAGCATGCATCTACCAGGCTGGCAATGCCACTGATTATTTGATAAGCCAGGTCATCGGGGCCTGTATTGAGATCTCCACCGAGAATCACCGCATCTGCACCCTGTCTTGTCATTCTGATGAACTGAGCCATGTCGAATGCCTGCAGAACTCTGTGGGCCGAGTATTCATCGTTCTCGGTGTCATACTCGGCGTGCAACTAATTACAACGATTACAGCATTTCAATTTTTCCTTAATCAGGCTTCCAAGAGAGCCATTAATGAATCAGGGGCATCAGAAGTGAAACGAGATTATTCAGGCATCTCCGGGGATTATCTCAAGCTTTAACAACCATCCTCAGGCCTTTTTTTCAATTAAAAATTCATTAAAAAATGTTGTAATATCAAAAAAAATCTATTTTCAATTCTTTTAGAAATTTATGAGACTTGATCATTTTTGGAAATTTTTCAATTGCTTGATTATATCCAGAATGCACGAAGTTTCAGTAATAATTTTTAATTCAACTTCAAGTATGCGATTTAGTTTCAGTTTAATTTAATCTGGCTTTCATTCTTAACCGCGGATATTAATCATTCTATTTTTCCATTAAGTCCCATTTAAATTGTTGACTTCACATTTATCACAACGGCTTATTTTATCGAATTTCTGAAGCCTTATAAATAATCTGGAAATTATTTCTACAAGTATCTTCCGTTTTCTTTCCTTTTTCATTCTATTTAGAATATTTAGCATATTTTTTTCAATTCAATCCGATTAGCAATTGATTAAGAAAACTCCAAAAATTGAATCCTGGCTAAAAAGGAACATAACATCCTCAAAACTTTCTCGTTTCACCCCGTCCCACGGAAACGATTAAATAATAATGATAGGACTCACATGTGCTACATAAACATTAATATTAGCATCGTGTACTTTTAGTCGACACAAACCAACCCCTTTTCCCCCGAACCAATCCCCATGGTGGATTTTGTGGACATACCCATTGAGAGCCCATTTGTGGAACATTACATCCTCAATCGGATATCGTGAGAGAAGGCAAATACCCGAGCCAAGGACTCCACTAAACACACAAGAACACCAATAACTCATCTGTCGACAATTGTTTTAATCCTAGGAGCGTTCATCCTCGTTTTTTATTGACATAAAATCGTGAATTTCCACCATCAACAGTCCTAAATTTAGAATTTCAGGGCAAGCGGGCCCTGGAGTTTTATTCAGTAATTAATAAACGAAGATAAACGAAAATATAAAACTGAGGGAAAAAGATGGTAAATATCTGCAAGTGCTGATATATGATATCTGATATTTTATTTAATAGCTGATATCTTTGTAGATTGTTACTTTATCAATGGAATTTTCCATTCGAAAATAAACGAAGCAATTTCCATCAATTAAAAACTACGATTTCATGTGGGAAAAATTGCTCTCTTGATGATACCGACCTGTAAAAATAATGAGTATGTGGCAGTTTGTCCTGCGTTTTGTACTTAATCATGTTGAAGTCCTTAAGAGACCAGATCTCCTGGAGACAAACGATGTCATAATCTCCAGAGGATAGCTGCTCGGCTATGGCCTTCATCCGCCTATCCCTGTGCCTCGAGACATAGGGAATGCCCCTGAATAAATCAAACACCAAAAAAATCAATCCCCGCTATAAATATAAATTAATAGATCCAACCAATCGTCTAAATCAGTCCCAAGAACGTCTCTACACTGATCTACATCCGACCTCCACAAAAATATAAAACTAATTCGTCGATTATCAACCTTGGCAACCCGATAAAGAAACATAGAGAACAAAAGTTTAGATTTTCTGAATATCCGGTTATGATTGGATATGAATTCTCAATGTTGTGGGTTTTAATTAAATTTGTGATGAAATCGTTCATCAAAGTTGTCAAGCGTATTGAACAATTCAATCAACAAAATAGGGTCTTTTATTCCACAGATAAAATTTACTTCGAGCATTTACTTGAGAAAAGTATTCATATGTTAGAAATTGCAGTTCGTAATTTACAGACGATTATGATTAGATTTTAATTATGACGTTCAATCTAGGGTAAGATAGACCTTCCAATGTGGTATTCTTCAAATATTCATATTATTCATAATTATTGTTTATTTCAATTTAATATTTTTAGATATTTTTTACAGAAAAATTTCAAGTAATTGATCGATTGAACCTCAAAATTAACAAGATTGTCTCTTAGATGAATATGATTGTTATAGTTGAAATAAAATGGGGATTCCTTAGTCGAATAAAAACTTTTAATTGCAAGAGTAAATACTTCTCTCAAGTAAACAAATACAAATTAGCAAAAGTGTATTTTTTATGAATGCAGACAGAAAACTCACCAGCAATTGAGAGTTAAAACTCTAAGTACCACTTCCTCACTCATTATCACTCCAACGTCCTCAGATGACACTACGAAATAAACAAACTAAATGAATGAACAATGATATTAGCGTAATCCTAAAAGAGAACAGGTGTCAGGCGAGCATTGTTGCACAAAAAATGAGACTCACAGCTGTTTTCACCGATTGAAAATTCCCCCAGTGCTTTCAAAAAACCGACAGAGGAACTATAGACACTTTCTGATATCTGCAAACAGTTTTATATGATAATCACAGAGAAGGCTATTTTCTAAGGAGTTGTTTGCACTCAATCAGTGATTAGTGAACCTGAAGAGATCTTCAGCACTCGAAAGCTTCGGCGAAATTCCCTCGAGATCCTGTTCGGATCAGCTGAGCTATGACTGCTCCACTCCGTCCCCGCCAAATCGTTCAAACATGTGTTTCCCGTCGCCGCCATTGTAAATGCATCTACACTCAGAGAGGCGCGCGCATCGCGTTTGAACTAAATCAGAAGTTGCCAAGAAGTGAAATAATGAGACGTTAATGACATTCCCGTTTTCAAAAGCATTTGTGAATGTTTTATAATTGCTGTTTTATTATTTATGTTTCGATAGTTACTCATTGATCACCTCCTCGTATAAATCGTCTGCCATATCTTCATCTGGAGGTACTATGTATACACTCATCTGCAATTTCCGTGAATACCTCCTCAATTTTTTTTGCAAATATAGATTTTTCAAATTTCAGCGAATACCTCTTCGATTTTATGTTCCGCTGACACTTTTCGAAAATTTCGAATTTTCAAATTTCGGTGAATACTCCCTCAATTTTCATGTTCCCCTGAATAATTAATTATTATTAATTATTACAATCGTGAATAACCGAACTTATTAAATTTTGGCGAAATGGATTAACATGGATGTTCAACAGCCTAAAAAATGTATATTCTCCAGAAATTAAAAGAAAAACGGATTTGCAGAGAAGCCCGACCCCTCGGAAAGGTAATACAAATAAATAAATAAATAACTCTTTATCTCCATTTCCACCATATATCATTACAATTTTTACAGTCACCCACAGTCTTTCTAATTTATATTCGTTGCATATGAATATGCAAATGATCTATCTGAGAAGGATAATTTGTAGTGCACGTGTATTGTCTGCAGTCAAGCCTTGAAAATAATTGAAAAAAGCCGGGAATTTCATACAAAATGGTGGCACCAATAAAATATACAGAATATACAGGTTTAGCGTGTGCGCCAATGCGGTGAAATGCCAAATGACGAGCCCAACAATGATGGACGTTAGCGGAAGGTTCCAAAGCCACTCGTCGTCGTCATACCGAAACGAAGCGATGGCGATCCGAGACTGTGATGAAATTACGGGAAAGTGAGCCAAAAACGTGTCGCCTTTCTCCTGACGGTAACCCAATTTCCCCTTGTGTTGCCAGAGCCTATTTTCTCCCGCCAAGTGTCTCGCCAAATGGCCAACAGTTGAAACATCATCAATCCAAAAGTTAATAGTGAGCCACTGAGCTTTCACCCCACGCTCACATTGTTTACCATGTGAAATAAACAAATAATAGATAGTACATAAAACTCACCCCCTAGTGAATGAATATCATCGAACGATGGAGGAAGTCATTCCGGAGCTGATTGTACCACCGAGTGTAGTTAAAGAGGAGCCAATAGAGGCAAATGGTGATCCCCAACATTCGCAGATGCAAGTTACGACGAATAACGACGAGACAGAGGGTGGTAGCTGTACCCCAGAGAGTCGAGAGAGTGAAGTACGTTTTTTTCTTTCAAAGTGTGTATTTTGTAATAAAACATTTACGTACGAGGATCAAGTTAAATTGCTCGAGTGTTTGCATGCAGCATGTGGTGCGTGCATAAGTGCCAAATTAAGTGATCACAGTGTCTACGTGGATTCTGAAGTTGTACTGGAAGGGAATGTTGTTGTCTGTCCAATTTGCAGCGTGGCTAGCCAGCCAGATAATCTCATAGAGAACCGATTTCACACTAAATTTATTGAGGACGATGTGAATCAAACGTCCGACGAGGACGCCAACAAGGACGAGGAGGAGGATAAAAAGTGCACAAGCTGCCATGACAATGCAACAGCAACAAGTTGGTGTGTCGATTGTGAGGAATTTATCTGTCAGAATTGTGTTATGGCTCACCAGAGGTTGAAGATAACCAAGGATCACACGATAAAGCCGAAGGATGATGTCTCCAGGGACAGTGATGGCGCCAAGAAGAGTGAGAAGAAGACACCGAGTTATTTATTATGCTCGGTTCATCCCCACGAACAGTTGTCCCTCTTCTGCCAGAGCTGCGATCGCCTCACCTGTCGTGACTGTCAGCTGACTGAACACAGAGATCACCGGTACAAATTCATTCACGAGATTGCTGCCGAGACGAAGACATCTGTGCAAACACTTCTTAAAGAAGTTACGTACAAACGAGTGCTTCTGAGGAGTGCAATGAAAGTTATTGAAGATCGTCAGGTTCTCATCGTCGAGAAGAAGAAGAATCTCGTTCAGGACATAACCCAGATGGTCGTTCAGATGACAAATGCAATAAATACCCGAGGGAAGCAGCTGGTGATGCGCCTGAATGAGGTATGCGATCAAAAACAAAATACACTCAACGAAAAACGAATAGCACTTGATCAGCTGTCCAAATTGACTGATCACTGCATTCAATTCGTCACCTATGCCCTGGATAAAGGCTCGGACATGGATTTTCTTTACTCGAAGAAATCGGTAACAGGTCACCTTCAGCGAATAAAGAATAGACGGGCAGATATACCAAATCCAGAAATACCAGTGAGAATTCATTTATCCCTGGAGAAGGTACCGGACTTGATTAAGGTGGTCTCGTCGATAGGCTCGATATATGTTGATGGGAGAGTTTATCCGTCGCAATCGTCATCGGGAACCAGCACACCGACGACAATAGCTAGTGATGTGACGATCGATCGAAGACAAACGCCTCCAGTTAATGTTCCTGCTGAGAGCCCAACAGTTCCACTGTTGAATCAGCCTATGTTGAATCAACCAGCCACAACTCAGGCTGTTCCATTCACCTCAGTGCCTATGACATTCACTCCCCAGCCCATGGTCAATCAACAAATGAATCAACAAATGAATCAACAATTGAATCAGCCACCACCACTGCCTCCATCCCAACCGCATTATCCACCTCAGTATTCAGTGCACACACTACCTCCTCGATCGTCACCCCAGGGGCAGCCCCCAAGGCTACCGTACAATGTGTCGTACAACGGGGCTATTCGCCACCAGCTCATGATGCCACAGAGGCCTTTAGGTAATTGTCATCAGGTCACGTCGTCCACGCATCCCCAGCAGGTGCAGTTCGATCAGATGGGCCAAAATGCTAATCTCAGAGGACTGCTGGCACCCTTTCAGAGAGCCATGTCCAATGTCGCCTATAGGCTACCCCCTGGTTATCGATATCCATCTACAAATGGCCAGAGATCTGTCGCAGCAGTTACTCACACGTATCAGCCAACAAATCCAGCGCTTGTCTCTGGGGGACGGGTTCAACAGCTCACACCAGCCCCCTCTGGCCAGATGAATGCTTATCCGAATTACCAGGCAGCTCGCTGGCACATACCTCAGTCCGCCAATCCAACTAATCCCATGAATTATTTTCCCCAGAGGCCCATGACTCCACTACATGCCCCATCTCTTTCACCATCGGTAGTTGTACCAAATGATGCTTACAAAATCACCCTCAAGGCACAGCAGAATAACAACATTATTAGTAATAATAATAATATGAGTAGTCCCAGTGGGATTAATAATACCACTGGAGGCAATCAGAAGGGCACGAGTGGAGTTGTGGGCACAGAGACGCCTCAGGTGTCAACGCCAGGGCAGACTGTGACGTCATCGGTGCCAAAAACACCGAGTCCAGTACCTGGCAAGGCGGATGAGACTGAAAAGAGTCTCGATAAATTCTGTCAAAAGTCACTCAATGATCTCATGCTGACGATTGCCAAGTTGGATTCTAATGGGATTGTCGTGATTCCTGAGGCACAGAAGAATCACTTGGACTCGGCGCAGGTCGACAGCTCGACGGACGAGGGGGGCAATATTGGAGAGAGCCCTGAGGAGGGGGGAAAGAGTGTGGCAGCTTCAATGGCTAAGGACGATCCTAATGAGGACTGGTGCGCTGTCTGTATGGATGGTGGTGATGCTGTCCTCTGCTGCGACAAGTGTCCCAAGGTCTTTCATCTTTATTGTCATATTCCAGCTCTCAAAACTTTTCCTGATGAGAGCGAAACCTGGCAGTGCATGCTCTGCACTAATGTCTTGGATACATCAGAGGATCCACCTGCTGAGAAACGAACGAGGGATATGAGCCTCAAGGAGTTGAGGATCGCGCAAAGAATTGTGCTGGAACTCTACTGCCAGTATGAACAGAGTCTTCCGTTTCGTGAAATTGTTTCTCCAGAGGTTTGTCTTTCTTACAATCATGCTTTCCTTTCTATACTTGAATCTGCTATTTTTTATTTATTATTTTTAGTTGACACGGGTTTGAACAATTTCACTATTTTTCGTAGGTTCAGAGATATTTACTTAGAAATATGTTTACTATTGAAATACCGGATGACCAGTGGAGATAATGACATGTATTTCTCTTCTAGATTGCAGAGTACCATCGAATCATCAAAAGCCCAATGGCTCTGGATGTCATCCGGGAGAAACTGAAACCTGATAATCCGAATCATTACACTGATTTGAAACAAGTTTTTTCTGATATCAGACTGATGTTTAAAAACGCATTCACGTATAATCCTGTAAGTAGTGATTTTAAAAAGACGAATGTTGCGGCAAATACACATAAATACTTGCGAAATGACTTTCATCTCCTGATTCAGAGAGAGAGAGAGAGAGAAAGAGAGAGAGATCTTTCCCGTTTGCAATCACTAATCCATTTAGAAATTTATACATCACATCTTCATTCATATAATCGATCTGCAATTAATGGGAATAAAAATTGAAGGGTATATTGAAATTATTTTGACAGGTGGATTGTCAAGTTTACCAAGAAGCCCGCAACCTCGAGGAATTCTTTGAGAAATTATTGTCGAAGTGGGTGCCAGATTATGCCTACGACGATCCCTTCCTCACCCCAGACGCCGAGGAGGACGAAGAGGTCTTCCCTCCGAATAGAAAATATCGAAGAATAATAAACGATTGACATCTGTTTCACTTTTTTTAACACTCAATAATTTTTTCTGCTTAGTTGTAGCTGAATAAGCAATATACCGAAAGGTAGACTTGTTTAACCAGTCAACATCGATTGATTTATCATGAATATCATTGTTAATTCTCCGTTGTTAACCGTTAAACGTTGTCGAAATATTTTATATTCACAAATCAAAATGAGGAAAAAATACCGGTAATGGTAGTAAATTTTTCTTTCCGCAATCATGACGAGAGTAATTTCGTTTGATAATTATGCATCTATGTATACGAAAAAAAAAAATCAAGCACATCAAGTCCTATCCATATCTATTTTTTGTCACGAGAACAATTGAGTTAATGAATAGTGAAGTTTCTCGAGCCCGAGTAGATACCACATACAAGCATTATACAAACGACATATTTATGTACTTTGCAGAATGTTTTCACATAGTTTAGACTGATAATTTATTTCTCTCGCCGACATAATAGAATTTGTAAGCATTTTTATTGAAATCATTGTTTTACCCAACAGTTGCTAAGTGGAATATGTAAATTCTGTTGAGAAGAAATCAGCAATTTAGTTGACTATGAATTGTTACTATAGGAAGAATAAAATTTTGAATTTTCGGTATTACTCGTCATTTTACTTCAAGTAATATTTACGTATGAAGCCTTGAATTATTGGATACCATGTATTTTTATATATATTGAAAGCTATTGAATATATACACAATTACAAATAATTGAATGATTTCAATTAGTATGATAGTGCACCTTTCCATTTTAATAATATTTATTTCCCATTTAGGTACTAATTTCCACTTTTTCTCAAGGTCGATTTCTCGCTGAAATATCGCTTTTTCATAGATATAGTATGAAAAAAATAGTTCTATAACATTTTCAGTTTAAATCGATAATTAAGAAAAAGTGGTGATTCGGTTTATCTTAATTTATCACTTAGTTGTTGAAATAGGTAATTTCATATTGTTTATACGCAAAAAAATCGAGAGCTAGAATACATTTTCGAGAGCACAATTTACGATCCTTTCGAACGGGTAAATTACCCCTTGAGATCGTAAATTACCTGGATTTTGTTGGTCTTATACGGTATTGAAATCGTAAATCACCTCTCCTTGAGAATCATTTACGATCGCGGAGGGATAAAAAAACCTGTTTTAACTCTAAGTCTGAGCGCTGAGTATAAAGATGCTTTTCTCTGAGAAAGATTTTTCCAATTAATCGGCTCCGATTTCCGAATTAAAAATTTAGTAAAAAAAATCTATCCCTGTACGACAGGCTCAGGCGATTTAGAATCATCAGAGACCAAGTTTTACTAATCTCGAAGGAAATGCTTTTTTTTACATATATGTATAGTACTTTACGATCTCAAGCGAGCTTGTCCCGTTCGAGACCGTAAATTACGCTCAGGGAGACGTGAATTACGATTTAAATGCCATAAAAACCGAGAAAAATTCCGGTAATTTACATCGACGTAAAAAATATCGTAAATTCTATTTTGGAAAATGTACTTTATTTTTATAATCTTTCAGTGTATACAACACATGTTAATTGCTGGGGAACTCCAGATGAGATTGACGTGTGGTTTTTATTTTTTTTCACATGTTTTTATGGTTTATCCTGGCGTGCAGTTGCGTAATTATCACGGATAATTAGCGCTTTAGCGCTTAAAATCAATCATAATAAAATTGAATTGAAGTGTCACCGCATGTTTTCAAGCGTTTTGAATCTTAGAAGGTTGGCCGACAGAAAAAAACTAGAAAAGAAACGGATTACTTCTCAAATCTTCTGTGATTCTATCATAAAACTAATTTGATTCGAAATTTTGTCTAATTTTTAACAGAAGAGTTGAAGAGGTATGTCGTGTAATTAAACGAGATAACATTGAAAAAAATTCTAACGCGATATCATGACAATTGAAGAGAGATCTTGTGTAATTAAACGAGATAACATTACAAATTGAATAAGATCAATAAGAACCGCGCTAATCGTCCCATTCTGCCCCTTTCAATTATTTATATTAACAAATAAAACGTAATCACTGTGGTGTCGTAAGAAAAGTCACAACGATTAAAGTTCAATCGCCAGTTATTATCCCAATAGGTAATATCCCTAATAAGAGATACTCTTCAACCATGAAGATTCTCTCAGGATTTAGTAATTACACCCGGATAAACGCATCACATAATGACGAGTAGTAAATAATTACACGTCTTTCAAATTGTGATTTATTATTCATAAAAAAATCAACAATCAAACGAAGAATGTTTCTACAGAGAAAAAAAAATCGTTTTACATTATGAAATTTGAATTATCATTTTCCTGCTGAGAGACACCAATGAAAATAAGACACAAGTGCATTAACTACTTGAAAACAAAAGTCGGGGCAAGCACAATTGTACAATTCGTATCGATAAAAACTATAAATTCTTCGATTAATGTATCAATCGTGTGAGTATGTATAAACAATACCTGATAAGTGCCGAACACGAAGAGATAAACAAATTACGATTATTGATAACAATTGAATCAATACGAGTATAAATAAGTGATTGAATGAAAAAAAAAACAAGTCATTACGCTCATTTAAGGAGAATGAGAGGGAGGATAGTTGCATGGCATGCACACGAGTAATGGGACGTTTGAACATGTTTTATAGTTACGTAAATGCAATAACAAATGTTTTTTTTTCTGTCTTCCAGTGGGCATACGGTGGAATGTGACTTATGTTACAGATTATGCAATTTTTTTTCCCTAGTTGTTCTTTCACTCTTCATTCTTTATTTGGCTTTCTCCGGCGGGGCCCATCGCCGCTTGCTCCTTGCTCGTCCTGTAAAATTATACTCTTCATTAATGCTGTCACTTCCACTAGATTCCGCAGAATCGAAAGGACTCGGTTTGATTATTTATTTGAATTCAACGATTAATTTTGTTCTGCACTTTTACAAGAAAGTGTACAGAATTTTTTAAACTGAGGATAATTAGATTACCTTTTCACTCGCAATGATTTCATCAGTCTCTTCGTCATTTTCATTATTATCATTAGAAGGTTCATCAAGGCGAGATAAATGAGGCACTTGGTCCTCAGGGCTGGCGCTACCCTCGGGACTCGGGCATTTGGGCTCCTCGTTGGGAGCAAGGGGGTCCTTCTCGTCGTCAGATGAATCCTATTCAACGAAAATTATTTTTTAAATGTTCTTGGAGTTTGGGAGAATCAAGGAGTCATTGCCTTGATCATCTCATTTTTCATGCTTTTTTTTTTATTTCTGGAGAATCTTGGATCACATTGACATGGAAAATATACCGTTTTTAGGTTTTATCTTAATTTAATTCATAAATTTTTATAGTCCTGCGTTCATTTTGATAAATTTTTCGTAGTTTTGTGAGTATTTGGTAGAATTTCCTGGGGACGTTGCACAATTTTTCTATGATGATAGAATTTCGTGAGACATTGAATAATAAAACTTAATAACGGTATATTTTATCACGCCAATCTTATCAACCGCTCCTCAGAAATTGTAAAAATAAAATTGAAAAATTAGAAGATATCGGCAATAACTCCTTAAGGATGTCCTACCCTTTTTTTTATCCAAAATTACTGTTTTCTGATAAATTGTTGATCAGATTGACTCGGAAAAATATACCGTTTCCATATTTCATCATTCTCTAATGACTCCCAAAATATCGTGATCATACAATAATTTCCCTGTTTTTTCTAAAGTTTTATGAATTTTTCAAAAATTTAGAAAGAAACCAGGAAAATGATCACACGATTATGCCATTTCGGGGAGTCATGAAATAATAATAAAGTGCAAAACGGGATATTTTTTTGAGTCAATCCGATTAACAATTTGTCAGAAAAATAAATAAGTCAGTAATTTTGACAAAAAGTGGCAGAACATCCTTAAGGCGTTTCATTCGAAAAGCCAACAAATAGATTCTTTAAAATTCATAAACAATATTGATAATTATAGCATAATTGTTTATGAATGTTCTTCAATTCCTTCCAGATCTCCTTTCCAAATTACTAGAAATTATTAATCTCTTCTTGGATTCTTCTTGGGCCTATTACGAAAATTGTTCAATTTAACACAAAACTATATTATCTGAATTAAAAAATGTTGACAAGAGCCCACATAGAAGGGGAAGTCGATTAATAATTTGAGAACAACATCTTCCAAAGATTGAAGAAAATTCAAAAGTAATTCTACTATGATTATTAATATCCTGAATTTTGAAGAAACTTCATCTTTTATGTTTTTCGAATGAAAAACCTTAGGCAAGCATGCTACGTGTCCTGTAATACCTTCGAGGAGAAGCAGCAACAATAGATGATGAGCAATAGGGGCAGGCCAGTACCTACTATGTACACTGCCCAAATCCATGGATTTTCGCTGGTGAAATCAACAACCCGACGCCACACACTTGACTAATAAGGGAGAAAGGAACTAGATAATTCAATACATTACGTCTACAGGTACTACAAACAAGGGGGCAATAATCTTCGTTATTTACTGGGGGTGGTATTTTTTTAAATTTCCTTCATTTCCTTGTAAAATCGTTACCATCGAGGTGATTCGAGGAGGAAATGAAGATAAATACGGGCTAATAGAGGCTTTGATGTTTGAGGAAGACGAGCGACAGTAAAATGAATTGTAGATTTTTTTTTAATGTTTAAAATTAAAAGTTTTTGCGAAGAAATGGAATTATTTGTTCTGTTAAGGAGCTATCGCTGACATCTTCTCATTGTTCATGTTTTTTTTGTAAATTTCTGGGAAACCGTAGAACAGATTGAAGTGAAAAAATATATATTTTTAGATTTTATTCAAATTCAATGATTCACGAATTTTCATAGCCGTGCGTATTTTTATCTACATTCTCTAGATTTTCTAGAATTTTTGCACAGTGATGAAACTTCGTGAGATGCTGATTAATAATAAAACTTAATAACATTATATTTTCACACATCAATTCTATAAACCATTTCTCAGGAATTTGTAAAAAATTTGTTGAATGAATTAGAAGATCGGCATACTGAGAGATAAATAAAATCATTAGGTCAAAAATATTTTTGATTGTTTTAAATATAATTGAATAAAAACAACCATATTTCGTCTCAAACAAATAGATTCAGACGATTTTACTAAATTTTTCTCTCAGCGCAATAACTCTTTGAAGAGTGGAAAATCGAATTTGTTTCTGCGTTGTGAATATTCAAAAAGATATCTGAAGCATCCATTTTACCCTACTGTAAATTTTATGAGACTCCAACGAAATAATAAATAGCCAAAATACTCGGATGTGATGAAATTTGTAGGATTAAAATTGCATGAGGCAATAGCTCTACTGCCACAAAGCACAAATAGTTCTGAATAATTTTTTTGACACTGTCCTGTACCTCGCGTGATCTTCTGAAGAGGTATGAAATGTAAATAACAATTGGTACAGCGCAGTAGATGAAATAAACTGCCCACCAACCGGGCCTATGGTTCATGGATTTCATCATTCGACCCCACAATGTCGCCTGAGCACGTTTGCATTACAAAGGTTTCGGAATTTTTTATCCTGTTTATTTCGAACTCCGCGGTGAAGTGGTGAAACCGGATGACTCAATTTGCCACAGAATTTTCACATACATTTTCCAATTTTACCACTTCACTTTATTGTATTTGTAAGTACTTACACCTTCCTGCGCGATTTTCTGTCGTCTGATCTCGAAGGTTTCGTCAGCCCACTGCTTAGCCACGTCTTCGTCGTCAGTAATTATGACATTGTCGAACAGAATGTCAGGAGACATTGACCAGAGTTCAAATCCAATAGCACCCTAGACAAATATTTTCAATAATAATAAAATATTAATTTCATTCAAGACACCAAATATGCAGAAAATTATAAATTTATCGAGATCAAAATATTAAAATATACAAAATTAAACGTAAATTTAATGCCCACATGTACGAGCTATCGAAAATAATCGTTTAAATTGTATCTTTCAGTATAAAATATATATAAATTTAGGTTTTAAATTGTATTGCGGAAATTACTTCAATAATTATAAAAAAATACAAGGTGATAAATTCTATGGCGTACTGAACATTGAAATATAGATTTAATAATTAATTTCTTTCCACTTGGCTATATATTAATTTCTCAAAAATACTCACAATGGGCATCATTCTGAACGGATGTTGATCATTAAAGAACTCGGGATTGTGAATGAGCCTGGGCTTCCACTTGCCTTTGTAATTAGGATTGTTAATAAGAGCAGGGAGCCACTTCCCTTTATACCTAGGGTTCTTCTTCAATTTCTGTTTATAGGGGCCACATCCAGAAATGCCCTCGCACTTGGGATTGGGAATCTGAGGGGGTTCCCACTCCCCATCCATCTCTACATCCCAGTCATCTGGTTTAACCGAGTCCGGATTGGGAATAGTTGTTGGTTCATTCTCCAGCCAGTCCTCCGGCATGAGGTCGTCCTCATCAACAATCTGGGCAGGTGCATCCTCATCCCAATCCTCTGGCTTGACAGCAGTGGGATCAGGAATTTTCTCCCTGTCGTCCCAATCCTCAGGCTGGATATCATTGGGATCCTCGATCTCCAGTGGTGGATTGACTGGTGGTGTAAAATCATCGAGGAGTGATCCCTCATTAACAATTTTTCCGTCCACCTTCACTTGAAATGAATTGTCTGGACGAACAATCAGCGTGTAAAGATGGGGAACTTTGTCCTTGAAATAATCCTCGAGTCGTTCCTTGGGTTTTTTGCTGTGTTTTTCCTCGATGCTGCCGTTGATGGGATTTTTGTGACGAAAGATGAAATGGAGTTTGTGATCTACGCCACACTTGTCAGGCCCAAACATAATGGTGTAGGGGGTCTTGTCGTGGAATTTCGTGAGGTCCAGTGAGGCTTCTTCCTGGGTTAGGAGCTTCAGATAAGCCCCTCCACACTCCTGACCATCCTGGAAATTTACCTCGTACTGGACGACTAGAGGTTTCTCTTCAAATTTGAAGGGTTTGTTGAGAAGGGCAGCAATTGCTGCGTGTCGAGCTTTACTCTTCAACACTAGGCCCAAATCGTCGTCTTGAACACTTCTGGTTGGCTCCTCCACTGCCCAAACACCTGTTGTCAAATATTTATTTAAAAAAAAATATCAAGTGAAAGTATTTCCTTCCTTAAAATTCTCCTTTTAAAACTTTTTATCAACAATTACGACTGCAGGAAAGTGAAGAGCTCAAAACTGGAATACAATTTCTGAGTAATGGAAATGGAATTCGCCTCGAGGCTCAGGCGACGACCTCTGATTCCAAGTGAGATAGCGATTTCGTGATATCGAACTTTTAAATAGCTCTCGATTAGTGATTTAAAAAAAGTGGCAAAGGAAAAATTAGCCATCTCTCAAAGATCGAAGCCTCCCCTGGAAAATCCCCTTCCAGATCAATACCTAAATGGGATTATCCCCTGACTAACGTGATAACATATTACCATCGTATTTGGCGATATCCTCATCGATCTCCTCCTTCTTGGTCTGAGACTGCACCCAGACAGTCCTGAATCTCTCCCGATCGTCGAAATGCTCGGCCAAATATGCAAAACCCGAGACAGTGGGACTCTTATAAACAGGCTTCTGAATATCGTCGTCACTGGCATCCTGATCGTGAACGTGCTCCTCCCCCAGGACAGCAATAACCAAAAAAACCGAAAGCACTATAGCCAGAGTGCAAAGACGTTGTCTACCCATCGTAAAACCTGAAAATTCAGTAAAATCACATGAATAAAAAAAACTAGAGCACAAGGGCTCGACACGTAAACTACTAATTCAATTAATAATTCACTCCAATGCCACTGCTGGAGTGAAGTGAACACGAGACAGTTACCGGTTAAATATACCTCTTTAATGAAGAGACTACCAGAGATTTCACAAAATGCACATGAGTTTAACTTCCAGAAAACCAGCACCAATGAAAATTCACAAGTGAACAATTTATCACTATTTACACTTTCAATTATTTCCCAGTAATTGGTGGGTGCTGTCTCAAATAAAAGCTACGACTGGGGGACGAACTTCCGAATAGTATAGAAAAATAAATTAGGGTGAGGTTGGTGGTTGATGGTGGGGGTAGGTGACAAATCCATGAAATTTTGTGAGAAGGAATAAATGATTGGAAAATAGAAAATTGTGGGGAAAATTCAAGACTTGTAGTGGCATCTTGCGATTTATTTTGAAGCTTTGATATTTGTGACCAGAGAGGATTGACTAAAGTAGAGGCTCAGTTCTGGAGTTTTGAGTGACCCCAGGGGCATTGTAGTACCTCACCCCAAGGGGGAGAGGGTGCCACACGTAATTCTGAGGTGTCTACCCGTCAGCCGACTCATTAACCCTTAACGGGTACATCCAATTAACCCTTAACGGGTACATTTAAACCTTAACCAAATCCAATTAACCCTTAACGGGTGCATTTAAACCATTTAACCCTTAACGGGTACATAAAATTAACCCTTAACAGGTACATTTAAACCTTAACCAAATCCAATTAACCCTTAACGGGTGCATTTAAACGAATTAACCCTTAACGGGTACATACAATTAACCCTTAACAGATAATGGGTTAATTGGATTTGGTTAAGGGTTAAGGGTTAAGGGTTAATTCGTTTAAATGCACCCGTTAAGGGTTAATTCGTTTAAATGCACCCGTTAAGGGTTAATTGGAATTGGTTAAGGTTTAAATGTACCCGTTAAGGGTTAATTGGATTTGGTTAAGGGTTTAAATGTACCCGTTAAGGGTTAATTGGATGTACCGGTTAAGGGTTAATTGTATGTACCGAGTCGGCTGACGGGGAGACACCTCAGAATTGCGCGTTGCGCCCTCCCTCTCTTGGGATGCAGTACTACGATGCCGCTGGGGTCACGCAAATCCCCAGAACTGAGCCTCTACTTCAGTCAATCCTCTTTGTATGTGACTGTCGGCAGACTACTGGTCGAGTGTCTAATGAAATTATTACTCGTGGTGTACACACGTTGTCGTAGATATAGATATAGAGTCCCCGTTGTGACGCAATATCGTGTGATCCTCGTGTGGGCCCAGCGATTGGTTGATGTCGAGGTCGTATGATCGTTTGTAATTTTTTTTCCTCACCAAGTTAGTTTTGTGTCGTGCAACACCCTGTGGCCGATAGACACGTCAAATTTCTACAAGATTGGCCGGATTTTAAACTGTCACTGGATTGTAACTCAACAGTGTCAACAATTGGGCGTTATTGGTTGTTTTGGGGGCTTTTTGGAAACGGGGTTGTCCATACAACCGGGGAAATATTGAATTCCAGGCACGATGGCGGACTCAGGGGCCTGGGCTCCGGTCCATGATAATGAATTTCCCACTTTTCAAGCTAGTGATAACTTCAATCTTAACGAAATGACGGGATTCGATGGTACGTTTTTCCTATTTTTCACTGATTTCAGGGAATTTCAGGGAATTATTACGTATTTGTCAGGACGATCAGGTGATGTCTGCATATGCCTAGATGTTTTCGTTCAGATATAAGTAACAATAAATATAGAAACAGACTTGTTTACCTCACACTTCAATGAGATTATTACAATTATTGCTGACTTGACAGTTCAATGTTAGGTTTCTATCAGTGAGATTGTTTTTTAATTAACATTGTTTTGATTTATTAATGTGGGCAGTGAAGACAATCAGCAAAACATTGATGTTGTTATGGCTGATGTCTTCTCATTTTTTGTTTTATTTTATTTTTTTGTAAATTTCTGGAGACTGGATCAGACTGAGCAGAACAAATATATGACTGTTGGGTTTTATCATTCAACGACTCACAAATTTTCATAATTCTGCATCTATTTTTCTAAATGTATTGTGAAATTTTGTAAATTTCTGCAAAAGTCTACGGAGAACGTAGGAAAAATCAAATGAAAAAACTTCCCTGCAATCATGAGAGTAACATCATAATTATATAAATCTTTTATAAAATAATGAAAACGTATCTGTAAATGAAAAGAAAAGTTCATAGAATTGTCATTAAACAGTAACACCCGTATTTTACAGATTTGTTGAAAAACTGTGAAAGTGAGTTGATGAAGAACGAGAACCTCTTCAACGACGACAGCTTCCTCTCCGACCTGGGGGAGCCAATTCCCATGGAGAGTGAGTTCGACTTCCTGACGATGACTCCAGAGAATCCCCCGAACTTCAAAGACGAAGATATGCTTGAAAAATTCGTAGAGCCCAACATGATAATGATTCCTCCAGAGGACACACGTAATCGCAAGAGCTCCACGCAGATGGTGCGTCCAGGGCAGCCCCAGCCCCCAGAATCAGCAGCAGCAGCTCGTCCCCAACGAGCACCCCGAATATCAGTGGTACAGCAGGCAGCACATCCCCTATTCACCCCCCAGCAGTACACAATCCCATCAAACGTTAACTTCAACGTGCAATCCCCAGTGGTGACTCTGGCACCAGTGACAGGTCATCAGCGTCAACTGTTGCTGCCAGCGAAGCTGATAAAATCAGAGTCTGTGGTATACCCCAGAGGCTCACAGGCTGTAACATCTACTCCAGTTCCTCATCAAATCCACACCCTCGTTAACACAGCGAATGGTACAGTTCTCGCAACAGGAATTCCAGTGGTCCTGGACACTGACAAGGTCCAGATAAACAGAATAAGTACCAACGGTACTCCCCTAGGTGTCCCAAAGGTTCGAGAAGTAAAGAGAAGCGCTCACAATGCGATAGAACGTCGATACAGGACCTCGATAAATGATAAGATAATTGAACTCAAGAACATGATCGTTGGAGTCGATGCTAAACTCAATAAATCAGCAATCCTCAGGAAGACAATTGACTATATAAGATTCCTCCAGAACTCAAACGCGAAACTAAAAGCTGAGAACATGACTCTGAAGATGGCAGCTCAGAGGCAGAATCTCAGGGAGCTCTTATCCATCGGTGAATTGACACCACCGAGATCTGACACCAGTGAGCCCTCGCTATCTCCAGTTCCGACAATGCCTCCTTTATCGCCAGCCTCTCCAGCGTCAATTAAAGAGGAGCCGGAGGGACCTCAGCATACGTTAATGACCGAGAGAGCCTCCTCTGTTTCCCCAAAGACCATTTCTGGGCTAAGAGACAATACTCGTCTCACTCTATGTGCATTCCTTCTCATTTGCCTGGCCTTCAATCCCCTCGGGATTGTCATAAACAATTTTGGAAAACTATCAGAGGACGATTATGCAGCGACGAGGGTTGATGGAAGGACAATCCTAAGGCATGAGGACAGCAGAGAGAGTGATGAATACTTTTTACCGAGGACGATGTGGGGCCTGGAGAATATGATTGTCTGGTTTATTAATATCTTGTTGCTGGCTGGAGGCCTCTGTCGACTAATTGTGTATGGAGACCCAGTGATTCCCACCGAGAGCAAGACCTTCCTGGAGCTTCGTCGCTGGCGACGTCAAGCAGAGTTCAATATGTCCCTGAATGAGCACGAAAAAGCCCAGTCAGATCTCAGCCAGTGTCTCAGGTGCTTCGGACGTTCGCTGCCATCCTCGAGGATCGAGATCTACGCAGCAACACTTTGGCAGATCGTCAGACAGATACTGCACAAGCTGTGGATTGGCAGGTGGGTCCTTAACGTGGGTAAATGGCTCTCGGAGAAAAAAGAGAGAAGTCAAGCTGAAACATCAGCTGCAGAGCTAGCGATTGCATACGAGAGGATCCTAAGTCTTCGATTATCTCAGGGCCCTCAGTTAACTGCGGGCACTTTGTTCCTGGCGCTGTCATCTGTCAATTACGCAGAAGCTGCCGGTGAAAATATCAATAAGATCTGTCTCACTGAGATTTACATAAATGCAGCTCTTGCGTTCAAACAATCCATGCTTCCTCTTGTACACAAATATTACATTGCCAAGGGAAAGAATTTATTGGCTAGTGCTCCAGTGGTTCCTGCCAAGTTCAAGTGGCTGATGACTGAGGAGGGATTTAGATTCCTAACATCTAATACGTGGCAGTATGCGAGGCCAATTATCACATGTGCAGGTCCAGTTGATGGTAAAACAACTGGAAGTGGTGGCTCGATCTCTGCTATTACCTCAGGGAATGCCAGTGGGAATAAATCCTATGACGAGTTCACCTCTCAGGGAAGCAGAACGGACGCCCTAGCTTACGCTGCGAGGGCCTACAGGGAACACCTGATCAGCCAGTGTCTTAAATTGGTTGCTGGAACAGCTACCAATGGAGATGCACATGCTTCGACGATGCTCCAACTGTCGAAAGCTGTTGTGGAGTCTGCTGATGTCGAGTGCTATCTATCTGCGGATGAGGGCACCGGGGGTACGTGTGAGGATGCTGTAGGTCTGTGGTGGGGTGCTGTTCTGTGGGCAGCTGCTTGCTGGAGGCTCGGTGAAGAGGACTTCACACCCTGGACCATGGCTGAAGCCAAATTCCCGAGGGAGAAGAATTTCAGTGAGAACTCTGGAGGCAGTCCTCTACCTGATGCTGTCCTCTGCGTTGTTCAAGCTGCTAAACGACCTCGCAGTAGGAGCTCCATCAGGCTCATCGATCAGGCTGGGAAACACCTTGAACACTCGTTAGTTTATTATAACTGCAAGCAGCAACCATCGCAGAATGTTCAGGTATTAAAATGTTTAATGGCACGATTCATTCATTCATTATTGAATGGGGTTCTCGTAGCTTCAGCCTGTTACGAGTGTGCATTGTAGTTGCATTGCATGATAAGTGCCTGTGCAATACTTCTACAGTGCAACTCCTGTGGCAGGATTTATCGACGTTATCATTGAGTTTTTTTTAAGGTTTAAAGATCTTGTTAGGAATGGAGAAAACGTTATTCTAATAAGAATATCCAAGACTATTGGAATATTTTAATTATACGTTGAGGACTTGGATGTTATTGAGAATCTCGTTCACCCCACTCCGACATAATTATTTATTTGAATGAAATAGAAGGTAATTTTCCTTCTGGCTTTTGTTGTGTAATAAATTTTAACCGCGTGACTCGTGTAATTGAATTTTTTTGGTGCACAGCTGGTGCATTTGTGGCTCTGTGACTGGCTGCTGGAGCTGAGGACCATCCTCTGGCAGGAATTGTGGGATAGTCAGTCCAGTTCTAGCCCCACCCCAACGACCACCAGTACTTTTCTCGCTGGATTCCAATGCGATCTGGCACGTCTACGAAAACTCAGTCGAGATATTCCGGTAATTATTGCGCATTCAATTCTGTCATTTAACAATGACAATGCCATTATTGACGTAATGAATATCAATATTTACGATGTTGCTCTCGTTCTTTTCAGTCTGTTCTGCCCAGAATTTTCTTATACGAAGCCACTGCAAGGATAATGGCTGGGGCAGCTCCAGTGAAAACCCAAATTTTGCTAGACCGCAGTCTGCACCACAGGAATTCACGATCTTCCATAATTTGCGGTAAAGATCGATCTCAGGAGAATGCCACTGGGGAGAGAGAGCATGCAGCCGCCTTGTGCTTAGCCTGTCGACATCTACCAGCCCTTCTGCTTGCATCACCAGGAGAACGAGCTGGAATGCTCGCTGAAGCAGCCAAAACACTCGAGAGGATAGGAGATCGTAAAAGATTGCAGGAATGCTACGAACTTATGCGTCAACTGGGCCCAGCCATCACTGCTAATTAAACTCCATCAATGGTTTCAAATTAGCAACGAAAAAATTTTCTTTCCCCGGTTAATCAATTTATAAGGAAAAGTTCATTGAAATTATGTCAATTGATAATTTTGTTGTAAATATACGGAATATATATAAAATATATATAAAGCATAAAATATAAAATATATATAAGTCATATATAAGTTATATATTTTATATATATTTGTTTATATAAATTGGGCTAATTTAATATATTTTGATATGTATTTTAAAAAATACATTTTTTTTTCATGTAGGATCCTCATCTATCTGAACAATTCTCATAATCTATTTATTGTATATGAAGAAGGCTATTATTAGAATTAAGAACTAGTCCCTAAGTAATGATCGTTGACTTAATTAACATTTTCTAAAATCATCGATTATCGGTTGCATTGGTTGATTCAATGTTGCTTCATCATTGTTTTATTAGAAAGCCTTGTACAAATTAGTGTTTTGTATTTCTTAGATTTTTTTCCACTTATAAACAGAATTTTCGATGACGAAGAGGAATCTACTCCTCGTTCTGTGTATCCGCTGTGAAAGCACGTTACGAATATATATTTCTTATGTAATATGCGTTAAGGTAATTGTTTTTGTTGTGTCATTGCTGCAGGGAAATGTGCACCTTCGGATTCTTTAATGAAAAATAAGGCTAGGATTTATGGGGCATCTCTCTTCGGGATTCTGCCTTTTGTAATTGGACTTTTCGATTTTTCGAGACTGAGGGGAGTGGGATGACTTACCTTCCATCCTCACAAGCGGATTTTATCGGAATTCATGTTTTTTAGGATTTTTCAAGGATATCCAAGTATTTTTTAAAATAATTTAGTAAATATTTGGTTCTTAAATTACCAGACTTTCCGATTAAAGTTTTAAAAATTTTTGACAATTAAAATTTCCAATTTTTTCGGGCGTCTAAAACGTGTCCTAGCAGTGTAGACTGTAGGTCAATATTTAAAATCTCAGAATTAAAAATAATACTGTCATTGTATAATATCCTTCAAAGAGACATTTTTATACTGATTTTGGAATGCAGAGAACAATTTCACCGAACAAAACCAACCAACGGTCTTAGATATCCTTAAACTACTTGCTGACAGAAAATAGCTGCTTAGAAATAATATTAACAATCCACTAATGAAGTGAGTTTCGCAAACAAGGGGACAACGATGAATGCGAAAAATAAAAGAATTCATGCGTTTAAAAACAGATTTTTCTTCATTTTTTTATACAATTCATTATAATTCACGCATTGCGTTATTCACCACGATCTCACTTCAATTCAAAATTTTTCAATTCTCGTTGACGAAAAGAAGATAGAGAAAAAAAAAACAAATCTCTTACGACATATGAAATGTAAATGGACAGGCGAACACCACACACGGTAGAGCCCATTGATCGTGATCAAATAATATGATATCGTACATTACTCGTATATGTTCACTTTCATTTATTATAAAAATAAAAATGTGTGCTGATGTAGGCCCTACATAAAAATAAATCGATACCCATGAGATAAATAAATGTTCCACATTTGTTCATAAAAAAGAGGCTTTGACAATTTTATTGCTACCACTTGGAGATAATAAATCAACGAGGAAATAGTAGATCAATGCCCGGTGTGGTGTACATGAAGTGTGATCATGACAAAGAAAAAGAGAAAAAAAATAAAATTGTAAAAACTAGAGGATGAGACGCTTGATGAGGATTAAATTAATTTGCTATCGTGGCTTCTCTCGGACACACAGCGTCCACGGCCCACTGTATCTTTTACTGAGTTTTCACTTTAATAATAATTATTCATTTTCCCATCTTTCATTCTACGGATGCACGGAGGAAACTGTCAGATCATTATTGAGACGCCGGGCATCATAACTCCGGACACTCGTGCACACCAAAAGTACACAAAAGTACACATTTTAAAAAACTAAAACGTTGTGCCCTTTCTAACGAATTTTCTTTTGATTTTCAATATGAATTTTAACGTATGCACTATCTGTCTGGATAAATCCTAGCTTAATGTCTTTTATGCACGTGTGCAGCGTGTGCGCGAGTATGCATTAGCGTTAATCAGCTTTCTTTCTCGATTAATCGGGGCTTTTCCTCTCGTGTCGGCCAGGGACACTAATCCATCCGCAAACAAATTGCCGGGAATACTCAATGTGTTTGACCGGCGTACCTTTTAATTTTTTTTTATTTTTCGTTTTTTTTCTTTCTTTTGAAATTTCCAACTCCATACCACACATTCACGTCAGGATATAGCGTTGAATAATCTGGGGAAAGAAAGAATATCAGTAGGTGAGGGTTTTCCATGAATATTTGGAAAATTTGGCAAAATAGAAATTCAGATGAATTTCAGTTAAGGCCCGGGTGGACTGCCTGGAAAAGATAATTTACTCCAAAATTGGGACTTCTCATTACTCTGGCAATTAATCGTTTTTTTTCCATAATTGTTAGTTAGCGTTCTAGCGGTTGTTAACAACTAGACCGCTAGCTAACAATTATCGGAAAAAACGATTAATTGGCGGAGTAATTAGAAGTCCCAATTTTGGAGTAAATTATCTTTTCCAGACAGTCCACCCGGACCTTAAGGATGTTCTGAACACTTAGCCGTAATTACTGTTTTTTTTATTTTATAATTATTGCATGGCTCACGAAATTTCATGCGCGTGCAATAATTTTCCTTCGGTATTTTATAAAATACTATGAACTTTTGAAAAGTTTGGCAAAATCGCAGGGAAATTATCGCACGATCATGACGTTTTGGGAGTCATTAAATAATTATAAAATGGAAAACCGGTATATTTTTTCGCCCTTGGCAATCCCTTCGGCAATTTATCGAAAAATTTTCTAAACCAGTAATTTTGGGTAAAAGGGGCAAGACATCCTACATAACTTCCAACGCCAAACTCCTAAATTATCTTTTTGAGAGCTACGGCACCTTAGGGCTGGTGCTAGGATTCAGAAATTTAATTTATCAATTTTTACTCGTCTGATCACTTGAAGAGTTCGTATATTGTAATTGAAAATTTTCTTCTCCAAAAATCATAAATCAGGCTCCAGTAAAAATTAAAAATTAAATTTGTTTCATTATACAAGTAACGAATTCAATAAATATTCAAGATAAGAGTGTGAAAAAAAAATCTACATGATGTTAAAAGCATAATGCAACTGAATTTGTAGGTAAAATAAAATTGGTTAAAATTCTATTGTATCAAGAGATATTCCACATTGATTTTTGTCTCAGAATTACCTGTACGCAAATGTGCTAGAGTTTGTCCTGAAACAGGAATAAGTTGTTCGTCGCTGCGACGGCGACAACATTTTCCGAGGGATGCCATGCAGTATGGAGTATCTTTTTGTTAAAGTCCAGGCAGTCGACACTTATTTCGTCTTTCTTGCGTTTGCCACCTGTACATACCTGCGCATAACAATGACTCGATATTGCAGTGTCTGATTCAATGGATTATTGTTGGAATTCTAGTTATTGTTGGATGAAAGAGTCTATGCAACAGCACCAACAGCAAGTGATGTCATTCAAAAGCAAAGTAATCAACCAAGAAGTCGATAAGTCGAATTTACAATTTTTTTAAACTATCAACTTAGATCGAAAAATGTCGATTCAATCATGAAAAATTAAAAGATTTTTTTGTATCCAATTAAATAATCGTTCAATTACTTGGATAACTAATTAATTAATCAAGATGTAAAAATGTAAAAATAGTATCAATGAATAAAATTGATCTATTCAGTTAATTCGTTGAATACTCAATGGGTGAAAGAAGAAATGGCTTCTCAAATAACGATTCTTTTTTTTTGGCGAATATTGGAGGAAATTTATATGGAAATGATTCACTAATTAAAAGGATAACAAGCGGTTTGTACCTCAGTCAAGTTTTCGCGGAAAATCTCAGAATCTAGGAGTGATAGTGAATTATGATTCCTCTTAGATCCCGAGAAAATTAATGAAAAATTTAGCTACCAGTTATGGAAAGGAAACCCTTTCCCTTTTGTCTACCAAATTTTACTCACTTTACGTGGCTTCAGAAGTGTTTTTGGCTTGGCAATATCGCGTGCTGCTTCAAGTGTCAAATCACGCTTCGTCGCACGATCAAATACACGGAAGAAGTTGTTGTATGAGCCAGTCATTATTGCGGAGTCATTGCCACTCCAGCAGCACTCGAATTTATCGAAAATACAGTCGTTCTCGTACAACGAGCACAATTTTGATCTCAAATATTCGTGAACCTTTAAATAAACGAAAAACATATCAAATAAAAATGACGTAAGTGAATAATGAAAATGGGTAAAGCATTTCCAGAGTGAGAGAATTTTTTAGAAAATTTCTCCCCTTGGATATGTTGGATTCTGAACAACCTTTACTTACAGGATAACACTCGATTGGTTTAGTCTCCATGTGTAAGTCCCACACTTTGACACTGAGGTAGTCTCTGCTGATCATATAACGGCCGGAATTGCTTAACTTGACGTCACTTATACTAGAAATAATTTCCGAAAAAAAGCTCCTATTTGTCGGATCCTCGGGCTCCTCAAATAGTTTACTATGACGATCGCAGAGTGCAGCTGATCTCATGTCGCACAATCTTATCGTACCTTTACTGCTGCTGTACACGAGTAGATTACATTCGACTGGATGAAATTCTGCTGCCGTTATTACCTCCGTGAGTTCTTCCATATTAGTTGGTTTAATGTCTACAATATCTGCAATTGAGAGATTCATTCATCAGAACATTTCTTATTAAATTGTACATATGTTTTTTTTTAATTGAACTCAGTTTAGATAGCCTGAATAACTTCATTTCAAAAAAAGGAAAAAACTGTAAGACTGATTAAAACTCACTAAAACTCTGATCAGTGATCTCGAGATGCCACAGATTAATTCTAAGATCATCGGCACTGAGGTATGTTTCCTGGTCGCTGTTGACACTTATACTGTTAATATGGTATGTGTGTGCATTGGCAAATATTCTCCTCGGTGACGCTTCGACTGTCAACTCCGTTGGCTTAATCGTGGGAACCTGATTACACGTAGAAAACAATTTACTCTCAAATGCTACGCCATTACTCCCCAGGATTCACAAATAGATTTCAATCAAAATGTCATCTTACCCTCAAGGCAGTGATACAAGCTGGATCACGCATCACCCCACTCTCTTCCTTAGTGTTGTAACCCTCCACCTTCTTATCTCGTTCACTGACCTTCCACAGTTTAATCGTTTTGTCATTTGTCGACAGTAAAAAGTGAGCTGGATTTTTCCTCTTCAACCATCTTATTTTATTTATTTTCTCTTCAATCTCGAGGGACTTCAGGTAATCAAATTCAGGCTCGTGGCTCTGAAATGTACTGTACACATTGTATTCACCTCTTCGGGGTATACTATTTTTACTCTGAAAACAAATAATTCAATTAAGTATTTCATTCGTAAAGAAGGGGATAAGATCTATTGTATTAGATTTTAAATCCCATCAAGCTGCGACAAAATCAGTATTTTCTATTATCAAATTAAAAAACCGAGTCTCTAATTTTCCACGAGAGATTTAATTCCAACCGGAAGATACACAAAAATAGTCTGACAATGTAAAGCATTTCACTCTACAATTTTGATAATTTTTATTAATTATAATGACCGTTACGAAACGACTGGTCTTCTACAAATATTTTTTCATTTTTAAAAATTCTTCCGCTGACAATCAAATTACTCCCGTTACTCTACATAATTAAAATGTAGGATTTCGTCGGTGCAAATATGCACAAACTTACAATCGGATCACGTTGAAAAATAACGACCCTGCCGCCTTTGTCCCCAGTAGCAAGTAGATCGCCATCGTGGTTGAATTCCACACAAGAGATTATATCAGCTGCAACAGATCAATAAAATTATACTGCATGACCCACCTCCCAATTATCTCAACCCAGCGTAAAAAAAAAATCCTAAATAAATCATCTCCAAGTGGATATGCCACAGTCGCCCAAAAAATATCTCCCCATACTCACAAAAATGTCAACAAGCAAAATCTCCACAAGCACTGGCATCATTTACTTGCCAACGATAAGATATCGCAGCATCATTAATGACACAGAAACCACCTCTTGAAACACGAAAGCCTGAGCCACCCACTCCCACCAGCCTCAAAAAAACAGATTGAAAGACAAGTCTTACCATCGGTGACGTCGTCCTCGAGGGTTCCCTTCACCTGCGAGAAACACCACTGTATGTCACCATTGCCTGCAACAAGTAAAAAAAACACAAAAATTAGCCCATAAAACTGCTAAAACCATCCATCACCCACAAAAATGATCTCCAGAGGAGACGATAATTGGACGCGTGGTGCTAAATTAGGGGTTATCCACATCGTAGTGCAGCCAAACTCCAATCCAACGAGTCCACCCCATCGTCACCCCAAAAATCACAAAAAAACACCTGCCAAAAGACCCCCCCAAAATTCCAAAATGCCCCTCTCACACTGGAAACCGTAAAGTTTTGATAATTCCATGGCATCTCATTCTTATCCTATTTAACACCTCCAACAAAGATTTACAAAAACAAAATTAAACTAGAAATATTGGTTATGATTACTTGATGTCTCGCCGCAATCCATCTCGTGGATCATTGGAATATTGGTAATTGACACTCCAATTTGTCAGTGTGTACGAGTAATTGTTTTATTTTTATTTTTTTTAGGCCGCCACCGTCACTTGGTCCTCGTCGACGGACACATCTGCACAGCCCGTGGTACGCGTGATGGCGGAGGGATGGAGGGACTATTGTCGGCTGTCGCTGGAGTTGTGCGAGAAGGGGCAGCACGCGAAAAGGCAAATGGATACGAGTCAATTTGAGATATTAACAGACTCGATTACCCAGTGAACATCCAGTATTCGAGAGAGTATTCCCGTGGCACTGGACCCTGCATTAATTAATCGGACAAGTAATCAGAAAGAATTTCCAAGGGGAAGAGAGAAGAAGAAGTTATCGGATAAATGGGATAAAGAAAGGAGCACCTGGTTGGGTTTAACCTTGGTTGTACCGGTACCAGACAAGGTGCTTTGTTTGACAGAGGTGTTTCGTTAAATTCCATTAAAATAATAAAAATTCAAATGATTCAAGTAAATAAAAATCCAATGGCAATTGCTGCTACTCACCGGCCATATTTCGGCTATAATATGCAGAGTGATTAAATCTTGATGTAATTCTTGGTGGAATGAACAGAACAGGTGGATGGAAATGATATCTTGTGATTTTGTTTGTTGTTTAATGGAGAATAATGGAATGTGGGAGGGGAATGGAGAAGTTGACACACAGTGGTGTTATAATCCGCAGCGCGTGTCACATATTCGTTGGTATTAAATAAGATTTCGATATTTTCACTGTCACGCGTTTCACAAGTTGTATTACACTCGGATTCACTCCGATCAGTCCCACTCGATTTTAATTATTCCGTTTTGTTTAGGGATAATTGACGATTAAGTTCAAGGATGATTGGAGTCATTCAAGTCTATTCAAGTGGAATTTCAAGGCGTCTACACCGGGATAAATTGAGTTTTTCGTCTTTGAAATTGTCGTGTGACGTCAGAATCGAATTTGTATTCAAGAGCGCAGGGTATTGAATAGAACGCGAGACAACCGCCTATGTTGGGGAAATTTTTTTTTTCTTCGCCAAGCGATGGATTTTTTTTTCTTCTCTCTTCTCTATGGGGATTAATTCAAGGAAATATCAGTGGGCCGCCATTTTTGTTGCCTGTAGATCGCGCCGGTTTTTCAGTTTCTCCGGTGGGCACATTTGTTCGTTTCTCTTTCACTCTTCTGGCTTTTTCGATAGACCCTTTTTCGCACCCCCCTTGTGGGATAGGTTTACTTGATTTACTTGCTTACTTGGGTTTATTGGCGGATGCCAGCGCCACTGCCGCAATTGCCTTGCCGAAATCTCACGATTAGCCACGACTGTATCCGGAATTTTGCGCGTTTTTTTCGAATTTTTTGCAGATTTATACTGAGTTTTTCAAAGATAGTGTGCCGTGTTCTAGCCAAAATTTCCGGTTTTTTGAGTTTTCTGATAAATTCTTGATTGGGTTTCCCCTCAAAATGTCATGATCGTGCAATAATTTTGCTGCGTTATTCTAAAACTCTTCAAAAATAGAAAAACTAGAGAACACATAGGAAAATTATTGCACGCTCAAAACGGTATACTTTCTCGGGTCACTTCGATCCACAATTTGTCAGAATAGTTAAAAAAAAAATTGATAACTGATTTTTCAGGGGTGGAACATCCTCAAGAATGCTCCACACTCCGCCGAGGTTCACGAAGTCTCAAGGTGGTGCGAACAATTTTTTACGTGTTTTCTAAACTTTTAAAAAGAGTCACAAAATTGTGGAAAAACGCATGAAAATCATGGCACCACCATAAAACTTCGTAGCAATGATAACGCCAACGATACGCCATGATCCGCAGTGATAACGTAAAAGCATTATATTTTTTGACATTTAATTATATATTATATGCTTCCTCGAATAAAAAAATTATCAAAATCAGGACTCATTTAAAACTTCACACGTCGGTCAGTAAAAAGTTCTCCACTAATTTAAAAAGATTTCGTTTACCGGTACTAAACCAAAAACCCCCAATTTTTCATAATGCAAAAGCAATTTTTTCAAAAAGAAAAATGTCTACAAAATCTCAAATTCAGCTCTCAATTCTCGACAAAACCATCAATTCCCCAACAATATCATTGAATGATTTCACTCACATTATTACCACCATAATTAATATTCCAGAGGCTCAACAAAAGGGGTGATTTCGCACCGAAAATGTGTGCCATGCGTGAGACTTGCCGATTGCACCCGACAATCCGCGAAATGACGCACGAGACATCGCGGGATTTTCGAAGTGGATGGGTGGCGAATTTCATCGTGACGTCAACGCACGTCACCACTTAATCCATCGACGTTAATTCTGTGATTGATTAGTCAGTGAATTTTTCAGGCAATTACACCAATCGATGCAGAAGAATTGTTATTCAACCGAATGCCGAGAGAGGATATCATAGCCTACCCTTCGCTCCATCTCCCAGTTTGCGCATTTTACCTAAAAGTTCATTAAGCTTGTCCCGTAGTTCCTCAAGGGATGAGAAGAGTGGCCCGTGATCTCGAAGTTGTCGTGGAGTTAATCGAGATGTAAGGCTCCTTGATGGTGGTGAAGGTGAACTGTCCCTGCTCATTTCCCGAGAGGTGCGATAAAATTTTCAATCTTTTCTTGATAATTTTTTGTTAGTTCAGACCAAATGGATTTGGTGGATGGCACGTTATTCACTCGACAATAGACTGAAACGAGGCCTTAGGCGGATGATACATAACCCCCGGGGCATTGTAAAAATGGGTGTCGAGGGGCGAGGAGGTGAGCATCGTCCAAGGAACGAAGGAGATGGCGCGAGAGGGAGATGAAACATCGGAGGCTGTGTATATTCGTCTCGGGTGCATTAGGAGATGCTCGCTAATCGACCCGCCTTTCGTCGCATTAACGATCATGCTGTGTCGCAATTTAATTCCAATTTATATTGCGTCGGTATTTCTTTTTGCATTCGTCACCAGCATGACTACCACGCGGAGAAAAATTCTTTTTCATTCTGAATAGAAGATACGTAACCGTCATTTTTTTCGACTTGCCAATTCACTGGAATTTCGTTGGAAATGTACAGAAATTTCGTGAAACGTGAAGATATTAATAGCGGAATGGTAGACTAGGATGAGTGCAGTTTTTTTACTGACGCGGCCAGTTTTTAGCCGATATCTCGGGATTGGAGGGGTATATCAATTTTTTTGTGTAAATATTTTTTATAGAAAAAGATGAGAGCTACAAAAAAGGTATCTATGGGAATACCGGTATTTTCCTTCAATCTCGAGATATCGAGTGGATATACAGAGACTGGGGTAATACGGACAATCATTAACCCCGCCTCCTTTACAGGTATTTTTCGAAATTATTCACGAGTGGATCGGTACTTTTGGTTTGTCTCGTGTGTGTTTGTGATATTATTTAATAAATTGAAACTTCAAAGGCCAAAGAATTTTGTATTCAAAGGGCATATGGAAATTTCTCGTTAATCATTAGAAATTTTACCGGAACGACTCGATTTTTTTGGAAGAATTTCTCTCTAATGGGCGCCATGAAACGCGGGGTCGAAGCTGGATTGTTTACCTGGGGTACTAGAAGTACGTTATGACTCCTAGAGAGAGTGGGGTAAATTGGGGCTGGTTCAATTCTCACGATTATCACGATGGCTTGAGATTGACGAAGTGGATTTAGGCCATTTAGCATCATTTTGGGAGTTTTTTTTATCGAGCTAAGATGAATTCAAATTCACTCAAATCACACCATTAAAGCGCAAGAAACAAAAAAAACTACTAAGACAAAAAGGCGAACACTACTAGAGAAAGAAAAATTTCAGTGCCAAGACTGGAAGTTCAATGGGAAAATCATAAAGCGTCTTGAATTGAATTTTACACTTCTGGTCAATATCTCGAAAAATTGATTTTAAGCGGAAATATCTAGAGATTAAGTTTTCACAGAAGTTTCCGGTAATTTTCATTTAATAGCACTAGATTTCTGCTGAATAAATTTGTATCAATGGATTAACCTTTGCACTCACTTCATGTCTATCGTCGTAACCAACAAAAATCCACATTTCCGATAAATTTTGATTAATCTCCGAAATTCGGAGAAATATTGGACGTTCTTACGGAGATCTCACACAATTTCACACAATTTTGCCACGAAATTTTACTCGGATAGAAACTTTTATACTCGACAGAACCAGCCCAAGAAATTTCTAAATTTCCTTGATGAAATCGCGGTTAATGGAAAAATTATCCGTAATTTGCACGTAAAACCCCATTAATAGCACCACCAGGAATTTTCACTCTACAAGCACTAAACTATTTCCACTTTTACTCTGCATCTCCAAATTCTCCCCACAACGGATTTCCATTATCCCTGCTGGGATAATAATTACTTCTTATACCACGGGAGCTTCGAAATTATCGAATTATTCCCAATAAGTCCGTTGCAAACAAATGAACGTGTCAGATTTTCCAGGTTAAAAAAATTTTCTAAAAAACTTGATCAGCTCGTTCATTCGTAGGAAATTTACAGGAAAATATCCGATTAATTCCCAAGCTCGAGTCGTATTCGTGGGATTATTTTTTTCGTTGAAATTTCGGCCGATAGAATTGCACCATAAGACGAAGTCTATATTAAAAAAATGAGAAAAGACAATTGAAAACCCCAAAATAATGAAATCTGTCAATTTCAATCAGTAGTTCATTCGTTTCAACAATTTTTTAAAATTTCATCTATATAGGTAAGAGACAAAATAATCGAAGAATTACGAGTACAATACACCTCGTCTGTTGGTGCAATTCTACTGGGTGAAATTTGGAGGAAAAAAGTAATCCGGATGAAATAATAATCTCGATACTCACAGTACCAATTAGCCTCCTCCTCATAGTCATAAGCTTGGACAATTTCTTGCTGGTGAAATCTCGTGACTTTGCCACCGGTACCAATGTTTCTGTTGAGATTTGACATTGGCCTTCTCTGTCGAACACGACTCCGTGATGTACTCATTGTTCAACATCCGCGAGGGGACAACGAAAAAGAAAAAAAATATCCCAGCCTATGACCCCTGCTTAGACTATTTACCGAGATTCGTTGCTTCGGGGAGAATAACGGTCGGAACAAGCCGGCTATTTAATTATTTACGTTTTGATTTATCTAGTGACTTGTGCGAACTGATGACTGGGTCACTCCGGTGATTATTCCATTCGATCATTCCGTACTGTACGAAATAGTGAAAATTCCCTTTCCAATGCTCTCGACTTGTCTTCCCCGCCCCGGGGGGATTAATCGAGTGTTTACCACGTGTTTACGGGGAATTCCCTGAAGATGGCTGATTGCTGTTTACCTGACGACTTCATACTGGATCTCTTTGAATTTCTGCGTTGAGAATTGGAGCATCAATGAATAGCATTTTTATGGCAGATGGGGTTTGCCGGGTTTCATTCAAAAAAGGGGGGGATTACAGTTTTGCGAAATTCTGACAGGATGTTCGTAATTATAACTGAAGTGTTTATGAATTTTATTCGATTTTTTACTGATTTGCTTTTCGAGGCATTAATAATCGAAGTCTCATATTATGAGACTTCGATCAGCTCTTATAGGCGTTTTTAGGGTAGCACGAAACTGCGTTACCATCTTAGATGATAATATAGTTTTATGCTAAATTGAAGAAGCTCCATAAGGGATTTTGATCGTTAAGGATGTTCCACATCCAGATATATAAATATATATAATACATAATATATCTAGATATATAATAATCAAAATTCAAGTTTTTCAATTTCTTTTTGCGCATTCTTGATGGGATTACAGTGAAACAATATACCGTTTTTCTGTTTTGTCATTATTTAATGGTTCACGAACTTTCGTAGTGGGGATATCATTTGCATGAATTTTCTCTACAGTTTTGTGATTCTTCTTGAAAGTTTAGGAAAAACGCATAAAAATGTTTGCAGCACTTTGAAACTTGGTAAATCATTAAATAATGACAAACACAAGAAGTTTTATTTTTTCACGTCAATCCCATAATAAGTTTGACAAAAAAAAATTTTGAAAAAGTTTGAAAAATGAAAAAAAAAAACTCAATTTTGGTTGTATAGGTGTGTAGGACATTCTCCAGAACTTGAAGAGGATGGGTGAAAAGAATGAAGAAAATTCATAGACAATTCTGTTAATTATCAACATGTTGTATGAATTTCCAAGAAAGTTCTGTTATCTTTTTCAATAATCATGAAACAGTGACAGCTTTTTCACCAAAATTCATGTTCTGTTTACTTTTCTAGTGGATTATCGATGGAGTGGACTTCAAATAATACAACGATACGCTTTCTCAAGTTTATCGTTCCTGAAGTTTTGCAGTGGTGCGATCATTTCCATGTGTTTCTTTTCTACAGTTTTGTAAATCTTTTTAAAAGTTAGGAAAACAAGAAAAAACGCAAGAAAATTGTCGCGCCACCTTCAAACTTCATTCATTTCAAAGTCATTAAATAATGACAAAACGCAAAAGCGATGGTTTTTTTTGTCCATTTTTTTTTAGTTTTCTGACAGATTGTCGATTGAATTGGCCTGAAAAAATATACTGTTCATGCATTTTATAATTATTTCATGACTCTCGAAGTTCCATGAGCTTACAATAATTTTCCTTTGTTTTTCTTAATTCATGAATATTTAAAAAGTTTTGAAAAAACGCAAGAAAGTTAGAGCCTCATCATGACAAGTTTGGGAGTCAAATCAAATCAAATAACGATAAAATGAAAAAATAGTCTATTTTTTTGCCTCAACCCGATCACCAATTTGTTAGAAAAACTGAAGAAGCGTTTAATTCTGGCTAAAAGAGTGCATTCTCAAAAATGGTCCGACACTTTTGCCTCGTTTTGTTTTCTTTCAGAATTTCGAAAGACCGAATGGACGTGGAGTGATGGACGTTGTACTTCTCTCGATGGATTTTAATGATTCAAATACATCTGTATGCACTCCAGTAGTTTGCAGACGTCAAAAGCTAACACTAATTGTCTTGGTCAACTGGATGACATATTTCAGAACAGGAAGGAAAATTCTATTGTTTTGTCTTCGGCTTTTCTGGTGTTATGACACGTGGGCTTCAATGAAAATTCGCTCACACGTTTTTTGATATTTCACGGAATAGTGGAGTTATTTATAATATTTATATTTCAGTGGGAAATATAATATCCTATTATTATTAGAGGATATGGAAATGGAAGAAATATAAAAATCTATGTGAACTTTTTTCAACCTAAATTGCACGTTGCGTCATTTCCTTGAGTAAAAAAAACTGCAGAGAGAACATTGCTTTCGAGATATTGCAGATGTAAATAGACAATGATCCTCTCGTAATTGTAAGATTTTTTTAACGAGAGTTGATAACAACTGAACTCGGGTATAGTTTCGACTCGGCAGTGCAGAGTGTTTCTGTAATTTGAGGTGGATTTTAAAGTAGTGCATACGAAACTCCGATTTTTTGTAAGATAAAGTTAATAACAATAGGAAAATACTGGTTCGCACAATGATCAATCTAGTTTCATTGATAATAATTAATTAGTAAATACTGCTATGACCTATTTGAAATGATGGTAAAGATTAAAATTTAGAATAAAATCATAAAAAATAAATGAAAAATCCATATGCAATCCGATTATGCAAAATGGAATTGTTGTTTCTTTGTAACAAATTGTTAAAATTTCCGATTGCCCCGAAACGAGAGTGAGACAGAGGGAGACAAGATTTTTAATTTATTATTAATACTTTCAATATATTTTTTTTTTTGTTTAAAAAAATAATTCGATAAATATTCCAATGGATTAATAATTCACGCCCATTAATGTTAAATTATTATTCATATAGTATTAATGGATAATGGGCATATAGTTATCAATCATGAATAAACATTTGTCTGTGCATTTTGAATTTAGTTTCCGCTGCTACATGCAATGACTCATGCGAAATTCGTATGCACTACTTTAATCTGTAGAAGACAATTGTGCGGCAGAAGGACTCAGTAATGTGGAATATGCTAGACAGTTTGAACCACATACCGACCATGGCAAATGGTAATACCGAGCAACGTTAATCCTTGGCGCTTATGAATTCCATTCCAACTACCTAATATCCATCTCTCTATCGTTGTCGGGGAATTAACCGTGCAAGGTCGTCGTAAAATTTTCGTTTGTAATTGACGGAAGGGGTAATCAGCCAACTGATTATCCGGTTGGATTCAGAGGCATTGCAATAAGATCGGTTTCATTTCCCTTCCAATTAGGGTAGAAGGGTACGTGATCCGCGCTCTTTTTTATTAATTCCGCGCAATTGTGGGGACTATTCAGGAGTTAGAATTAATCGGCCTGAAGATGGACGTTTGTTTTTAAGAGGTGATTCCCAATATTCTTGAATTTTTCAGTTTTTTGGCAATTTCTGGGAGACCTTGGATCTGATTGACGTCATGAAATATACGGTTTTTCCCAAATGTTCACCGAAAATGCAATAATTTTCTCAGAATTTTTCAAAAAATCATGAATTTTAGAAAAAAAAGCAAGAAACTTTGAGTCATGAAATACTGATAAAATGAAAAACTGTATATTTTTTCGGGTTAATCCGATCAACAATCTGTCAGAAATTCAAAAAATAAAAGTGAATTTTGTTTGTTTTGTTAATGAGAACTGTAATTACAGTAAAAAACATAACAATAAATATTGAAAAATGAGGGGGACAATTGATAGACTAATGATAATTATTCGTGGAATCCCGGATATAGATCTTACAGTTTCCCGAAGAATGACGTAACTTTTTCGTAAGTTTTCAGTGACATACCCGAGAATCAACCGAGCATTTCAGATTTTCCTTTAATCCTCCTATATAAATTCCCCAAAACCACTCTCTCTCGCGAATTACGTGAAATGTTCGGTAATTTATCTTGAATATTTCTGTCCACGTGGTGTTGGCATTCGCGCGGAAGACGAGAAAAAAAACTGCACAACTCCGAAAAAATACTATTTACAAAAATGACTGTCCGGTAATCCTGCTATTGGAAATCTACTCTGAAATATCACTTCGGTGTCTGTTGGAATATAGCCTCAGTTTTCTATGAATTCATTTTTATGAGCCTATAGTTTCCAAAATGAATCAACATAGAGAGAGAGATATTAGGACTAAACATAAACATAAACAATGAGGTCATGTGGCAAAAGGACTGGGGATCCTTTGCCTCATGATGACGATTTTCCTCTTGGTCTCGTTGACCACTTTTTAGTCTGCTGAGGCCAGACATTTCTTCCTCGTCCCATTTTTAATAAACTCAAATTAACGTCTTTAATCCACTCTGTTTTAATTATTTCTCCCCCCTCCCCTCTCCACCATATTCCAATAGTGTGAGAATAAGTCGATTGATGGGGAAATGAAAAACATCACTTACCAGCCCTCTTGTTGACAGCAGTGTTAATCATGGAGCCAAGCTTTGTGAGGCTGGATTGCCTCATGATACCAGAGGGGCTCTTCATTTGTTTGATGCCAAGTATCGTTGGGGTTGATGAGGTGGATGAGTTGGTCCCAGTCCAACAATTTGTACCTTGATTCGTATTGCAACAGGGGGTCGTCCGCTGATGCGGCGGCGCCCCCCATAGACCCACCACTCCTGCGTGACGCGTCTTGATTCCTTATCCTTTCCAATTTATTATCCTATTCTTATTGGTATTCCTGCTCTCATCTAGGTGCTGAAGCCCTTGGTGCTGCGGAACAGATAGAAAAGCTCATCAATCCAGTGAGGGATTTCCTCCGGAAAAGGCAGACATGATGTTGATGATCATACCGGAATTGTCTGTGGATTCTCTTCAATATTTTTCACATCTTTTCAAGTTATTAATGATCGAATTATCCTCTTATTCATGAAACTGCGGTGCCATTTAATTGCCATGATAATGCAGTTTTGGTTGAATCGACAAATCTTGATAAGAGCTCATGTAGAAGAGAAGACTTTGATCGTTGATAACTTGGAAAGGAGATCGGTAAAAATTGGAGAGAATTTATAGACAATTCTGCTGTGAGAGAGTTAATTTTTTATAGAATGCAGAAAATTAAATATTAACTTCTTAACTATTTACTGAATGATTACATTAATGAACAATTGATTAAGAATATAGCAAAATATATGGAATAGAGTTGTCTGAGTTTTTATATACACATAAATTGGGTGTAATCATTATTTAATTTTTCTTGTTCCCTTTGCTGAATGAATCGACTGAATAAACTAAAAAAAGCGAGAGATTCATAATTTCTCGAGTGTTTGGGGTCATGTCCTGGAAAGCGAAACTTTTACATGAATATTGTGTGCACGCCCTTTTGGGAGAGTGATGACGTTCTAATTCGAGAATTTTCCATTCGTAATTTGAGAGCTCGATGAAAAACCAGAATATGCGACTAACAATTACGATAAAAGGTAATTAAACGAGAAAAAGTGGGGAACGTCTCGTCAGTGACACTATTAATTCTCTCTTTTCCATGAAAAAAAAAAATAAAAACCACTTCACACGACATGCGAGCTTTGAATGTGCCGCATGCAACCGCAGGAAATGAATCCATACATATGCCGATCGAAATTGATTAATTATGGCTTCAATAGCAAATGAAGGGATCGAGTTGCAGGGGAATTATTGACCAGCTAATCAACGTCAATTATCGAGGAGCGTATTAACGACCTGCTGAATCAGATAAATCATACGGGTGCATTTCTCATTGCCATTATCTTTTTTTTAAACATTCAGTCATGGGATTTAATACCCAGAGAGAAAAATTCAGTAAAAATTACCTCACCGTTTGGTAATTGTGCTGTGCAATTTTAGCTGCCGAAAATTACTGTACCAATTAGGGAAATTCGTCAACTGCTCAGTAACTGTTAACTAGTCTTCAAGAAATAATTACTGGACACTCAGGTAATTTTTCGGAAATGAGAAATTTCGGAAAGATAAGTTTCACCAAGCAGTCGACAAATTTTTATTATCGAATTAGTAATTATTATTTAGTCGGTTAGGAAAAATTTGCTGAAGGTTAGGTAGATTTTCAGAAACGGTTAGATAACTTTTACCAATAAGCAGTTGAGAAATTTTACTGAGTGGTACGGTAATTTTCTCCGAGAGACTAAAGCACCGGTTATCAGACAGATTGGCAATTTATAGTGAATTTTTCTCTCTGCGTAGAAGAAGACTTGCAAGTTGGTTAATGCGTAATAAGATTAATACTCGCGTACACCTGCGGACGTCAACAACAATCGTAAATCCCCGCGGAATAATTCAAATCTGGCCAGTGGAAAAGTTTCACAGCTGGTTCGCGTGTTATTGAACTTTTTTGTGGCAACATGGGGTGTTTTTTTTTACGAAAACTAGATTTTGCGAGTTTCAAAATTGCAGATTCGGTTTGATGTAACCATGAACCTGACTTTTCCATTTCCACGAATTCTCTCATCAGATTCACCATTTCCAGAGGGGAAATTTCTCTTTTTTAAAGAGCCCCTGTAAATTCTCACTCGAAACATAACCATTCCATTTTGTTACACTGTTATTCTACTGGGCTGTTAAAAAATTGATTCTACTTTATGGTAAAAGATATTTGTTAGAGTTAAAGATGAAAAGTCGAATTTTTTGTTTCTGTGAAAAAACGAATATAATATATTCTAATAAAAATAAAATAATATATATAACTGTCAGAATTTCTTCAATTTGGGAAGAATTATTTAAAAATATCTAGAGTAAATATCAACAGCGCATGCTTGAAGGCGTAATGTTCCTATTTAATCTTCTGGAATCGATGATTTGCGTGGTGATATTCAAGTATAGAATTCTTTTTTTCAATTTCCATTCGAAACTCGTCTTTCACTCCAACCAAATCCAACAAACCCTTTCTTGTTTTCCTCACTCTACTATTTTTTCCAAGGCAATGCATCGATCCATCAAAAACCAGTTGAAATCAGATTCAATAGAGGCCATTAACAACAATAACCGCACAATTCGCGACTCAATCCTTTTGTTTTCGTCTTTATCCGGTGGTTTTCTCAGTTTACCACCCGCACTGTTGGAAATTTCTCACTTTAATATTCTGATTGCCAACGTTAAAATACTTTTTTTCTCATTTTTAACAGAATTTTGTTGTAAACTGGTGAACTAGGATAAGTGCATTTTTTTCGAGGCCAGTTTTCAGCCGATTTCTTGGAATCAAAGGCAGATAATGATATTTCGATAGA